AAAATGGGTCTTACATCGCGAAAAGCATCAAATCATGTGAGCACCTTGATTAAAAACCTGAAAAGATTTGGAAAATATCTGCTGACAACGAGTTGGCGGTGCACATGCTTTGCAAATCCTGCAATCGACTGAAATCTGCATGATAGTTTACGAACCAGATTTCGATTTCGGTGCGCGATTTTGATTGGACTATGTATAGACTCGTTAGCGCAGCCAAAATGTAACTCCATAACACCAGCCTAGTTCGGAAAGGGTGGAAACTGGCCTTTTAAAGTCAGTTAACGCTCTTGACCCTGGAAGATGGTTGAAGCCATGACAGTATACAGTCAAACCTCAATGTGTCGAAACTTTGATATGTCAAATTCCCGGTTGTATCAAACTAATTATGGCGACCCAAGTATCCAAATTAAGCCTAAAATTCCCCTCATGTCTTAAATTCCTGATAATTCAAACTTTTTTCCAGGTCCCCATGAGTTCAACACAACGAAGTTCGACTATCTATCATAAAAACCCTGGTGACTTCTACTGCATGTTTCTCACACTACGGAATGGAGTTTCCATGTATGTTTTTGTTGAGTTTAACATAGCGCAGCATTAGTGAATCGTTCCAGCCTTAATAATTAATGTTGAATAATATCATGTTCCAACAAGCCAAAGCAAAGTGGTAAATGATTTCTCCAATAAGCACAACAAACAACATGAAGCTGCACAATATATACAGCATTAAATATATAATGTTTTTGGCACCTGTACGGCTTGAGTTGCATTGCAAGTTGGGAGACAGATACCCAGATCTAGAAAAGATTCACAAAATGAGATTTGTTTCACATCTCAAGAGTGACATGAGAAATGAAGAAGTACAGTGACTAAAGAAAAACAGGTTATGGATTTATAAAAAATATGTCTAAACCTTACAATCCAACAATATTACCAAAGCTCCTTACATAATGTCAAATTACATTGTCAAAATGCATGGCATTGTCTTGATAGGCTCTAAGCAAGGAGCTCTTCACAAACTGGTAATCCTTCATTACGATTTGATATTTACAAAGTAATCTAGGTGATAAAACATTGCCAACAAACAGTCAAGTCTCGTTAATCGTTAACAATGTAACATAACAATATGAATATTTATTTTATATTATTTTATCATGTGTTTGCAGAGACCATATGGTCTCTGGTGTTTGAATCATTATCTATCGTGCAGTTGTCTGATTTTCGATCACAAATGTTGATACTACTTAATTTCGTTTATCTGACATACTCGTTAATCCGAAATAATCATATGCAACCATCGATGTCAACGGGTCTTGACTGTAGCTGAATTCAACATGGAAGACTGGTCTATTGTTACACTGTACATCAACAAACAAGTAATATCAAAGGCAATAAGTGACAACCATTCTCAATCTAAATGTCTGGGGGGGGGGGGGGGGGGTTAAAACATAACATGGCCGAGTAAAGAGTAAAATTATCTCCACTAAGAGACAAAATTAATAAATTACCATGTGAAAGCTGGGATTCACTGCGTGGCAACCTGACGGTGAGTATGGTTTGACGCCCCTTTTAGCAATATTCCAGCAATATCACAGCGAGGGACACTACAAATGAGCTTCACATTTTGTACAAATTGTAACAATGAGCTCAGGTACAAAAAAATATCCCAGGGTACTACATCAGAAATGAAATGGTTGTTCCTCAATACAAGCATTACGTTGTGTCTCAATACTGGATGTTCTGCACCATTCAGTGATCAAGTGACAAAGAAAAAATGGCTACTGTCATACTCAAGTCAAGTATATCATGGTGACATCTCAATCTCATTAAAATCAGATATTAGTTCTCGCTACCGCTAAACAAAGATCTGAGGACATCCCATTACGGGTCATGTCAGACCTACCTTGCACGAACTTTGACCGATCAATGGAATGACCAATCAGAAGGCAGCTTCCTCGCGCTTTACGGCACTAATTTCAAATTGGCGACTACCCTTCGAAACATATTTTGACAAATTCTCGATTACAAATTTGAAACCTGAACAAAAGAACATTCTGGAATGGCTAATAGATGGTCTAGATTGTATGGATACAGTCGTTAAACCCGTAACTATCATTCGGAGTTAAAGTTTTCGAGGCTGCATGATCAGAAATCACATTCCGACTGTCACTTTCATAATCTGGTAAGCGAAGCTCTGATTGGTCGGATGAAAGGTTGTTCTGACATGACCCGTAATGGGATGTCCTCAGATCTTTGTTTAGCGGTAGCGAGAACTGAGGTCTTTGAATGAGATTGGGTGACATCTTGAAAAGGATACAAAGTCAACATTCCCCGATTACCAGCTGGTTGCTGACAGACAATGGGAGTCAAGCAGTATGTAGATGGGTTGCGATGTTTCAGCCTGTGTCTTTCCTCATCGACTGCAGAAAGATGGCAACCTTGTGAGGAAGGTCCTGTGTCACATGATAGCAACAGTGTGACTCAGAGATATGACAGACCGGAATATGGACTACCGGTATTAGCTTGGTGAGATACAAAAGAATAGAATATTATTGATTACTTCCACTAGACTACCACCACTTCTGTCTTCAGTCAAACAAAGCATACACACTATACACATGACTATTGTCATCCCTTCCAAGTAAACACAACTACTGTCTTTAACAAAACAAAGATTTCTACAGTATATCCAGCACCATTGTGTCAATATGTCCATAAGAAGACATCACATGCCTAATTCTGGGATTTATCTGGACCTGTTCAGAGGCCGAAATTCGGCCCCAGGTCCAAATTCATGTAATAACTAATTTTATGGCTTTGTAGAGTAGCCTGTATTTCACAAATGCTTAGTTATATGTTATTGCAATGTCAAAATACCTCTTAAGTTTCAAATAGAAGTTTCAAAAATCAAACTTTTGAACAAAATAACAATTTCCCCTAAAACTTACTGCCAGGGGCACTAAGTTTAGAATAATTGATAAATCCTTGTAACTATGTAAGATACATATTTGAGTGAAGTGTAAATGTTGATGATGTTAGTGACAAGTAATCAAATATAAGTAACTGAATTCTTGTTATGTGCCGTAACTAATGACAATTCTATAATATATCTGAAAGTAGATGGGGTTTCAGATAGGTTCAATACTGGGACACAGACATAATGTTATACAAATATGTCCTGAAAATTCATTGTGATGATAAAAAAAATACCTATCAAGTACAGAAGAAATCATGGATAAGTCCTGTTGCCATTTTTCCCTAGCATGGTATGACAGCACATCTCACAACCTAATAAAACACATAGAAACTTCGTAGTCTTCAAAGAGTCTCCTATAGACATGGTAGAAGCAGGGCAGGTAAACATCTGAAAAAAAGTTACCATTTTTTACTTCTCCTTTTTGGGGATCATATGCCGTATTGTATAATACATATCCTAAGTGTGAGTGAGTTGGGTTTAATGCCTAGTAGCCCAGTATTCCAGCTTATATCACTACATTCATAACACAGGAAGACATATATGATACTTTATGACTGAGACTTAAACAGGACCTGAAAGGAGGGAGACAAAACCTTGTTTTATAACAGCTGTGACAAAATGATCGACTATTGAGTAACATATGCTTGTCGGGAGAAATTCAACCCTTGGAAGTATGAACATCTCCAACAGAATTGATCTTCCTAAAACTCATAATGATTTGGTATCCCAAATAATATCTAATGGAGGCAGTAAGGAGAATATGCTTAAGTAATGTCCCACTTTTACAGATGCTTAATTCAATTGATCACTTTTCCTACCGATCGTCAACTAAGAGTTATCTTCCCCTTATAACAAACAGACCAGGAATGAAGCATTTTCGAACTGTTAAAATGTTCCAAGATAAAAGGAAGAAAATGACTGACAGAGAAACATTCCTTAATTGTTTACTTAAATAATCTCTTCATAACTTAAAACCTTCTCCAAATGAACAGTTTCCATAATCAACATTTGACATTTTGCAAAGATCACCTATTTCATTGTATTTGATTTGATTCTTAGAGAGTTGAAATTTGGTGGGCAAGAGTAGGGACCAGTTCAAAAGTTTAAGTTGGATAAAAATCTTAATTCGTTAAGTTTGGGAAGGGTTAATGGCCCTGCAAGTTATCCATACAAAAAAATATAACTTACTTTTTCTCAATATATTGAATAGTAGCGTGAACAAATGTTGAACTAAACCAAACTTTTTTCATTTATATGCTGTTAGGAGTCGTCATAAAATAAAATCGGTCTTTCCTCAAGGTATTTTTTTTCATCGCCAGCAATAGTGGTAAGTCCATCTAGTGCAGAGCATAATACAGAATCGCAAACTTGATCCTTAAAAACCCTACTAATGTTTTTCAACACCTTTTAAATAAACTTCAGTCGACAAACATTCTAAAAAAGCATAGCAAAACAAAATAATGCATATCAAAAGAGGCCACTCTTCAACATTTTTTAGAATTAAATTTTTTTGGCGGTTGGTATGTCTCAAAACTTAAGAAATTAAGGTTATTATCCGACATCAAACTTTTGAACCGGTCCTAAATAAAAAACCTTTGACCAACCAGAAAAATGTAAGGTACATGAATGATGTCTATGTAGTGATTTCTACATAGGCAAATTGAAAGCCTTCAAGCATGTATACAAAAGGCACAAGAAAGTGGCATGCAGGCATGATCAGAATACAGTAACAGAACAAACAAAGAAATTGCAAATGATCAAACTTCAACATATTTAGTAATACTCCGACTTTCTATGAGCAAAAAGTGAAGAAAACAAAACCACTTCCTCAAAATTGTATTTCAGAAGAAATTAACTTGATTTTATAGCACTGGACTAGAATGGCTGATACGATACTATCTATTCAGGGATAGTAATTAGCACCAGACTGCTAGCCAGGACCAGCTTCACTACACTAACGTTAAATGTATACTACAGGCTAGTAGAATTTCAAACTTTTTTGGGGTGGGGGTGGGGGTGGGGGTGGGGGTGGGGGTGGGGGTTTATTGCGATTTGTTACCAATATTCAGGATGAGGAGTGAGTGAGTTGGGTTTAACGCCGCTTTTAACAGTATTCCAGTTATATCACGGCGTGTCAGCTTAATGTGGGAGGAAAGCCCGAATCGATGCAGGTCTCAGACGTTTACCATTTCAGTGAAACCCATGAGCACGGGTATGGTGCTGACAAACCTAGAAACATAATCGGGGCGAACCAGGATTTGAACCCACAATCATAAGTTTCTGGCATGCCCTTTGGACGCAACTCTGCACAGCGAATCGCGGCGCCTTAGACGACTGGGCCCCCCGTGCCCCCTCAGGATGAGGAGACTTTCTTGGTTAATTTGCCTGACCATCACAGAACACCTCTATGGGAGGTTGTGTCAGGTGAACCCGGAACAAACTTTGACCACCCCCTATAAGTGAAGGATGTGTGGACTCTTGAGCCAATCAATGTCAGCTTTCTAAAATGATTACTCTTTATTTCTTTACCACCCTGATATGGAAATTTTGTTTTTTCACTTGTTTCAAGAATTTCAAACTTCAACATTAATTGGTTAATAAGTTCATCTGATGCAGCCTATTATAGAGAGGTTCTTGCAGAGAGGTATCGTATCAGAGTAAAAGGTCTGATTTTACGGAGATTGCTACTTCACTTGACTTACTATCATGAGTACATGAACTGTCTCATCATATAATACTCAAAAGAAGTTAAAGACCACCTGATTCTTTCATGTCATTACAGTTAATCTGTCGCGGTATGACAGAATAAAAAGGATAATATGAAAGAATTAGGTGGTCCTTAACTTCTTTTCAGAAGTATAAGTCAAATATTGCACTAATTGTGAATATATTCTATGATTAACCAGCCATACTGTACTCCAGGTTTAGCCATGTGACTGGGCTTGTGAAGACCATTTGCTGCTTACAAAGTCTCTCAACAGCAAAATATAGTGACTTTGAAAAGCAATAAAAGGTCTTGCAGAGTGTTAGAGATTTGGGTAACTTTTAAACCAAAATCCAGTGTGATGAAAAAAGAATAAACCTACTGAAAGTCTACAAGCAACTTAAAAATAAGACTGCTGTATATTCAACTATTAAAAAGGGGCATGATCAGTGAAAGAGAATTGGTACTCAAAATTGGGTAGGGAAAGGGAGTATCCCGGTGGGGTCTGAAAGTGACTGATTGCTCGGATATGTTGCCATGTAAATAGTATCTGATATTGCCATGGAACTGAAGCATGTGCAGCATTAGTTGAAGTTGATTAAACATAAATACACAGTTCAACAAGTTGTCGTTGCGTTGCATCACAGTTTGAAATATCTCGGTATTCCTATCAAATACTGGGTAGATATAATCTAAATTAATACTGCTGAATCAAGTCGCCCTGTCCCCTGCCCTGATAACGTCTTATTGCTAACTTCAGTACTATAACAGACATAAGGGGACCACATTACGCTACTGGGACCAATAGTTTGCATAAACTCTAGGACTACAGCTAAATTCTACCACTGTCTGGCGGGAACATTGCAAACTGTATAAGAACTATTCTACTACAAAACTTTCGATGTATTGTAGAAACCTTGATAACATTTGTCCAACCGGCAGACAAATGCTCAAGACAAACTTTCAAAATTTCTCACCATGCTTCCTAAACAGTGAGTAAGTGAGTTGGGTTTAACGCTGCTTCTAACAGTATTCCAGTTATATCATGGTGTGGCAGCTTAATATGGGAGGAAAGCCCGAAGCGATGCAGGTCTCAGACACAATCGAACCCACAATCAAAGGTTTCTGGCTGCCAAAGGGACGCAACTCTGCACAGCAAACTGCAGCACCTGGCTTAGATGACTGGCCCACAGGTGCCCACTCCCTAAACAAAATTTAACTTTGCATCCAAAGCGAACATGAAATACACATCTCTGTTAACTAAGACAGAAACAATTCCCTGTTCATTAAGAAAACTAATCTTTTCCTTAGTAAAGTTTGAATATCATAGGCATAAACATTTTCTGTGTTGCTTGCAAAAAAAATTAAAAATCTCTCCCTAGGAAATCATTCTTGACTGCATTGCTGTTGTACCAGAGCTGGTTAATGCTATACCCAAATGCAAATTTTCAAAATTATCTGCAAATGTCTGTTTATGCTCAAGAAGCTCTGTGTACTTGCAGTCTTCAAAATTCAGCATGAAAGTCAGTCGGTCCTTGTCATAACCGTAATGTTAGATGTTAAAGATATTGGGGTTCCAAAATATCAAAGATGACCTGAAGTACCCCAACATTGGCTTTGCAGTACCAGCAAAGGTATTCAGGTCCGTTTGTAAGCAAATATAACAAATATGAGGACTTATGAAAAGTAGTGCACACACATCTTACAAAGAATCAGAGAATCTTACCTTAAATGTTTTAGGGTAAGTTTTTAACCCTAGGTGACTCTAATCCAACAGAGTCTGCCACTTTAGACACTAGTCCAAAACTTAGTTAGGTAATTGGTCTTTCTGCCAAGGAAGCTCAGCTAACAATTGTTTATTTACTAACACTAAAATCTCCTGAAAAGTATGACAAAAGAAATTCTTGGATAAGTAGATTCTCCAATTTTGACACACACAGTTGATATTCGCCTGGATCAAATTAAGCATGCTGTGTGCATACTTTTCACACCGTCTCATTATTTGCAAGTATTAAGCACCATCCCACAATATCTCTCATTAAAATCTTATAATGTAATATTCTCAGTTGAATTAACATACATACTGGTTAATGCAAATACTTCCTCATGTGAAAGACATGCTTAATACTATGAGTGGTGATGTGTTCTAACAGGCCACTTTTTCTTGTAACTATTCTGTAGATATGGGATGTAGGCCCAGACCTTTGAATAAGGCATGTCATCAAAACAATCATTAGCAAGGCCACATGTTTTTTCTCTTAGAGAGGTCATCAAGCACTTTAGTGACGACCACTGATCAGCTGATTTACCAAAACAGTTTGATTGCTGTAATTGTATCACAAACAACAAACCTGATATCATTCAGATTGAAATGAGCCTCAACTGTCCTGCATTGATATGTAGAGACTTGAGAACTGGAAACCGGACATGATGAGACACCGAACTCTTGAGGGAAGACAAATCAGATGATTTACGTGTCAATACACAATGAATCTTTCATAATAAATGGATGGATATATACGCAAGGCTGGGGATTGAATTAATATGCGTGAAATTCAAAGCCTGCTTAAATGCATAAAAACAATCAATGTATAACATGTGTACAATCAAAAAGTACTATCAGTACTAAGCTTCTCCTTCCATCAGTACATCACTCATTCTTGTCCTTCTTCTTTACAAATGGGATGGGTGGCCTGGGCACTTTACTGACGACTGTGGATCCCACGTCGTATGTCTTGCCTGCAACCCACTTCACCCCTCCGTAGCCATAGCCCACGGCACCAGATGCTGTGCTGTATACACCGCTGGACATGCGCCACAGCAAACTCGGCTGCTTCCCGGGCTCTGAAATATGGTGACAAGGTTGTAGAGATTATTTTACTATCATAGTTTCATGCACAGAATAATTGTTAGGCTTAAAAAAATAAAAGAATTGGTTCTCAGGCAATGACCTTTGAAAATATAGTTTGGGCAGACGGTGGTATTTTTTGTGTGTGCTTGTTCAAACTATCATGTAACCAAATAAACAGTTGTGTAACATCAACCTGGAAAAGGGTCTCCCTACACAAACAAACATACAAACTCATTGCTACCATGACCATCACACGTGATGCGCAGTAATGCAGTGCGCATGTAAAGGGAAGTAACTGTGTGTTCTATTGGATCGCATAGTGTTAAGTATTAGGATTTTTGTATTTTTGGAAAATGAAAATTACAAACCGAAATGTGCGGCAGACTGTTTGGTGATGCCGGCAGTGCCTGAGAACCAAGACTATTATTTTTTTTAGCCTCAACGTAGAAGTTGTGGGAATCCAGTGTTTGAAATTAAGGGGGATCCTAGAGTCACAAAGGTTTGCTAATGTACATTGTATTTGTTTACAAGTAATTGCCATCGGTCCAAAATATTGAATGTACTGGTATTATTAAGTGCTGCCAATCCAGTGAACTGGTAAATCTATAACTGACCAGAAACACTGCTACAGTTTTTTGTTATCTAGGAACCCTCAAACTTTAAATTTCAGCATGAGGGTAATGACAGGGACCCCTTGACTTTCATGCTTAATTTCTAACCCTTGGGATCAATTAAACCAAGACAGAGAGCCGTGTATTTTGGCGTGTATGACATGCACTTGTCTGACCTGTAAATACTTCTGTACACTGGTGGTAGACAATGTCAATTTTAAATCCTGGACTATTATTATAAATTAGCTTATCTGTAATCGCTGGGATATAACTAACAAGCTGTTAGACATTGTTAAAATTGACCCCTGGTTACAGTAATGATTTTATGTACCTGACACTTCATCTGTTTTCTTATTTGAGGAGTATTCAGGAGCATCGCTTTCCTTGATGTCATCTGCATTGGTTATCACTTCAACTTGTTCTGAACCTGGGCCCTGGTACAAGCAAACAAATAGAAAATGCATTATCACTGAATGTGAGATAGCTACGCGATAAATCGCAAAGAACAATGAAGAACAAAGCATGGTTTATTTCACGTTTAAACATTGGTTCTATCATGACGTCATTTCTGGAGATTTGAACATGCGCTCTCAACTTGATGACGTCTTAAATAAGACGATGTTATATTTGAGAGGGAAGTCTCTATAGAGTTGTTCCTCATAGATGTAGCTAGACAACGCAGATGAATGTAATGGCCGAACAATTGTACCCAAAGAATTCATTCTCAGTCGTGAATCATTACATAATTGTCTGATATTCACAAGGCTTCCTTTCAAATGTATGATTAATTAACCTTACAGTGCTTCAGAGTTTGTTTCTTAGGGAGAGACTGTGACAACTGAAGGTATTTTTCTGGTGTGTCAGAACAAAAATCAGTACAAAGACAAGGAAGGAGGTTCTTATGCTACGAGACATTCTGGTTGTATCTGTGACAGCAAGCAAAAGTCAAGACAAGTAGTGGCGATATTGCTCTTTGTTCAAATCATTTAAGAACAGCATAATTTGATTGGACATCTATTTGTGGTGTCAATCCTTCTACGGTGGTGATTGGGTCCAGGTTATATAACATAATATACACCTGGAAATTAATTAAGCATCCCCTGATTTTTCGACCAGGTGCCTCTAACAACATATTACTTGAGGCTCTTGACTAACAACAAATACAGATATTGATAGCAATGTTCAATATTTTAATTGCGTGAATAACAGTTCGACAGTACTGTACTTGAGTCAAAATGGGAATCACAATAACTATGGATTGGACAGACTTCTACACATCCCCGGGATTTATCCAGGATTCTATATGAAGTGCCCCTGCAGGCAAATTGGGAAAAATGGTTATTTGTTTAAAAAATTAGCTCTTTAAAAATTCTCATTTTCATAAATTCAGAGGTAGGCCTATCTTAACACTGTCTTTTGAGATTGCATTCAATGCAATAATATACAAGAAAGAAGTGAGCATAATAACTAAGTGTTACAAACTCTTCCTATTTATTGGTCCTGTTATCAGTGAAATACAGGTTTACACAAAATTAGATCTTTGTTTACATACATACATACATACATACATACATACATACATACATACATACATACATACATACATACATACATACATACATACATACATACATACATACATACATACATACATACATACCAATATAAATTTGGAAACTTTTAATTCCATTTTGGGGATATTTAATGACATTTGTTGCAGACTTGAGGCCGAGTATCAGCCTCCAAGCAGGTCTAGATAAATCTCTGTATCGGGTCTGTGACTTTAGCCTTAGTCCGAAGCATGCATGCATACATACATACATACATACATACATACATACATACATACATACATACATACATACATACATACATACATACATACATACATACATACATACATACATACATACATACATACATACATACATACATACATACATACATACATACATACATACATACATACATACCAATATAAATTTGGAAACTTACATACATACATACATACATACATACATACATACATACATACATACATACATACATACATACATACATACATACATACATACATACATACATACATACATACATACCAATATAAATTTGGAAACTTTTAATTCCATTTTGGGGATATTTAATGACATTTGTTGCAGACTTGAGGCCGAGTATCAGCCTCCAAGCAGGTCTAGATAAATCTCTGTATCGGGTCTGTGACTTTAGCCTTAGTCCGAAGCATGAGTCTAGATTTACATTGACATTTAACATAGCCTTAGGTAAAATTTAGCCTCTTGCCATGAATGTATTGAGCGACTGCTCGATAGCCTAAAACATCAATAATAACTTATGCATCACATGTTTTGATAACGTTGATGTATGAAAAGGTTTGTGGGGACATCAATGAAGGTAAATTATTTCTAAATATTGATTGAAAATTTCAATTATGACAAGGCTTCATAGAGTGTCAGGTGGCATAGTCCCCAGGCTTATGTGCAAATACAACTGATGAAGGCAGTTTGGTTATTAAGTAAAAGCCTGCATAAGGCACATCATGTTAATCAGTCCCTGCCAAAATAATGAGTGAGTGAGTGAGTGAGTTGGGATTAACGCCACTTTTAACATTATTCCAGTTATATCACGGCGTGTCAGCTTAATGTGGGAGAATAGCCTGAAGTGATGCAGGTCTCAGACGTTTACCACTTCGGTGGAACCCACGAGCACGGGTATGGTGCTGACAAACCTAGAAACATAATCGGGGCAACCGGGATTTGAACCCACAATCATAGGTTTCTGGCGTGCTAAAGGGACGCAACTCTGCACAGCAAATCGCGGCGCCTTAGACGACTGGTTCACCCATGCCCCCGCCAAAATCACGAGCCTACTTGACTGAACCTGTCCTTGCTGATGCTTTTCAGTACACTTCATATTATTTGCACATAAGGGCTCTTTATTAAATGTTTCAGACTGAAAGATACTGCAATTTTAGCCACTAGTCTGAAGCTTGAGTCTAGTAAACATGGTAAAAGTCTCTTTGGTTGTGTAGTCTCCAGAGCTCCAGATAAGCTGCGTATCTGCGTGAAATACGCATCAGAAATGCAGAAATACGCAGTAAAATATAATCCAAGCGTATCAAATACGCAACGAACATTACAGATACGCTACAAAAATAAAACTTGTGCGTATCATCAAAATATTGTGAAGTAACCCTGCGTATTCGATTAGCAAATGAGCAACTTATTTTGAAATTATAAGTTGGCATTCCGTCAACCTTGCCAAACTCCACGATGACAGTCAGATCATGATCATTTGCCATCACACTTTCTTGTGGAAGTATCGTGGTATTTTTGAGTCCTATAAAGCTCTCGAACCCACACGACACCAGTTTGCAGGGACTAGATGAATAGTGTTTTAAATATTTAACTTAAATACCCACATGTGTAAAAACTAGTGGGTAACAGAAATTTGAATACGCAGATAGAATTACTGATACCCAATGATTTTAAAATGCATGGGTAAAATACCCACAACACCAAAAGCTTATCTGGAGCTCTGAGTCTCAGCTAATATTTGTCCACATAATAACACTCAAACCTACTGAAAATGATACTAAGAGCCAGGTTTGGGAACAGACTGATTTACTTGACTCAAACTTTGGGCTTGTGACTAGAGATGCCGACTGAAATAATGCTGGACTGCTGCCAAACAAATAGTGAGGAGTTGGCTTTCATTCTTGCACGGTAAAAAGAAGACAAATCTACTTTGTATTCAATTCCTTGATCTATGCAAGAAACAGTTAGTCTTTGTCAGACGTTAAAATGTCCATCCTTTAATCTCAGTTTGTTTGCTGGTTGTTTAGTGACTCAGCAGCACCATACCAGACAATCCAGTGGTTGATATTATGAGCAAATGATCCACTACATATGGTGGTGAGGTGAGGTGAGGTGAAATGGGGTTTAACATCGCATCCAAGATTATTCAACTTATACAGTAATGTGATGCATGCGTGTGTGCGTGTGTCTGCTTGAACTAGTCAGGACTGATGCTGATTTATAGTGCTAACCCACTGAGATACCATGCCAAGTTAAACATGAATACCCCACTCAGACACAGTATACTGACTCTGAGCTGACCAGTCCTTGTTTTAGCCAATTAATGCCGAGCGCCAGACAGAGCAGTAACTCAGCGTGAAGGGGTCACCACATGTAAATACCACAGCCAGTACAGGATCAAACCTCAAGGACCCCAGGATCCCCCTTAATTTCGAACAGTGCTATGTATGTAGTGTATTTCATTAACAAAATAAAATTCAACTTCAGTTTCATTGAAGTTGGAAAGATTCTTCACTACCCCTCGATCTCTGACAAAAAAAACCAAATTGTTGTGTAGTCTGTGCCAAAACTATCAGCAAGACTATTTGCCCGAACATGCCTCAACATTAGAATCATTTTCAGTTGATTTTAGTGCTATTATAGTGTGTAATTTGAGGTAACTTAAATTCAGTTTTAATAAGTGTTAGGAATATAGCACTTCACTTAGCTCGAGGGAAACTGAGAGTTATTTATTTCCCTTAGTCTTCTTGGCGGCAAACATGGTACATGTGCCCTTGGCAAAGGCAATTTGTTGGCATTGCTATGGATATATGTGGACCATTACTTACTAAGCTTACTAAACCAAACAGAATTTTACTAGCCTGGGGCTTTAGACTAGTGGCAAAAGTTGCATGCTGGTTGTGTATGCTCTTAAAAAGAGTCTCCCTTTGTCAATTTTCTAAGTGTCCCCGGCGCTTTTTACTTTGTATAAGCTAAGGTGGTGAGGTGAAATGGGGTTTAGCTTCATGTCCAAGATTATTGCACTTATATAGCGACGTACATGCACATGTGTTTGTGGCTCCTTGTACTAGTCCGGACTGATGCTGATTTATAGTGCTAGCTCACTGAGATACCATGCCGCAGTTTAACATGAATACCCCACCCAGACACATTATACTGACTCCGAGCATTTTTTAATTGTATGAATTGGAGAAATACATGAAAATGAAGATATGAACATGCTTGTACACAGCAGCACTTGAAAATAAAACGTGGACATGTAAGAAAATGAAGAGGGTATTATCACGAGTATCAACCGTAAAGGAAAGAAAGGGGACAACATTAATAGCCTTTTATAACTACTACTTATTATCTGAGGGTCATGATGTTGGATGTCAGAAGTAAATAAAATTTTGGTCTTTTGGTCTGCAGTATGTATATTTTCGGCTTAGTCAGTAAAAACGGGAACAGGCTTTCTGCGTCAAACTTAATTAGCCAGCATAAATTTCACAAACTGAAATCTAAAATCAGAAATCATCTCTATGTGAATGCAGGGAAACATGGAGACAGCTGTTTTCCTTTCCTTTCATTACTGTAATTTGTGTTTAAAAAAACCAAACAATGTTCGGTTGGTTTGGTTGTTTTAGTAGATCTAGTTATATATCACTTTTACGAGATTTTATTTTGATTACGATAAACAGTAAAGTCTTAATTTATGCTTAGACCTCGAGCAGATTTTTATTATTGCGTTATCATGTTCATCTTTTACTATACACATTTAACTCTTATATTTACAAAAGTTTTACTAAACAGCAGGGCTGGGACGGGTAACTCGGGTACCCGGGTCGGGTGGGTACTGAATAGGACCTGGGTACCAACAGGACTACCCAGACCCGTGGTTAGTTACGTGATATATTGTCTAATGACTAAACTTATCTAGAAATCTATTGTTACACTACAAGTCATTAGTCATGTCATGTTTGTTTTTCTTTCTAACTTTGCACCCATTCCTTCTGATTTTTCATATTGATGAATAAAGATATAACTTCAGTCAACTTCGGCGTATGCATGACCAGATTGTTTAATACATGTATCAAAATACGTTTTGCCAGGGCTATATATGCTAAAAAAAAGATCCCAATCAGACATTTTGAGACATCTCCTGAGACCTACAGTGGATACCCGGGTAGGGTAGGGTAATAGGGGGGCAGGTACTGGTGTAGTAAATTTGGACTCATCCCAGTCCAACTAAACAGTATGCCCCATCAGGATCCTCTTATTTAACTCATGTTTTTAATTACATTCATGAAAATGATAGATCTGTGAATATCAGAGAAGTTTAACAGTCCATAAAAGATGCCTCTAAAAGGGACAACTATTTGATTAAAATAAACATCCGTGTGCAACAACCTGTACTTTGTTTAAAAAACAATTTGCTCTAGAAAGAATTTGATAGCCACCTACTTCACAAAGGGCTTTCTGACACATTGCACGTTTGCACTCAAAATGAGAAAACTTTCAAATGATGTAGATCTAGATCTATCAAAATAGAATACTGCAATCTGTGTGAACGTCAATATTATTTAACTGCTTGGAAAACATTCCAGGATACTACACCTATAAAGTCAGATTTCTTTACTGACATCAAGAAGGCAAGTAACCATGCGGTGCCAGATATCAGAAACTGGAACCAAATTTCCAATTTCTTCAAGTTCAACTCGCTAGGCCAAATCTTGGTCTAGATCTAGGAGTATTTCTAAAGACGGCTTTTAAAATTGTGGCAAATTTGCTTGAAATAATAGCTAAAACTCCGCATTAGTCTGAGAGACCTTACCTTGTACAGGCACGATTTCATCGTTGCGTAAATGTTTGACATTTTCTGGAACCACTGAGTCGACGTGTCAGACCGATCAAGAAAAGTGAGCAGCGAAGCTAGTGAAAGGGGCCACTTGTTACTTCGTCGTCTCGAATATATCCGTCTTCTGGATTTTATCAGACACTGAAAACCTGTTGAGGCTCTACAAACATAATGACGAATCTATTAATATCACAGTTTGTCGTCGTCAATTTCTAATAAAAGAGCTTTTTTCTTAATAATACAGGTACATACCAGATAGTTCCGCCAACATCGTCTGCCACGTTGTTTTGTTCTGTCAAATATAACCATCGAGTTTATAAGACCGAACACGATTGGATGCGTGTTTCATAATGACCAATGAAAATGCTTGTACCATCGCAGCACTGACCTGACCTAATTTTGTCATGAAACCCGATACAGACGGCGATTACGGACAACCCGTGTAACACATTATTAAATTCAAAATTAATTCAACGTCCGTATAGTAACAAAGGGGAACAACTGCTGATGAAAAACTCTCATCGTCTCATTTGTATATTTTCCTTATTTTCTTGTTTCTGATTGGTCAAAAAACTCTTCATGACCAATCAAAACACTAGACGTGCTAATAACGAATAATGCAAATGAAGGGGTTTATATTATAACGATATTATTTCCCTACTGGCTTTATTATTAGAAACAAGACATGTAAACAGAGCTGACGAGCTAGCCAAAGCACCTAGGAATCAAAGCTATGTGGCGTGTTGACCGTACACTTGGTGCAGTTTGTTTACAAGTTCTGTGTTTAATAATTCACTGCGAGTGCCTTAGCCCGGCTGAATATAACAGACAGAGACAAAGCGTGTTACAAGCGGAACATTCGAGGCGGTTCGGATCTTCATATGTATTGAATGTTGGCGAGAAGAAACTTAGCAGGATCTTGATAGAAGCAAAGCAGAGAGAATTCAACTCTTCGAGGGTTAATGGAACCATTTTCCCACCTTCAGTCAGCTTCTTCAAGACAAAGAAAATCATCGAGAAGAGCCAAGTGTTTCAGATTATACGACGAATGCCCAAAGGTAGATTTGCATACTGTCATTTATTCTTAGAACTGATCGATGTACGTCACATGTCCTGGGTTGTTTCGGTGGGAGTATTTGCCGATGTAAGCTCGATTCACGACTTGTCGTTTTCTGTTTTCGTTCGACAGGTTTATTTTATGCTGGTAATTCGTTCCTGTTATTTCAGCATCAACATGAGAATTATATGCTGACACAATTTGATCTAGCCGGGTCATTTACACGGATAAATCAATTTCTGTTGTTATATCACCTTGAAAGTATGTTAACACCATGGGTATTAAGTATCAATAGGTAAAATGATATAACAGGTTAGAGGTTTGCAACAATCCATATGTTAAGTCTCTCGTGTACTCACGCATGCCCTTAATATATAATAGCGCGACATGTATGCGAAATTATCTATATATCTCATTTAAACATTGTACATTTATTTTGGAAAAGAAGGTACGTGCCCTACGTGTGCCTATAGGGCGCATAGACTATTCCCCGGTCTTTTATAACAAATCTAGGCCGCGAAAATAAGATTGGATTACATTTGAGTAATGAAACCTCGTGGACGGGTTAAAGTCCTGGCTATTTATCCATATTAATTCTTCTGTTATATGATATGGGTCAACCGCCTTTGGATGACATTGCTAAGCTGTGACAGTGGATGTGTCATGTAGCGTGAGAGTGTCGTGAAACTGGATGATATACACACAGGGGGTGAATCAGTGGCATATACTAAATATACTACTCAGCGTTTGATAGAGATACGTTTACTCTGTCCGTGGTATACAGAACTGATTCTCATAATATGTCAAGTGTATATTAAAATAGAATGACATCTGCTTATCCCTGGACGGTCGGGTAGCCTAGTGGTTCAAGCGTTCGCTCGTCACGCCGAAGACCCTGGTTCGATTCCCGACATGGGTACAATGTGTGAAGCCCATTTCTGGTGTCCCCCGCCGTGGTATTGCTGGAATATTGCTAAAAGCGGCGTAAAACCATACTCACTCACCCAGTCTGATTAGCCCTATCCAAAGTTGATTAGTACTTAACACGCGGAAACTATTGGAATTCTATACAGACGTTTATTTAAATGATTGCAATAATTTAGTAAGCGGATGTGTCAATTTCTTTCCCCCCACCTACCTCAACCCCAATCCATTGTATAATCGATCCACTAGAAATCCCACCCCACAACCAACATCTCGTGTTGGACTCCGTGAGGTCAGGGTTAGAATTGGTCTTCAGCAAACCCGCGAACCGATGTTTGTCAAAAGAGGCGATCGGGTGGTTTGTGTGTGTGTGTGTGTGTGTGCGTGCGTGCGTGTGTGTGTGAGGGAGGGTGGTCGATTATTTTAAAACCTTGTTAATTCTGGGAAAATATTCGCTTCAGACTGCTGAATAAAAAGAATTTGCATGCCACAAAAGTGAGATTGTTGCAAGGTATTTCTTTATATAATATCCATACGAAATCCCATCCCAAATATCGCTAAACGTTGCATCCAAAGAGACCTCGCCACGCTTTTATGAACAACGTGCGGATGTGCAGCCCTACTATATATTCGATACAGTTTTATACCCATGAACAGTGAATTCAGTACGCATGCACGACATGCCGTGATTCAAATCTCCTAACACCATCCCGTGAGGTCAGATGATCAGGTCACCTGCAAGAAATAGGCCATCTCCTCACTCAGATTACGCGTCGAAGTCGAATCAACGGGGTCATTCACTTCGTTAAGATCACCTTGTGCAGTCACATATGCTATTTCAAATATTTACCCAGGTCTATAACACTTTCTACAGGATACAGTGGCTGGCTGAATAATCACTCGGGGAACTGATGTCTCTGATACGGATCGCGGAAACAAAAATATTCGAAGACTCCCAAACAAGCGTTTAAGTCTCCAATACATTTGCAAGTCTAGATTACTCAAGTTTCTGAAAAGAGGTTACCCTCTGGTCAGCTTTCTGACATATTTTAAGCAACAAAATTTAAAATGTTTTCATTTCAGAGACTAAATGTTTGTCTAACGGTGGAGTAATTATTAATAAGAATCACAAATATCTGATAGCGAGCGGCGACGCGGGGCAATGTCTATGTGTGACAATTGTTGTAGAACTACGCTCGTTTAAAGCATTCTTCGGGGTCTGGCGGATGTCTTCCTTGTTACCATGGTAACTATAAACAGGGCACTGCTTTGGGGTACTTAGTTTGATTGTCTTTGTCCCAATTTCATATCCTGTGTGGTTAATCTTTCTTCCTGGTGACACGAGGCCTTCTGTGAATATGATTTACAAACAAGGAAATGTTTCTCGGTCGACCCTCGACACTTGAAGTCCTGCGTGTGTCTTAGTTTTCAAAGTCATAAGGAGCATACTTGTAATCAGTCATAACAACTGACTGAGTATAAAAGAGCCCCCCCACCACACTTTTGTTTTCAATTACATTAAAACAAGACTTTCCTCCCTCTGCACAAAAAAGGTACCCAAGAAACATATAGAGAATCTCACTCGAGTGTCTTTTGATATCAAATATATCAACACGAGTTGATAAAAGTGGAAAAATTCCGAGGCTTGCCGAGGAATTTTGCCACTTTTATCCACGAGTGTTGATATATTTGATATCAAAAGACACGAGGGTGAGATTTTATTTATCATCCAACATTATTCTTCCAACTTTTTCAAATTGTAGACAGCAATTAGCAGTGTCTTCAGTGTAAAAAGTACTGGGGCGCGTTGCAAGCCACGAATCGCTTAGAGAAAGCAAATTCATCGCTCAACCCGGGGTCTGCAACAGTTCGAAGCGCATGCGCACTCTTCCAAAATGGCGGTACAACTATACCGCTTGGTTGCCTTGACGTTTGTGTGTTTGTTGTTTAACGCCGCACTCAGCAATCTTCCAGCTATATGACGGCGGTTTGTAAATAATCGAGTATGGACCAGACAATCCAGTGGTTGACATCATGAGCATCTATCCACGTAATTGGGATACGATGACATGCATCAACCATGTCAGCGAGCCTGACCATCTGCGTAATGAAGAACGTAATAGAAGAGGCTCGATGACGAGCTGATGAAATTTATGACTACTTTGAAGATGTGGAGCAGACTGAGGATGATGGGGTGTTAGCTACCTTTGCTCATTTTCTAGTTGATCCAGTCAAGAATTCCTTGTTCCGCTGTCAAAGTAAGCCGCCATTTTGGTTTGAGAACGAAGCGACCTCAGTCAGCGATTGTTTCGCTTGCAAGCGGCTGAAAGTTAGCGCACTGTTGTAAGGCGAATCGCTGTACATCGCTCACAAGCGATTGGCGCTTTGCAACGCGCCCCTGCTAACAGCTTCAGTAGCAGAGCCAATAGTGATATCATTTGATTGTGACGTCATGTAACCAGTGACGTCACAAACAGGGTAATAACAAATAGTAATATGGCTGTTGTTTATCTGTCCTCCTTCCAGTTTATTGTGGGGACACGGATGGCCCAGTCGTCTAAGGCGCCGCGATTCGCTGTGCAGAGTTGCGTCCCTTGGGCACGCCAGAAACCTAAGATTATGGGTTCGAATCCCGGTTCAACCCAATTATGTTTCTAGGTTTGTCAGCACCATACCCGTGCTCGTGGGTTTCGCAGAAGTGGTAAATGTCTGAGACCTGCATCACTTCGGGCTTTCCTCCAACATTAAGCTGACATGCCGCGATATGACTGGAATAATGTTAAAAGCGGCGTTAAACCCAACTCACTCACTCCAGTTTATTGTCCTTATGATGAAAGCGTTCTCGTGTCACGCTGAAATCCCGATCCGAATCTCAACGTGAAGTCGTGATATGCTGGAACAATGATAACCCATAACGCACAATGGTATAATCAGACTTATTCTCTGCTTGATTTTTTATTTTAAAAAAGAAGTATTTTAGCATCTTTATTGCACCAGGGTTCCACGTATTTACTAATCTGTACAAATACCTTGCATATCAGGGGATATCATTTCGCTCTAAGATGGTTAGCGAGTGATCACTACTACATATACGTACCACATGTACATAGTGGGGACCGCCTCCGTGGTCTAGTGGTAGAGCGTCCGCCCGGAGAGCAGAAGGTCCGGGGTTCGATCCCCGGCCGCGTCATACCAAAAGACGTTAAAAGATGGTACTTGTTGTTACCCTGTCTGGCGTTCGGCTTTAGGGGCTAAATCAAGGACTGGTCGGCTCGGAGTCAGTATACTGTGTCTGAGTGGTATATTCATGTTTAACTGCGGCATGGTATCTCAGTGAGCTGGCACTATAAATCGGCATCAGTCCGGACTAGTACAAGCAGCCACACAAACACACACACGTACATGCACGTCGCTATATAAGTGCAATAATCTTGGTCAGCCTGGTGATAAGGTCACGGTACAGGAGACCGGAAAGTCGGGGTTCGATCCCCTGGCCGCGTCATGCCTAAATACGTTATTATAACATGGTACTTGTTTTTACCCTGCCTGGCCCTCCGCATTTCAAGGAGTGGTCGGCTCGGAGTCAGTGTAGTGCGCCTGAGTGTATATCCGTGTTAAACTGCTGTATGGTATTTCAGTGTGCTGGCAATATAACACCGGCATAAGTCTGGACTAGCGCGCGCACGCACGCACGCACGCACGCACGCACGCACGCACACACACACACACACACACACACACACACGTCGCTATAGGTGCAGTAATCTTGAACGCAACGTTAAAAAACTCATTTAACCTCACCACAGTACAAAAGACTATGTTGTATTTCTTTTAGCCTTGAATTATATGCTCGATGTTTAATATTAGTGTAGTATAAATATTAAGGAGGACGGTTGAAATGATAACGGTTATTTATTTCCTTGAATATGTTTCCTCGGGGAATATGAAAAGACTTTAATAATTTCCTCAATGATTGTCACACAGAAGCGTGATAATCAACCTTGAAAAATAATAAAGCTGAAAGTATTATTGAGTATCAGCAACCCGTTAGACTTGATCTTCAGAAACCCATCTTTGCCTCCTCCCGTTAAGATCCGGGTTAGATTTGGTCTTCAGGATTTTTTTTTTTTTAATTTTTGTTTGTTGCACTCAGCCAAGGGGTCTGAAAAATAATTGATCTGCGCTATTGGGATACGGTGACATGCATCAACCAAATCAGCGAGCCTGACCACCCGATCCCGTTAGTCGCCTCTTACGGCAAGCGTGGGTTGCTGAAGATCTATTCTCACCCGGATTTTCACGGGTGGGTATTCAGCAACCCATGCCACCCTAAGGCGACTAACGGCATCAGGTTAGTGACCGGTTGAGGCTGTGATATTGCTGCGGCGTTAATAGACGGGGAAACAAAGAAAGAAAAAACAACAATCAAGCCAGTATTCATCAAATTACTCTGAAAGAATAATAATTGACAAGAGATTAAATGCACATTGTAAATCTCGTTTTTTAATCAGACTGCAAGCCAGCGATATCTCTCTCTCTCTCTCTCTCTCTCTCTCTCTCTCTCTCTCTCTCTCTCTCTCTCTCTATAAGAACTCAACAATGGTATACCCATAAGACCAGTTACGTCATGAGATAATTACTAATGTAGATCACACATTTCTTTTGTCACAGAAAAGACAAACCCATTCCACCTGTTCGGGTTTCCATGGCAACGTCACACTATACCATATGTCCATGCCTACGTGTATAGCACTGACGATAACGAGCCCGCAAGGTGATTCACATTTACAGCTGGCATGAACAGCTGTTCAGGGCTATTGATAACTCCATAATTAGTTTCTACACTCAACTACACAGTATTACGTCATGCTGTATTGGTTATTGCGTTGTTCATAACATAAAATATTTATATATATACCGGTTCTTTCATGTTACGATAGCAAATCTGTCTTGCCAAATCTTTGACTTCTTTTGAGTTGTGACCGCCTCCGTGGTCTAGTGGTAAAGCGTCTGCCCGGAAAGCGGAAGGTCCGGGGTTCGATCCCCGTCCGCGTCATACCAAAATATATGGTACTTGTTGTTACCCTGCCTGGCGCTCGGTATTAAGGATAGGAGTCAGTATATTGTGTCTACGTGGGGGATTCATGTTAAAACTGCAGTATCATATCTAAGTGGGCTAGCACTATAAAATCTGCATTAGTCCGGCCTAGTACAAGCAGCCACACACACGTGCATGCACGTCACCATATAAGTGAAATAATCTTGGACGCGACGTTATTCCCCATTTCACCTCACCTCTTTTGAGTCGTATACTTACGTTTAGATCGCTTTTAAGATATTTATTATGTACTTATGTTTATTTCACAAGAATGTGACATGTTAATATTAATATAGAACTGGAAATATATACTAAACAATGTGAAAAGAACTCGTTTTGACACGCAGAGGCTACTTGTAGTGTTATGATGAAATTCCTCCAAAATCAAAGTTATGAATCAACTAGGGTTAATTCAAACATGTTATTTTCTTTTCATGATTGATTTTTTGTGCTAATTTAAAAGCTTTTGTTTCTGTTGGTTTATGCTAAAACGGTACGGATACTATTTTGTAAGTAATGCTTTGCTATGAGTGAGTGAAGTATGTTTTACGGCCCAGTATGGATAGCAAGGCTAATTTATTGTTGATATTTGTACAGATTGATTAACGGGATCTGGTGGTCAGACTCGATGACCCGGTTGATGCGTGTTCTCGTGTCCTAATTGCGTAAATCGATGCTCATGACGTCGGTCATTGGATTGTCTGGTCAAGACGCTATTTTTTTTACAGAAAGCCGTCATACAGCTAAAATAATATGAGTGCGGCATTAAACAACAAATAAACGGACCCCATGTAATATGCTGTGACGAAACCCTTAGTCTCTGTAGTCACGAGCGAGTGAGTGAGTTGGGTTTAACGCCGCTTGTAACGGTATTCCAGTTATATCACGGCGTGTCAGCTTAATGTGGGAGGAAAGCCCGAAGTGATGCAGGTCTCAGACGTTTACCACTTCGGTGAAACCCACGAGCACGGGTATGGTGCTGACAAACCTAGAAACATAATCGGGGCGAACCGGGATTCGAACCCATAATCATAGGTTTCTGGCGTGCCCAAGGGACGCAACTCTGCACAGCGAATTGCGACGCCTTAGACGACTGGGCCACCCGTGCCCCCCTGTAGTCACGAACTGTAGCGACCCGTGAAGATCCGGGGTAGAACAGGTCTTCAGGAACCCATTCTTGCCGTAAAAGGCGACTGTGCTTGTCGTAAGAGGCGACTAACAATCTCATTAAAATCAGTGTTAGTTCTCGCTACCTCTTAGCAAATTTGTTTAGCGATAGCTAGAACTAAGATCTGATTTTAATGAGATTGAGGCGACTAACGGGATCGGGTGGTCAGGCTGACTTGGTTGATGCATGTCATCGTATCCCATTCAGTGCTCATGATGTCAATCACTGGATTGTTTGGTCCAAACTCGATTATTAACAGACCGCCGTCAAAAAGCTGGAATATTTCTGAGTGCGGCGTTAAACAACAAACAAACAAACAAACACGAACTGTAGCCTATATATACAGTGTGTCTGTTCTGGAAGTATGCCTACTGCAACTGGTACACTGAACGAATTATGAACTGTGATTAAAATGAAACATATTCATGAAAAATATCCCCGTCATATGTTTGTTTTTTCCTCCGCCAGGTGGCGCTCTGCACACTCACGACTCGTCCATCACAAGTCTAGACTGGCTGATCAAGAATGTCACCTACCGACCTGATTGTTACATGTGCTTTGACAAGAAGAAACAATTGCAGATGCACTTCTACAGTAAACCGCCACAGAGTAAAGGTGCGTGGGAATTATTCCTGGGGTTATTCCGGTTATGAATAGATCCCCAAATAACTATTATTATCCTTTCGGGTGGTGAGGCACTTGGTTGATTGTGTGTCGTACCCTTATTGCTTGGGCCATTGCTCATTATATCAATCAATCGGATGATAGGGACCGGATGCCGGAGGTCGGGTGACGGGTGCCGAATACTGGAGGTCGGATGTTGTTGACCGGATGATAGGGACCGGATGCCGGAGGTCGGGTGACGGGTGCCGAATACCGGAGGTCGGATGTTGTTGACCGGATGATAGGGACCGGATGCTGGAGGTCGGGTGACGGGGGCCGATTACTGGAGGTCGGATGTTGTTGACCGGATGATAGGGACCGGATGCTGGAGGTCGGGTGACGGGGGCCGAATACTGGAGGTCAGATGTTGTTGACCGGATGATTGGGGCCGAATACTGGAGGTCGGATGTTGTTGACCGGATGATAGGGACCGGATGCCGGAGGTCGGGTGACGGGTGCCGAATACCGGAGGTCGGATGTTGTTGACCGGAAGATAGGGACCGGATGCTGGAGGTCGGGTGACGGGGGCCGAATACTGGAAGTCGGATGTTGTTGACCGGATGATAGGGACCGGATGCTGGAGGTCGGGTGACGGGGGCCGATTACTGGAGGTCGGATGTTGTTGACCGGATGATAGGGACCGGATGCTGGAGGTCGGGTGACGGGGGCCGAATACTGGAGGTCAGATGTTGTTGACCGGATGATTGGGACCGGATGCTGGAGGTCGGGTGACGGGGGCCGAATACCGGAGGTCGAATGATAGGGACCGGATGCTGGAGGTCGGGTGACGGGTGCCGATTACTGGAGGTCGGATGTTGTTGACCGGATGATAGGTACCGGATGCTGGAGGTCGGTTGACGGGGGCCGAATACTGGAGGTCGGATGTTTGGGACCGGATACTGGTGTTGGAACCCAGACATGGGTATTCCAGAGGTCTTCATCACAACACTTCTATAATGAGGTGTCCATGTCGTCTCGTTGTAGATTTTGTTTCAGTCTTGAAAAATGTCAAATATCATGTTGTAAAGATGACGTGTTATGGTCTTCAGATTGCAAATGGCAAACCGTCAAGACGCTGAGAGCTCAGTCAGGGAATGTCGGTCTCTTTGATTCCTAGTAAGTATATTGTTTATTCACCGATCACAATTGTTTTGACTTCAAGCACACGACAAAGTTACGGACAAAGACCTGTACAGTTGTCGTTTGTGCATATGACTTATACTGTTTACGACAGTATTGCCATCGTTAGATTGTATTTGCTGCTTGAGTAAACCTGCTCCGGAACATAGTCACTACACTACGTCACTTACTTACTTACTTATATTGGAGATTTAACGTGCGCTTTCCGACTGATGCGTATTTCGCACACGGAACTACGTCACTCCATCACCCGTGAATATATACCCTCGCTTTGCACGTATTATGTAATCTCTATTTTTAACCAACGAATCAAATCATGGCCTGGTTCCGTCGAGAGGGAAACCAGCGGTTGTTCTCTGACCAATGAGCGCTCAGATTACATAGTACTAACGGCAATGTGTTTCGTGCCACACGTGGGGTAGCCTAGTGGTTAAAGCATTCGCTCGTCAAGCTGAAGTCCGGGTTCGAATCCCGATATGGGTACAATGCGTGAAGCCCATTTCTGGTGTCCTCCGCCGTGATATTGCTGGAAAAGCGGCGTAAAACCATACTCACTCACTCACTCACTCGTGTGTAATACTGAAACTAAACTTATTTTAGTAATTCGGCATTCTTGGTTATATTTCAGCTATATCATACATACTTAAATAGTTGTGTCCCTTCGGTGCTCCAGAAACCTATGATTGTGTGTTCGAATCCCGGTTCGCCCCGATTATGTTTCTTTCTTTGTCAGCATCGCACCCGTGCCTTTGGTTTATTTGGGCTTTTCTCCCACAATTACCTGACACGCCATGATATAACTGGAATACTGTTACAAGCAGCGTTAAACCCAACTCACTGTTTAGGAAGCATGGTGAGAAATATTCAAAAGTTTGTCTTGAGCATTTGTCCGCTGGTTGGACAAATGTTACCAAGGTTTCTACAATACCTCGAAAATTTTGTAGTTGACAACAGAGGCAGTGTACTGTAAATCTTGAAATTAACGCGAGCGTGAATTGAATGTGAAAAATGTGGTCTTTGCTCGCATTAATTAATCTTCGTATTTAAGACTCCAAAATGACAATCAACAAGAAGACTGCACACTGCACTCACTGCACACATTGGATAACGGTAATACCATATAACAATGTCAGTCAAAGACTAGAAGTTACACAATAGGCATCCCGTGAGTTATCACTGCTGAGGTCAAGAGTTCTACCCACTCGTGTCAAACTCGTGTCACTCCCAGTCACTCACTCCTTAAATAGCTGAATTAATGTGGTGTATGTTTTTTTATCAGTTGATGTTTCAATATACGTATGTACATCTGTTAAATCATCACCATACTGAAAAGAAACCCTCTTTATTAACAGTTTGCTATCGAATATCAGCATCATCGTGGACAACCCACAAGATGTATACGTTACCGTGAACGACGTGTGGAAGAAGTTTGGCAGTTACTTCACTGTGGTGAATGGTCTGTTTCTGTACGAGCCTGTCTTCAGGGACTACCTGGTGGAGGCGCTCGCGCAGTTCAAGGCGGACAATGTGCAGTACCTTGAAATCAGGGCATTGCTGCCAAAGGTATTTAGACTTTTGATAGTTTTGGATTTGCAAAACTTGGTCTACGGATCCTCTTGCCCTTAAAGTTCACAAATTATGAGGACATATTGTTTATTCCTCCGGAGACACGTAAGACTTCCACAAAAAATGAAAGTCCGACAACTGCTAGTCTAGATCTCATACTTTGTGTACCCCTCTGACAAGTGTAAATTGGCACGGCTCCCATGGCCGAACGCTATGAATACACAATGCCATTTAGAAAGTGGTCAACTGTAACAAATGTTCTATTTGGAATAACACTTTCTTAGATAAGTACAGATTCTCGTATTTTTGGGGGTTGAGTCCCGTCACGGATTCGAACCCACACTGCCAGAGTGAGGCACCTAATCGCCAGCACACAAAGTCAGCGGTCTAGCCCGTTCAGCAAGCCGAGGCTTCCACAAAAAATGAAAGTCCGACAACTGGCAGTGTGGGTTCGAATCCCGGACGGGATTCAACCCCAAAAAGTACGAGAATGATCGACAATCTTTATTTTACTTAGAAAGTTATGTCACAAATAATACATTTGTTACAAAGGAGAGTATGTCTGGATGGTCGCCAAGTTTAACCCAAATAAGATCCTTGGTTTGGTCTTCAGCAACCCACGCTTGTCGAGGCGACTAACGGGATCATGTGGCCAGGCTCCGGGACTTAGTTGATGCATGTCATTGTATCCCAATTGAGTGGATCGATGCTCAATTGTCAATCACTTGATTGTCTGGTTCAGACTCGATTATTTACAGACCCCCGTCATATGGCTGGAGTACTGCTGAGCGTTAAAACAACAAACAAGCAAACAAAGTGGCAAAAATATACGTAAAGCTGACCTGTAATAATGTAACTGATCTACTGCTTGAAGTGGCGTTATACCCAACTATGCCCCGGGTTATAACATAGCATATAGGGCTGGGACTACCCGGGCTTGGTACCGGCCACCCTATTACCCGGCCCTACCCGGATACCCGCTATAGGTCTCAAGAGTTGGGTACAAAATGTCGGAATTGGAATTGTTTTACCGCAGCCTTGGCAAAAACTATTTAGATACATGTATAAAACAATCTGATCATGTATAATCTGCAGTTGATAAACGCTTTATCCTTACTTGAACATATAAAAATGAGAACGAATGCCTGCATAGTGAGAAAGAAATGTAAACATTAGCTATACTTGTAGCGTAACATTGAGTTTTATTGTTAATGTCATTAAACAGTATGTCACGTGACTAACCACGGGTCCGGGTATTTATGTTAGTACCCGGGTCCTACTCAGGACCCACCCGACCCGAGTACCCGAGTTACCCGTCCAAGCCCTTAATTATATTAGCGTACCTCTGGTTGCAGCTGTATGACCTCAACGGCAATAAAAGTGACCCGGAACACACGCTCCAAGTCTACCGTGACGTCATCAAGCGGTTTGAAAAGGAAAACCCAGATTTCATTGGGTGCAAGTTGATACAAAGCGCCATCAGGTATCTCAACATTTAGTCATATGTAAATATGTAAGGGTTGCATTGGCGACCTGGATTGTAGGGAACGGCGGTTGGGGAACGATCGTTGATTTTCTGTGTGCGTGCGTGCGTGCGTGCGTGCGTGCCTGCGTGGTGGTTTGGTTTTTTTTAATTCTTGTTGTTGTCCAAGACAATACTTAGGGGTGGGGGTGGGGGGTAGCTCACAGGTAGCCCTGTAGCTAGAATTCGCTGTGCAGTTCCTCAGCAGTCCAGAATCCTGTGATGGTGGTTTCGCCGTGTTTATGAACCTTGGCCTGTTAAACTCACAACCATTCTCGTGGGTTTCACCAAAGGGGTAAACGTCTTTGACGTCTTAGCCTAGTGGTTAAAGCGTTCGCTCGTCTCATAGAAGACCCGGGTTCGATTGCCGACATTGGTACAATGTGTAAAGCCCATTTCTGGTGTCCCCCGCCATTATATTGCTGGAATATTGCAAAAAGCGGCATTAAACCATACTCACTCATTCACTCACTCACTCTTCGACCAACATTACTTTGGGCACACCATCATAGACCTATTCTACACAGCCGCCTAAAACCGAAACAGTGACAAACAAGGGTTCGTTTGCAATTTTACTTGTTGATAGTATGCGAGCATGGCTTCTTATGTTCTTATAGGGGCGGTCGGACCCGGTTCGATTGCCGACATGGGTACAATGTGTGAAGCCCATTTCTTGCGCCCCCCGCCGTGATATTGCTGGAATATTGCTAAAAGCGGCGTAAAACCATATTCACTCACTTATGCTCTTATATGTATCCACAGCATAGAGATTGTGTTGTCCAGATCCGGGTCGCAATGATATAATCTAGCTGACTGACTTCATTCACAGGTTTTCACCACCGAAGGATGTAATGTCGTCATTATATCAAGCAATCAGCTTCATCCGGAAGTACCCCGACATTTTGCGGGGGTTCGACCTTGTGGGCCAGGAGGGCCCGGGTCACACCCTGTATTACTACCTTGAGGACCTCCTCTACCCCTCCCAACAGTCGCCGCCTATCAACATATCGTACTTCTTTCACGCAGGAGAAACGGGTGAGAACTGAGGTTGTCCCAAATATACTTCGTATATGAGAACATTCAACTCCAGTCGTGCGCGTGCTGTGATTTAAATAGTTTGCACTAAAGATTGGGGGTGGGGGTGTTATGTATGTGTGTATGTGTGTGTGTGTCGGGGGGTTGGAGGTAGGGGGTGGGGGTAGTTGGTGTTTGGTTTGGGGTGGGTGGGTAAAATACGTGTCAGTCTCACCAGGTCCTCTGATACAATACCTGTCTGCCTGATCTGACAAACTATCCATGGCAGGTTGCGTCAGGTCACGTTTCTAATCAGTCTATCAGCGTGGAGGCTTCTAAATTCCCAGTACGAGCGAGCGAAGGATTCAGAGCCGCATGTATGATGAATGTATCCCAAAACAGATACGAAGGTTCCAAAATAATAGAGGCCGCGTTAAAACAGTGTGGTCGATATTTTATACACCCTGTCGTTTCTGAGCGCCATGTCATCAAAACTCAAAATGGAGTCCCATCGATGGAATTTTTTTGTTCTGTGATGGTTTCCCTCCGTTAAGAACGAACTATCTGAATCGAGGTGGAAAAGAAATGAAGCCGTGTGTGTGTGTGCGTGTGTGCGTGTGTGTGTGTGTGTGTGTGGATCTGATTTTAAAGAACATATCTAAATAAATATCTACCATTTATGCACCAGACTGGGAGGATAGCCAGGTGGATCTGAATCTCGTGGACGCCGTCCTGCTCAACGCGTCCCGCATCGGCCACGGCTTTGCTATCTACAAACACCCGGAAGTGATGAAGATGATTAAAAAGAAAGATATAGCTATTGAGATCAACCCGATATCGAACCAGGTGAGTTCAAACTGAAGAAAATCCACCACATATATATGAATACATGTCATATAGTATAACAATTGCACAAATATGTTCGGTCTGTAAGTTATGTCAAAGATGTTTTCTTTGAAAATTAGGGATTTGTAACAGGAGTGAGTGGTCTAGTGGATAGAGCGTCTGCCCGGACAGTAGGTCGGTGGTTCGATCCCCGGCCGGGATATACCAGATAACGTTAAAACATGGTGCTGGTGCTCGGCATCACGGGGTTAAAACAAGGACGGGTCTTCTCAGAGTCAGTATACTGTGTGTGAGTCGGTATCCATGTTAAGCTGTGACATGGGATCTCAAGTGAGCAAGCATTATAAAAAGTGCAATAATCTAGTACGTTACGTTACTACCACCCCCACAGTCATCTGGGTGAATAAATATAGTAAAATCTCGTTAACTAAACTCCATTATCACGATATTCGGATAAAACAGCTTATCATATAATGGGTAGGTTTCTCGGCAGGATAAAGACAACGGATAAAAACAATATCCGTTGGGGTCATATGCGGATTGAGATGCAGACATCAAAGGCCAAGAAGGGACTACTTTCAGTGTTTACAAGCAAACATGACAAACATTCGGCGATCGAGTCAGAGTTAACCATCGGGAATCTGACATCAGAAACTACTGAGCTAACTCCTATCATTATCAAAAGAATAGTGTAATATATTGAAAATCAGTGTTTACCTGTGACGAAATTGAGGCATTTTACAACTTTGGCAACTTATGGTTGAGAGGGGCGTTGGGGTAGCCCAGAAGTACGCTCGTCACAAAGAATACCCGGTTCGAATCCCCATGTGGGTATATTGTGTGAAGCTTGTTTCTGGTGTTCCCAGTTGTGATTTTGCAGGAATATTGCTAAAAGCTGCTCACTGACTCACTCACTGACTCACTTCTCGCTGACTCACACACTCGGTGTCTCACTCACTCACTCACTCACTTAGGTCCTGTCTCACTCACTCACTCACTCACTCACACACCCACCCATTCACCCGCTCACTCACCCATGGTCACAAGGGCTAGGGGCGGTCGGGTAGCCTAGTGGTTAAAGCGTTCGCTCGTCACGCCGAAGACCCGGGTTCGATTCCCGACATAGGTACAATGTGTGAAGCCCATTTCTGGTGTCCCCCGCCCCCGGCGGGGGGAATATTGCTAAAAGCGGCGTAAAATCTCACTCACTCACTCACTCACAAGGGCTAATTCATGTTTCAGGTACTAAAACTTGTGGATGATTTGCGCAATCATGGAGCTGTAAGTCTGTTCGCCGACAACTTCCCGCTCGTAGTGAGCAGTGACGATCCCGCCGCTTGGGGCGCTCTTCCTCTGTCACATGACTTCTACATGGCGTACATGGCGTTGGTTGGGGAAGACGATGGACTGGAGGTTCTCAAACAGCTCGCTATGAACTCTATACAGTAAGTCACCACCCGTAGGTCCGTAGCATACAATAGTCAGTGATCAGTAAGTGGAACGTCAAGTAAGATATTTGGAGTTACCTCCCTTTTCGTGACGGATGGGCGACAATGGTTTTAACGATTTTCGTGCCTTCTGTATATATATATTGTGCAAATGAACCCACACTGTTATACGTTTTACGTCACAATGCAAGCCACACCTACGATGGTTCCATGTGGGCACCATTTATAACTAATGTGTGTGTGTGGGGGTGTGGGGGGGGGGGGGGGGGTGGGGGTGTGTGTGCACAATTAAGATCTATTTATTGTCTTTGGTGGTAATTTATACGGAGATAAAAAAAAAATTCGAAATAAAAAGGGGGAAGTTATTTTATTTAGTTTGAAGTCAGAGACCCCTTACTGATTTCTCGGGGTTATGCAATCTGTGTAATAACTTATGTCATCTCCTAAAACCACACAGGGCGAATGTTTCACACCGTGACACGGTAAAGATGTCAACGTCATGATGATGATGGTGATGATGTCAACGCGATGATGATGATGATGATGATGATGATGATGATGATGTTGATGTTTAGCTTGGGACGGTGGTAGTACATGAGGCAATATCTTATTTCAGGTATAGTGCAATGACCAAAGACGAGAAGCTGGCCGCAGTTGCCAAATGGGAAAGCAAGTGGAACCATTTCATCGCGGAGATGCTTGAAATCTTATAAAGACTGGACTCTTCCAAATCCCACCCCATGCCTTCCCAATCAATATTAGCGGTTTTCTCTATAAGGATATGCGTTGAGGGTGAAAACAGTCATAATCAATTCCACCACCCGAACACTGTAATACTATTTTAGTCATAACTCTACCCACCCACTCTACCCACCCCCTGTACCAGCTCTCTCCCCACTCCACATGTAATCCCACTCCACTCCTCCACACCCCAAGTCCTCCAAGTCTTGTCAAGTCATCCATCACCCCACCACCGTTGGTCGCTACCTAAGACTATTCTGTGAGTGAGTATGGTTTTACGCCGCTGTAAGCAATATTCCAACACCACCACGGTAGGCGACTCCAGAATGGGTTTGATTTCATATTTAGCAATATATACATATATTACAGTTTGCAATTTATATAGTTTTATACACAGGTTTACAGATTTTAGTACATGTTCACTGACTGCATTTAACCGTCACCAAATATTTCTTCCCTTATTACGATAAGAATATATTTTTGATCGTAAAAATGTATGCGCTCATGCTATGTAGATATGGATGCTGTAGATTGCTCATATGGGACCAGTGATGCATGTAGCTCATATGGCACCGTCCTTTTAGATGAACCAAGTATTACTACTTAAAAGAAGGCCTTGGACATCGACATGAACAACGGCAACAACAGGCCACACGAATACAACAGCTATGCTAGAGGAAACGTGTGCTGATTCTAAACTGTAACTACTACTACTACTACTACTACTACTACTACTACTACTACTACTACAAGACACTATGCTAGAGGAAACGTGTACTGATTCTAAACTGTAACTTCTACTACAGTAAACTACTGTTATAACGAACTCAAAGGGACCACTAATTTTAATTCGTTATAACCGTAGTTCGTTATAAGCAAATGTACGGAATATATACAGCAAATAGACAGGACCAAAAAAATAGTTCGTTATATCCGTCAGTTCGTTATAAGCGTGTCCGTTATAACCGTAGTTTACTGTACTTCTACTACTACTACTACTACTACTACTAGAGCTACTACTACTACTACTACTACTACTACAACGACTAGAGCTACTACTACTACTACTACTACTACGACTAGTACTACTACTACTACTACTACTACTACTACTGCTACTACTGCTGTTACTACTAAGTAATATTACTACTACTACTACTACTACTGTCACAAACGCATAGTGCAATGAACGGACACATTTTGATTGGACAACAGTTCCGTTGTGCTGCGTCTCTGATTGGTTTATCATGTCGCACGGTGGTGATGCCTAGGGATATCACCATCGTTGTTCATAAAATATTTATGTTTTTTTGTTGTTATTAATGTTATTTGTTTTTAATCTTATTGTTTTTAACGTCCTGTGTGCTGATTGTAATTTATTACATTATTGAGCGTGTCTGCCTTTCAACAGTATTGTTATTAACTTTGTAAGGTTCATGTATATTTTATACTGTCAACATTACTCTTCAGTGCACCCGTTCAAACGCAGTGTTAGGGACCGACCATTTGGTTGTTTGCAACATAAAAATACACTGTTGCAATTTTTGTGTGTGTGTAAAAATAATAAATATTATTCTCGTAATTTTGATTTTAAACAAATCTGGTTTGCAGAGTTTGCTGAAAAATATCTAGTCTCCGTTTAGATCCGCCCAACCGAGAATATCAAATGGTCGGCCCCTTGATTAATAAAATATAGATGAAAGGAACTATTCAGAAAGGCTGAGATCACTGCCTTGTATATACATGGTAGTTGGCATATGTGGTGCGGAAACTGCAGATTGACCGCTGCAACCTGTTATTGTTTTTATGCCTTCTTTTCAAACCAGCTGTATTATACACTTGGTCATTAATATGTAGAATGTGTCACAGTTATTACGATTGTTTTAAAAGCGTCACACGACAAAAACATTATTTTTCACTGGTGAATGAAGAGGTCATATTGTGTTTCATAAGCTATTTGTCTCTGGCCAACTTATAGTCACTAAATCCGCTTGTCTTTCATGATTTCTAAATGATGCTAATGTGATTATGAATTAAATGAATTTGTATGAATGGTCCTTGTCCTTGTTTTTCTTCACTTACTGGTCGGGAAGCATACCTCTCTACCGGACACCTTTTTTGGAAAGTACCCATAGTTGCCATCGAGAGTGAGGTTGGTTTTACGCCGCTTCGAACATTATTTCGATTACATCACGCTGCGTCAAGAAAGGTCAAAAATAGGTTGCAGCTTAATCTGAAAAGTTTACAAAACCGAACACCGATAACATGTTGTTTGTTTGTTTATTTGTTTGTTTGTTGTTTAACGCCGCACTCAGCAATATTCCAGCTATATGACGGCGGTCTGTAAAATAATCGAGTCTGGACCAGACAATCCTGTGATCGACATCATGAGCATCGATCCACGCAATTGGGATCGATGACATGTATCAACCAATTTAGCGAGCCTGACCACCCGATCCCGTTAGTCGCCTTTTACGACAAGCATAGTCGCCTTTTACGGCAAGCATAGGTTGCTGAAGACCTATTCTACCCCGGAATCCAGATAACATGTAACGTGTCAAAGCGGTGTAGGTCTGAGACGTTTCCAAGAAGCTTAAAACAATACTCGGCCCTTCTCAAACTTATTTTTATAGTTAACGTTATTGATGTCATCCGCCACTGATACCTATGCTTGTGAGAGGCGACTAAAGGGATCGGGTGGTCAGGCTCGCTGACTTGGTTGATGTATGTCATATAGCTGGAATATTGCTGAGTGTGGCGTTTAACAACAAACAAACAAACAAAACATCCAGTGTACTTGAACGGAGTTTGAGAATATAGCGAAGCGTCCGTAAAATCGGTGATCTCGGACCAGCCAGATTTGGCCTCCGAAGCTCTGAAACTCAGAGGGGGCACGGGTGGCCCAGTCGTCTTAGGCGCCGCAATTCGCTGTGCAGAGTTGCGTCCCTTAGGCACGCCAGAAACCTATGATTGTGGGTTCGAATCCCGGTTCGCCCCGATTATGTTTCTAGGTTTGTCAGCACCATACCCGTGCTCGTGGGTTTCACCGAAGTGGTAAACGTTTGAAACCTGCATCACTTCGGGCTTTCCTCCCACATTAAGCTGACACGCCGTAGTATAACTAGAATACTGTTAAAAGCGGCGTTAAACACAACTCACTCACTCTGAAACTCGGAAATGGTTATCACTTGCGACAAATAACGGTCAACGCCGATTCTGGATCCAAATGCAAGTTATGATTGATTGTTGGCTCGAGGTATGATACGTTTGTTGTCGGCTGGATGTGTGTTCCGTGTAGACTGACCAATGTTCCGCGTAGCCTCATTTAGCGTTACCAAAGCAATTCCAAGGCGTGGAACACGTAAAAGAAATCGTCAAATCACATTTGCATTAGGACTAGTTGCTTTACGCCACATATAGCGATGAAGCTATACCACAGCAGTTTGAAATCTGGGCCACGTTAACCAGTGGTTGATAGCATGAGCAGCAATCCACGCCTTCAGTGCTCAGTAACTCACACTATGACCGAGCGATCCTCACGGGTCGACTTTTACATCAAACATAGAGTACCATGCACGTGACCCTATAACTCCCTGTAGATATGGTACTGCGCTCATTAACATGACTCCTGGCTGGTAACTGTTGGTTATTTTGCAAAATTATATGGGCAAAATTTTCCCATTATTAACACTCAACTTTAAAACATAAATTATATAGCCAACGAGGAATAATGGATTATCTGTCCCGATGAATGAATGCTGTACCGGGACTTCCCGTATTTAGGCCCACGCGGAATTACGCTCATGGGCCTAAAAACGGAAAATATTTCCCTATTTAATCCCATGGGCTTTAATTCAGATATTGATTTTGGAGTGATCTTCTTTAAAATAATACCTTACTCCCAACGAAAGTTAATACGTCGCGATGCACTACATGTGGCAAATTTTAATGTACATTCCACAGTAACTGGGGGTCACGGGTGGCCCAGTCGTCTCGGTGTGCAGAGTTGCGTCCCTTGGGCACGCCAGAAACCTAGGATTGTAGGTTCGAACCCCGGTTTACCCCGATTGTGTTTCTAGGTTTTTCAGCACCATACCCGTGCTCGAGGGTTTCACCGAAGTGGTAAACGTCTGAGACCTGCATCACTTAAAAGCGGCGGTAAACCCAACTCACTCCACAGTAACTAATTAATTTTGTGTGTGCATTCTGATTAGCTGAATTGGTCACTTCTTATTGCATTCATTTCCCAATTAGGCCACGCCAACTGAACCGGACTACGATTACTACAAAATGTCGGGGAATCCCAATATTGCAGTCAAGGGAATTCCCTTTCTGCTCACGTGTATCGTCATGCACAGGACATTTAGCGAAATTCATGCACATTTATTTCCAAACTACCCTTTGAGACCGAAGGCCGAGAAGGAATGAAACAGCAAACGTGCAGGCTCGCTCGCCTGTTTTTGTCATGTCTTCGAGTTTCATTTCTAACCCGCATTTGTCCATCTGTGTCTTCCCGTTCTTACCTATTACTTGCGGCATCTCCGCGATGATGTGGAAGCCACACGTAGGACGCAGGGTCTAGCAATGGGACGTTGTCCAACACAGTGCTCAGGCAGAGACAGTTTTGTGAAATGCCCTCGATATTACTGGACTGGTGCACACCGTGCAGATCACCCATCTCGAGCAAGAACCCACCCTTACTTAAAAAAACACGCAGTGTAACAAGAAACTGTGTCTCTGGCGTTAGGGCATACGAGTGAGTGAGTATGGTTTTACGCCGCTTTTAGCAATATTCCAGCAATATCACGGCGGGGGGACACCAGAAATAGGCTTCACACATTGTACCCATGTCGGGAATCGAACCCGGGTCTTCGGCGTGACGAGCGAACGCTTTAACCACTAGGCTACCCGACCGCCCCTTAAGGACATACGAACGTTTTGTGGGGTGTTCTATTAATGGCCGTACTTTGTCCACCTGGAACAAGGATGAACGAGGCATTCTGTATCGCGCGTACAGCTCGTCGTCACTTAGAATTTCGAGTTGCATGGTTCTATCTCTAAAAACCCGTTCTCTTCTTATAAATCTGCCATATTCTTCGCAAAAAATTGGTCCGGACCAATTGTAAGTATCGATTGTAGGTTACAATGATCCTAGCCTACAATCGCTTTGTGCAAGTGGATGGCGATTGTAGCCGAAGCCTAAGATCGTGATCGTAAGGATTTACAATAATTGTAGCGCTAAGATCGCTTTGTGCAAGTGGACCAGTTGGGTGTACACAAACATATTGCACGTTGTATTTGCCTGGAGAACACCGAATGTACTGGCAGCATAATACAGGTCAGATAGATTTCTTCAAGTCCTTATTTCCCTTGTCTCTTTGAATGTGTAAATTGAAATATCATTCAGTTACTTCGATTTATATAATGAAATAGAACCCGACGATTGCTCATCGTTGAAAATAAATGTTGGATATTTATATGATTTGATAAACATTACAAAATGTAATCAAAGGATCGACATTGTTATGCTTATGTACATTCATTGTAAGTATCACCTGGTAAAAATGTTCGTTTTATGTGCGATTTAATATTATTTGTTCACAACAAAATGGTTAAGGGTCAGCTGAGACGTGCCAAAAACTGTATTATGAAAGTTTAATCATTTGTTAGATAAATAAAACATGAGACAACATGATTTGATTAATATTGCTACATGTAAATGATACATGCCCAAACAGAGAGAACGCTATGCCTTCAAAGTTCCGTTGTTTTCACTCTTGAGTTAGATATGCAACGAAAGCAACCATGTGGTAACCATTTTAAATGAAAACAATCAATGTCAATTATACAAATGTACCCCACCTACTCCGCAATATCAAACCGTGATGGGTCTCGCAAATTATAGATATTCATACTATATATAATAGTGGTATAGGAAACATACGTACATAAATATAAACTACTCAAAACAATAATTGGAAGGCTCTGTGCTGTAGTATAAAAAATTAGGTGTTCTTTAATTTCTTTTGTTGAGTATATTAATATTTTGCCTATCAAATGATATCTGTTCTATCAGTTCTATTCTGTATATATACTTTGCAGTTGTTTCCCCACATGGGTACAATGTGTGAAGCCCATTTCTTGTGTCCCCCGAAGTGCTATTGCTAAAAGCGGCGTAAAACATTAGTTACTCACTCAATACTCACTTTTCATTTATTTGCTATAAATATTATGATTTATCTTTTTACCTCAAACAAGTTGACCCCCCCCCCCCCCCCCCACACACACACAAAGTTTCGTCCAATTTTTCAGTTATAGGAGGGGGCACAGGTGACCCAGTCGTCTGAGCAGAGTTGCATCCCCATGATCGTAGCTTGGAATACAGGTTCTCCTCGGTTATGTTTCTTGGTTTCTCAGCACCATAACCGTGCTTGTGGGTTTCACTAACACGTCTGGAACCTGCACCACTTTGGGTTTGTTCCGACATTAAGCTGATACGCCGTGATATAACTGAAATACTGTCAAATGCGTCTTTCAACCAAACTGACTCACTCGATTATTTGAACGTGTTGCCAAAATGGACATGATGTAGATGTAAATATGAAGATGTGTTTTTTACTACTTATGACTCCCAAGACGTAATCTGCTACCAATATGATGGTCATAACCACAAGTGACTTCCCTACTTATTCTGTGCGTGATATTGTAATTGGCTGAATGCACAACTGAAAAGAGGAACCAGAATGGGAATAAACCTATTCTGTCCCATCTTTCAGTCATCCTAGTCTGTCTGAACTTTCATGATGTGTGTGTCGTAGTTCCCACTGACAAACCCTAAAAGACAGGGTTAGAAATTGGCGCTGGTCCTATACTAGTCCTTGCAAATCTGCCCAGTAGTTAAGGTATCATAAGGACTAGTAGATATTTGTCATTTTCTTTTCTTTTCTATATGTTATCATTATAAGGACTAGTGGACCAAAAATGTTAGTTTTTACCACTGATTTAAAACAATACAATTAATTGAGTGTTTGATTGCAGAAAATGGTATGAGTTACATATTAAGTGACGCAACAGATAAGGTCAGTATGTTTACTGAGATACTTTTGGCATGACACATGAAGACAGGTCCATTTCCTTTTTTTAACTGGTTTTCAAAGCTCCATTAAAAATCCGTACTCAGAACGACATATTGCAGGTTCTGCATACGTAGCACCAAATCCCTGATCCTTGTCTCAAAGATTAACCATAATCATTAATATATTTAACACTTTCTATATATCCACAGACTGTATTTGAGACATTACAATGTCCCACACTACAAACTGTGAGGAAAACTTTATTCCTTGATCGATGGGACATTTGTTCCTAATCGTGGTTGCCATAGCTATATTTACATCTCTATCTTCAGGGGGTCGGGGCTAATAAAAGCTAATATCATCTAAAATTCACTGAGAAAACAACATGTGAAATGCTGGACCTCCTCATTGAAAACATCCATAGTGAAATTTGGGGATAAAACATGTACACAAGAAGTAGTTATTGGCATTCCCATGGGCACCAATTATGCTCCTCTTCTTGTTGATCGGCTTTTTATGCAGATTTACCCACCAGCATTAGTAATATAGGAGACCGGTGAAACCACCTCATCTATTTCATATTTAGATATATATGCATACAAATTCAGATGTGACAAAACACATCTCCACAAGACTGTATGATAAGGATGGCGTCAACATATTTCCGATAGTCAATTTCCCTAAATGTCGAGCAATGTTCCAGCAGCTCCAACCTTTGGTGGTCCAGCTCCAGTTTACATTTCACTTTAACTTTTGAGATACATTCGAGCATGCTCTTTCTTAAACGAAAACATTCAAAGAGCGGCATACGACCGTTGTTGATCAGGGTTTCATGTTTTATAGCAGACATGTCGAAATTTGTTGCATCAGTGACCAAAATTATGTCTGATGCAATTCCCTGTTTTGTAAAACATGTTCCCAGCTTTTCGCAAGTGAACAAATGACTAACCGTTTTGCGTGTTTCGAAGGTGTGCCACCGGTGGGGTTGTATCCACACCTTTTCTCGATCAGCTGGTGTCATCATTATTTCATGATGATTCCAAAACAAATGCTGATCATAGAGTCTGAATCATACAATGGACTTTGCTTTTGGCAGATATTTCTGATGATTATGGAGAATGTTTTGTGGCTTTTGTTTACATAGTCCAGACATATGTGTTTTCTCTTTCTAAGTTCATGTGTTTGATGTTTGATATAAATAGTTCACTAGGAATTACCAACAAGACAGTCTCCGAACAATCTCTTTAAAAATAATAACATATGTTTGAATATCTGTAAATTTATAGAACAGAGCATGTATTTTTTTAATGCTGACATTGTATTCAAAACACCGAAATACGTTTATATAATACCTACGTTAAATCGTTGCACTGGTCTGTTCAGGTAATTGGGAGCATCATTTTAGCAAAAGTGGTGAAAAAGTATAGGTTTTTCAACTTAGATTAGTGGTTAATATGAGATTATGTTTTGCTTCAGAGTTAAAATCTAAGGTCAAACTTCTCCCCTACATCTTTTACACCTGGGTCCACTTGCACAAAACGATCTTAGCGTTAAAGTTATTGTAAATCCTTAAGATCGCGATCTTAGGCTTCGGCTACAATCGCCACCACTTGCACAACGCGATTGTAGGCAAAGATCATCGTAAGCTACAATCGAAACTTACAATTGGTCCGGACCAATCTTAAGTAGCTAAGATCGTTGTAGTCCCTAAATAAACTTGACAAAATGGCCTGCAAGACAGGGTCAGTTTCACATAAATAATCTGTTTTATATTCAAGCATTGCCTCTGTATTTTGTTATACTTTATGATTCGAATCGACACTCCAACAACACGAAAAACGCACCACAGATGTCACATCAGAAATATCGTTATTTTCGATAATGAACCACATAACTATCGAGTCGAAAGCTAAAAGTATTATTCCCACCTGACTTAATGCTGAAAGGAGTGTGAAACAACATACCTTTTCCCTTATCAAGGAAAAGATAAAAAAACCACTGTCGTCTGCAAGTGATTTGTAATGTCCGTGACCTTTTTGGATACATCAAGGGTGTTACGTGATGTGTGTGTGTTGTACACATGTCTCGATAGTCATAGACAACTCAGAGTAAAACTTCTGCGTTTATTACAACTTACATGGCAGACATATGCCAAGGGAAGCAACTCTTATAACAAGACTGCATACCACGTAACAAAGGGTAACTAATCAAAGCGATCGTAGCTCTAAGACGATCGTAACCCCCATACTTTAAAGCAAACCTTTAATGGCAGTCTTAACGCTACGGTCACTTGGTGGAACGGGGCCCTGGATTGCCAGCAAAGTGGGTCTAAAATATGCTAAGTGATACTTTAAGTAATAATTTCTTCATTATATGTAGATTGACCGCTGTAACGTGTCATTGTTATTATTCCATGCAGGATTTCATGGCAACCGACGTCAAATCAACATGACGTTAATCATTATAAACAGATGGAGTTTTCACCCCTTTGAATGGTCGGAATGACGTCATAGCTGAAGATTATTGACGGCATTTGACAATTGTGATTTTACACTTAAGTGTGAAAGACTGACTTTTCCGAAGTTGAGAAAAGGGATATTTTCATTGCAGTGAACATAACAATTGATATTTCACTGCAGTGAACATAACACTTTGACGGAACTAATATCATACAAGAGTGACCTCCCCTCAAATTGTCTCCCTTTATCGTAAGTGTCTGGCCCCTTCACAAACAGTTAACTTCCTTTTTATGCTCGTTACACATTGACAAGGCAAAATAATGACAGATGATCTTTTAATATCGCTTAATGGCATTTGTTAATCTCTTGAAAATGTTCCGTTATAAATTGTAAATTTCTCACTTAACTCGTGAATCGAGACCGTTCGTTTCGCAAAGCGCCATTTTTGTTACTTGACCAGAATGTATTCTTTCGCTTCAAACAGCGGTCGCGAAGTTTACAAGAATATATTTTGTTAAAGTTGTTTTGTATATAATCATATCTATATTATAATGCAGAATTTTCGCGACCCAAAATATTTTTTGTTACTTTTGTATATATTTTTCATGATTTTGCAAACACGAAACTACTTTTTTAAGTCGCAAATACAAGGGGTGGTGACCCGTCCCTGTGTGTTAGGTAGGAAGAATTTATGGTTCAAGGTTTAACATTTGTAATGAAATAATTTTATTTTCCGGTAGAGCACAACGCAAAAAGTATGTAATAAATAGGATATTCCATGTGTCTCCTGAAATCTTTCTCATATCATTCTCTCATCTCGTGAATGGGGAAAAGGAGATATGTTCACCCGTGTAAATATCTCCCTCCCCCCATGGTCGCATGGAACTCTGGGTAGGTGCTTACTAAGGGGAGTAAATATGTTTAAGAAAATATGCCTAATGTCATACTGTGTGTCATCCCGAATTTATAAAATTCGTGCTCTCGCTCGGGAAATGCAAAAATGCGGACACTCGTTTCTTAAAATCAGTATGATACACATATTCGTAATAATAAATCTCTGTATATTACACTCACATGTGTGTCGTACTGACCTTACGATACGAGTGTCAGAAACGAAACACATGCTCATATTATAATCTCTATGTATTTTTCAGTGGAAGATTTGTTCGAAATCCTGTAATATTCCAGGTGATATAGCTCTGTGTAATCTTATCTCGGAGAGACAGGAGAAACAGGAGAGACCAAGGAGAGACCGAGACTGGACACAGTGTTACCAGTTGCCACTAAAATGACGTATTCGTGCTTCAAACCCTATTTTCCTCTATTGCTGTTGAATGTTTTATTTCTGCACATTGACTGCATGTCGATATCGGCGTATACTTTGGAAAGACAGCGCATCATGAAGAGTGAGGAGTCAGACATGTTTGGATCTTCCCTTGTCTTGAACAAACAGGAGGGCCTGATTAGTGATTTATTAGTCAAAGCCAAGCGTGCGGAGATTGAAGATTCCCGGGTCAACGGAACCGTATTTCCCCCCGCAATCAACTTCTTTGAATCGAGGAAACTTATAGACTCCAGCAAAGTCTTCCAGATTATCAAACGTATGCCAAAGGGTAGGTATGCCTTGTATTCCTTGTGCACCGTCACAAAATGTGTATTATCCAGTCTATATGCCACTTGAAATGGATTCATAAAGATATAGATACATGTTCTTATCAGCAGTTTAATAATGAATCACTGAGTCCCCCCCATGAAACATGACATTTACTGAGACACAATGATTAATTTTATTTTTGTTTCGTCCCAATGCACCCTATCCTGGGGTGGATTGGGACATTAACAAAGTCATGGCTGTTTCATCTTGTCTGTATATAACTAGTTCTTTTTCAGGACTCTAACTTCACAAAGAAACAACTAATTAAATATCAGAATATAACTAACTCTTTGACCGGTAGATATCTGCAGATCAGCCCAATAAGTTCCACTGGAAGGTGGATATTTCATCAAAGTTCTAGAAACAAATCCAAAGCAAATGTGAAAGTAATTTTGAATTCATAATAATGATTATACACTGGTAATTTAGAATCACATGTTTGGGGTGCATTGGAACATGTCCCAATGTACCCCGGTCAGGGAGTCCCAATGCGCCCTGACGCTACCCTTGCATCTTTTTGCCATTAGGCTGTATGGCATAACCATGTGACAAAATGACCTTCATCTCTTTGCGGAATACTTTTAAGATATCACTGTTTTGAATAAAACTCATACATTAACTGAAAGATTAATATAAGGAGTCTGGATTTTACAATGAAGTGCAAAAATAACATTTAATTTACCAAACTTCTGTCAAAAGGTGCTGCTTCCACCCCTGTTACAATAAGTGCCAGGATATATGATGTCACTTCCTTTTCCTCATGTTCTTGTACACCTATAAATAGCAGTTTTGGGGTGTGTCCCAATGCATCCCGTGTCCCAAAGCACCCCGGTCTCCATTACTTGTCCTGTATTTCCATATGCACCTTCACACGTACAAGTTCTTTATTTCGAGGTACACCGTCACACGTACTAGTCCTTTATTTCGAGGTGCACCGTCACAAGTACTTGTCCTTTATTTCCAGGTGCACCGTCACACGTACTAGTCCTGTATTTCAAGGTATACCGTCACACGTACTTGTCCTTTATTTCCAGGTGCACCGTCACACGTACTAGTCCTATATTTCCAGGTTCACCGTCACACGTACTAGTCCTTTTTTTCAAGGTGCACAGTCACACGTACTTGTCCTTTTTTTCAAGGTGCACAGTCACACGTACTTGTCCTTTATTTCCAGGTGCACCGTCACACGTACTTGTCCTTTATTTCCAGGTGCACAGTCACACGCACCAGTCCTTGATGTCCAGGTGTACCGTCACACGCACTAGTCCTTTATTTCAAGGTGCACCGTCACACGTACTGGTCCTTTATTTCAAGGTGCACCGTCACACGCACTAGTCCTTTATTTCCAGGTGCACCGTCACACGCACCAGTCCTTTATTTCCAGGTGCACCGTCACACGCACTAGTCCTTTATGTCCAGGTGCGACGTTACACGTACTAGTCCTTTATGTCCAGGTGCACCGTCACACGTACTAGTCCTTTATTTCCAGGTGCACCGTCACCCGTACTAGTCCTTTATTTCCAGGTGCCCCGTCACACGTACTAGTCCTTTATTTCCAGGTGCACCGTCACCCGTACTTGTCCTTTATGTCCAGGTGCACCGTCACCCGTACTAGTCCTTTATTTCCAGGTGCACCGTCACCCGTACTAATCCTTTATTTCCAGGTGCACCGTCACCCGTACTAGTCCTTTATTTCCAGGTGCACCGTCACACGTACAAGTCCTTTATTACCAGGTTACACTCACCTTCTTAATTCGGCCGTTGCATGTCTGCATGAACATGTACCTGTGTTTGAATTACTACAGAAAGCCACGTGCATTTCTACACGTGCATGTCCTTGCTTTACTGCATAATTTCAGGTGCATGTCTACACGTGCATGTCCTTGCTTTACTGCATAATTCCCGGTGCATGTCTACACGTGCATGTCCTTGATTTACTGCATAATTTCAGGTGCATGTCTACACGAGCATGTCCTTGCTTTACTGCATAATTCCCGGTGCATGTCTACACGTGCATGTCCTTGCTTTACTGCATAATTCCCGGTGCATGTCTACACGTGCATGTCCTTGCTTTACTGCATAATTCCCGGTGCATGTCTACACGAGCATGTCCTTGCATTACTGCATAATTTCAGGTGCATGTCTATACGTGCATGTCCTTGCTCTACTGCATAATTTCAGGTGCATGTCTACACGTGCATGTCCTTGCTTTACTGCATAATTCCCGGTGCATGTCTACACGAGCATGTCCTTGCATTACTGCATAATTTCAGGTGCATGTCTATACGTGCATGTCCTTGCTCTACTGCATAATTCCCGGTGCATGTCTACACGAGCATGTCCTTGCTTTACTGTAGAATTCCCGGTGCATGTCTACACGTGCATGTCCTTGCTTTACTGTAGAATTCCCGGTGCATGTCTACACGTGCATGTCCTTGCTTTACTGCATAATTCCCGGTGCATGTCTACACGTGCATGTCCTTGCTTTACTGCATAATTTCAGGTGCATGTCTACACGCACCCGTCTTTAAATACAAAAAAATCGTTCCCATGTTACCTAAATCTTTTAGAAAAGCGATAGGTATATTTGCAGTTAAATATAACATGCGATTGCTATAGTTAAACAACCTGCCATTAATTAAGTTGCTGAATGATTATTCCAAAACTAGCCATGTCAAAATGAACTCTATTTTCTAATTTGTGTAGTTGCTATTGGAACCCATGCTTGCCGTAAAAGGCGACTATGCTTGTCGTCAGTTGTTGTGGGGTGATCATAGACTCTATTCAAACTATGGGTAAATGATTATACGTGAATAGTATAAATGAGCGACTGAATGCTGTTTTACGCCACCTTTAGCAACATGAGTATACCTACACCACGACGTCATGTAATTAATTAAGTCAACCGGTGATTGAAAGTATGAACATTGCTCAATGCAGCCGGAGGACGATGACACACGAACATTGTAAGTTGTTTGTTTGTTTGTTTGTTATTTAACGCCGCGCTCAGCAATATCCCAGCTGTATGCCCTGACTGCGGTACAGACTGCCCTGATATATGACTCTGAATAAACCTGTCTGAGGTGTTGAACAACATGAATTCCCTCGCTCTTTAAGTTACTTTTTATTTGTTTGTGTGATGTTTAACTCCGCACTCAGAAATATTCCAGCTATGTGACGGCAGTCTGTAAATAATCGAGTCTGGACGCAATTGGGATCTTCGCAATTGGGATACGTTGATATGCATCAACCAAATCAGCGAGCCTGATCATCCGACCCCGTAAGTCAAGTATGGACTACTAGAAGGGACGTTGTCGCGTTGTCGCATTGTCGCAATGTCGCGCTTTGGTTAATTTTGACACTTTTTGCTTGTTTTTGGAAGGGCGACATAGTCAACCATTCCGACAAGCATGGGTCGCTAAAGACCTACCCCGGATCTTCACGGGTCGTGTGAGATGTAACCACTCGATTTTTATTTTGGTGGGTTTTGCTGCAAGACTTGCGTGACGAGTATCTATCTCCTCTAGGTGGCGCTCTACACACCCATGGGTCTGCCATCACAAGTCTGGATTGGCTGGTCAAGAACGTGACGTACAGAGCTAACTGCTACATGTGCCACGACAACCAGGGACACCTGCAGATGCACTTCTACGACACTCCGCCTCAACCCTCATGTGAGACACATTTACATATACTACGCCGAGGTCGCTTTCTGAGTGAGCTGATTTGAAATGGTTTTTTACGTCGCGTTCAAGATTATCGCACTTTTATAGCGACGTGCATGTAAGCGTGTGTGTGTGTGCGTGTGTGTGTGTGTGTGTGTGCGTGCGTGCGTGCGTGCGTGCGTGCGTGCGTTCGTGCGTGCGTGCGTGCGTGCGTGTATGTGCTACGAAGGCTGGTCAAAATGTTCTAAGCCTGACTAACTTTCAACTATTGGCCATACCAAAGTGAACTAGTCAATGTGGTACTTTGTTCGAGTAGTTTATTGTATTTGGTCTGTTGAGGCCGTTTATATATTAAGGACAGCCAGTTGAATGTGATAGGGTTCCAAATCGTCATAAAAAGGGGAAAGGACGAGTACCGAAAAGTCATCAAGTTTTTGACTTTAGAGAAAACAACTCCCCAAGAAATTCATGACCGCATGTCACAAGTGTATGTGGATTAGTGCCCCAGCTACTCCACCGTTCAACTTTGGGCAGCTATGTTTAAGTGAGTGAGTGAGTTATGATTTTACATCGCATCGGCAATATTGCAGCCATATCGCGATAGCTATGTAAAGGCTAGGTGAACACGCCTTGGTGATGACCCTAGGTCTGGACGTCCCTCAACTTCCATCAATGATGATTCAGTCAAGGAGAACAAAACTTGTCAGATAGACGTATACCATTGCAGAACTTGAGGAAGACACAGATCTTAGTCATGGATCCACTGAAACTATTATTCATGAACATTTACAGATAAGGAAGATATCTGTTCGTTCCAAAGTTTCTAAATTCTGACTTAAAGGAAAAAAGAACTGACATTGCCAGAGCAAATTTAGAGCTAATTGAGGGGAATTTTGTTAAATTAAACAACCAGATGAGTAACGAATAGCGGCAAGGAATGTTGACTGCTGGAGTTCTACTACTTCTTGACAATGCCTCTTCTCACACCTCTCGACTTGCAAAGGCTGCTGTGCAACAATGTAGGTTTGAAGAGCTTCCTCATCCTCTATACTCGCCAGACGTGGCACCAAGTGATTTCCACCTGTTTCTTAAACTGAAAGAACACTTTGGCAGAAAGCGCTATGACGACAACGATGACCTCAAAGCTGCCGTGAATGGGTTTTTCAGGGTGGCTTCGGAAAACGTCTTCCTGACTGGAATTGAAAAGCTTCACTATCGATATGAGAAGTGTATTGAAAAGCAGGGATATTATGTTGAAAATTACGCATTATAGCGTACCTCAACGATTATCATGCCTCAGTTTGACATGGATACCCAACTCGGACACAGCCGAGCAGTCCTTTATTTATCCCGTTAATGAAGAGCGCCAGGCAGGGTAACAACAAGTACCGTCTATCATATTCTATTTCGTAAATGACCACACAGCCTGATAACTCTATAGAGTGATATATGTTGTGAATATTGTGTCTAGGAATTATGTTTTAGATGGTGTTGTTTAGACTATATTCCGTTCATGTGTGGAAGTCTTATTGTCTCCTGCAGATTGTCAGTGGGAGAGCGTGCAGCACGTGCGGGAGCGGTCAGGGAACGCTCAGTTGTTTGACCAGCAGTGAGTCATACTGAATACGTTTCTCCACAAAGGGTAGCTATAGTTTAGATTAACCGAAAATAATATTTCAAAGGAAACGTTTGGCCCGCTAGTTCTGCAAAATCTGGGAAATGGGCCAAATAAGTTATGAAAGTGTCCATGTGAGTACTAGACAATTGCGTGGTTTGAACTTATGACAACGCAAGGCTAAAATGTGTCAAAACAATCTTATTATCTTTTACCCCGATACGATACGATATCAGAATGGGAGGTTAACTTTCTAATCAGCCAAGCAAAGCCCAGGCTTATAAATTCTCGGTTCGATGAGACAAAGCCATCAGACCATCATATGCGATTTCTAGAAAACGAACTAAAACATTCAGTTCCGAATGTAGATTATCACGGTCTCGCCATTATAAAGTTGTGGATATTTTATACATCCAGTCAATTCATCTGCACCCAAAAAGAGGGTACCATCGTAGGAATATTTGTGTACTGCTTTTGTTTTCGTTTGTACTAAACCGAAATTTGGGAATCAAGGTGGCACACAAATGAATCCGAATTGTTTTAGAAAGCTGACTTTTGATTGGCCAAAGAACCCACGCGTCCTCCAATCAGTTGGAAGAATTCATAAGATTTTCACACAGAGAGATAATGTGCCAGAGCAAAAGATCTGATTTTAATGATACTGTTGTAAAGAAATATATCAAGTTGTATGTACCATTTTCAGACTTATAAAAAACATCAGCATCATCGTTGACGACCCACACTCCACCTACGTCACTGTCAACGATGTTTGGCGCAGGTTTGGGCTGTATTTTAAGATCGTCAATGGCTTGTATCGCTATACACCGATCTTCAAAGATTACTTACAGCAAGCACTGAGGGAGTTTGAAGAGGATAATGTGCAGTACATAGAGATCAGAGCTACATTATCTCCGGTGAGTCTGCTTGGATATGTTTAACCAGTATCTCGGTACATAGAAATCAGAGCTACATTATCTCCGGTGAGTCTGCGTGGATATGTTTAACCAGTATCTCGGTACATAGATATCAGAGCTACATTATCTCCGGTGAGTCTGCTTGGATATGTTTAACCAGTATCTCGGTACATAGAAATCAGAGCTACATTATCTCCGGTGAGTGTGCGTGGATATGTTTAACCAGTATCTCGGTACATAGAAATCAGAGCTACATTATCTCCAGTGAGTCTGCGTGGATATGTTTAACCAGTATCTCGGTACATAGAAATCAGAGCTACATTATCTCCAGTGAGTCTGCGTGGATATGTTTAACCAGTAACTTTGTACATAGAGATCAGAGCTACACTATCTCCGGTGAGTCTGCTTGGATATGTTTAACCTGTATCTCGGTACATAGAAATCAGAGCTACATTATCTCCAGTGAGTCTGCGTGGATATGTTTAACCAGTAGCTCGGTACATAGAGATCAGAGCTACACTATCTCCGGTGAGTCTGCTTGGATATGTTTAACCTGTATCTCGGTACATAGAAATCAGAGCTACATTATCTCCAGTGAGTCTGCGTGGATATGTTTAACCAGTATCTCGGTACATAGAAATCAGAGCTACATTATCTCCAGTGAGTCTGCGTGGATATGTTTAACCAGTAGCTCGGTACATAGAGATCAGAGCTACACTATCTCCGGTGAGTCTGCTTGGATATGTTTAACCTGTATCTCGGTTCATAGAAATCAGAGCTACATTATCTCCAGTGAGTCTGCGTGGATATGTTTAACCAGTATCTCGGTACATAGAAATCAGAGCTACATTATCTCCAGTGAGTGTGCGTGGATATGTTTAATCAGTATCTCGGTACATAGATATCAGAGCTACATTATCTCCGGTGAGTGTGCGTGGATATGTTTAACCAGTAGCTCGGTACATAGATATCAGAGCTACATTATCTCCGGTGAGTCTGCGTGGAGCTAGCAGAAGCAGTAGGTCGGTACACAGATATTAGAGCTTCACTATCTCCGGTGAGTCTGCATCTAGCTAGCTTTAGCAGTAGCTCGGTACACAGATATTAGAGCTTCACTATCTCCGGTGAGTCTGCGTGGATATAGCTCGGTACATAGATATCAGCGCAACACTATCTCCGGTGAGTCTGCGTGGAGCTAGCAGAAGCTGTAGGTCGGTACTCCTATCCGACCAGGCCTTTTTTTCGCCCGTTAATGGCTAGCGTCAGGCTGGGAAACAAGTACCATCTTTTAACGTATTTTAGTATGACGCGGCCATGGGTAGATGCTCTATCCACGTGACCACTGAGGCGGTGTATTTCCTGAAGGAGCACGACATGTTCGCTATTTACATTGAACCAGATTACGTAGGCCTTCGTGTTGAACAACCCGCCTCTATAACCACACGGCCATCTGTCTACTCCCCAGCTGTATGAGCTCGACGGGAGCAAGCATGACCAGGAACACAAGCTGCTGACGTACCGAGACACTGTCAACGACTACATGGCAGCGCATCCAGACTTCATAGGATGCAAGTTGATACAGAGCGGTATTAGGTAAGTCGAGACCACTAGAATCATACAGAGTTAGGGGTGGGGGTGTTGGAGGTGTGGTGGTGTGGGGTGTGTGTATGTATGTGTGTGTGTGTGGGGAAGGTGGGGTGGGGGTGGGGGTGTTGGAGGTGTTGGGGTATGGGATGTGTGTATGTGTGTATGTATGTGTGTGTGTGTGTGTGTGTGTGTGTGTGTGTGTGTTGGGAAGGTGGGGTGGGGGTGGGGGTGTTGGAGGTGTTGGGGTATGGTGTGTGTGTGTGTGTGTGTGTGTGTGTGTGTGTGTGTGTGTGTGTGTGTGTGTGTGTGTGTGTGTGTGTGTGTGTGTGTGTTGGGAAGGTGGGGTGGGGGTGGGGGTGTTGGAGGTGTTGGAGGTGTTGGAGGTGTTGGGGTATGGGATGTGTGTATGTGTGTATGTGTATGTGTGTGTGTGTGTGTGTTGGGAAGGTGGGGTGGGGGTGTTGGAGGTGTTGGGGTATGGGATGTGTGTAAATGTATGTGTGTATGTGTGTGTTTTGGGAAGGTGGGATGGGGTGGGGGTGTTGGAGGTGTTGGGTTATGGGATGTGTGTATGGGGTGTGTGTGTGTGTGTGTGTTGGGAAGGTGGGAGTGTTGGAGGTGTTGGGGTATGGGATGTGTGTGTGTGTGTGTGTGTGTGTGGGGGGGGGGGGTGAGGTGGTGGGGGGGGGGGGGTGTTGGAGGTGTTTGGGTATGGGATGTGTGTATGTGTGTATGTATGTGTGTGCGTGTGTTGGGAAGGTGGGGTTGGGGTGGTGGTGTTGGAGATGTTGGAGGTGTTGGGTTATGGGATGTGTGTATGGGGTGTGTGTGTGTGTGTGTGTGTGGGGGGGTGGTTCTGGGATTTTATCGCAAAAATTACATTGTCTCGAAAATGCTTAATAACAGTAATTATGCTCCAGACTGTTGACAAAGAATAGCATGCCACAAAGAATAACATTGTTGCAAGGTGTTTTCTCATATGCTCATAATTTTAAATAAAGAAATATCTGATTTTGTAGCTGCATCTGAAAAAAAAAATGATCTCGACGCTAAACCCCAGGCTCACTCCAGAATATCAAATGATCGGTCTCTTAATCTGAACAGTAGCGTTTCCATTGCAATCCAAGCACAAACCGAAATAGTTTTCCATGTTTAACATAATCCCAACTTTAAGTCAAACATGGTGTTGAGCCCCGAACTTCTTACACTCTTATTGAAAGTGAGTGTGGGTTTACGTCGCTTAAGTCCAGCAATATCATGGCGGGGGACAGCAGACATGGTACCCATGTTAGGAATCGAACGCCTTTGTGTGTTCAATGATGACCGGGGTAGCATCTTCATCCATTCCTATTCTACGACGATGAAGTATGTTATTATGCCCGTGACGGTGTTCCATATTTCCAGGAATCACGAACCTTTTACTTGTAATATAGTTGCCTTTTGAGCGAGTTTTGGCCACAATACAAATCTTGTGAAGCAGCAGACTATCTCCTGTACGGTGACATAGAGACAACATGTCGTCAGTCGTATTGAATGCTGCACCAACCAAATTATTTCAAGTTTTATAAAACGATATCCCCTCCCCCCTCGTCCCATAACTTTAAAAATAATATAATCAAGAAACCCAAACAATTTATGTTTAGACTTGACTATTTGACCTTCACGCCAAGTGGAATCTGTTTCGAGGATGTTTTTTCTCTTGCATTGACAATTTATATTTTTGTCTTTTACATATCAATGTTTTGTTTCAGATTTTTCAAAAGAGAGGACATTCTGGATGACATAAAAAGTTACATAAAATATCAACAGAAATACTCGGACATGATCCGTGGCTTCGATCTGATTGGTCAGGAGGGTCCCGGGAAGCCACTGAGCTACTATCTGGATGACCTGCTGTATCCCTCCACGCTGGACCCCCCTGTCTCTGTACCGTACTTCTTCCACGCGGGGGAAACAGGCAAGTGTCCCCATGTAGTCGTGGACGTCAATGACAGTTTCTGTCACTCTGATGGTTGACACAATCCATACATGCTTGAAACATTCCTCGTATGTTTGACAGTCCACTCATACCTGATATAATCTAGCCATTATCACAACACAACCAACTCAAGCTTGAAATAAACTCGCATGTTTGACACAATCCATTCCTGCCTGACACAATCTACTGTTTGACACAACCCATTCCTGCCTGACACAATCTACTGCTTGACCCAATCCATTCATGTTTGACACAATCCATTCCTGCCTTGACACAATCTACTGCTTGACACAACCCATTCCTGCCTGACACAATCTACTGTTTGACACAACCCATTCCTGCCTTGACACAATCTACTGCTTGACACAACCCATTCCTGCCTGACACAATCTACTGTTTGACACAACCCATTCCTGCCTTGACACAATCTACTGCTTGACACAACCCATTCCTGCCTGACACAATCTACTGTTTGACACAACCCATTCCTGCCTGACACAATCTACTGTTTGACACAATCCATTCCTGCCTGACACAATCTACTGTTTGACACAATTCATTCCTGCCTTGACACAGTCTATTGCTTGACACAGTCCACTCATGTTTGACACAACCCATTCCTGCCTGACATAATCTACTGCTTGACACAATCCACTCATGTTTGACACAATCCATTCCTGCCTTGACACAATCTACTGCTTGACCCAATCCACTCATGTTTGACACAATCCATTCCTGCCTTGACATAATCTACTGCTTGAAACAATCCACTCATGTTTGACACAATCAATTCCTGCCTTGACACAATCTACTGCTTGACCCAATCCACTCATGTTTGACACAATCCATTCCTGTCTGACACAATCTACTGCTTGACACAATCCACTCATGTTTGACACAATCCATTCCTGTCTGACACAATCTACTGCTTGACACAATCCACTCATGTTTGACACAATCCATTCCTGCTTGACATAATCTACTGCTTGACACAATCCACTTATGTTTGACACAATCCATTACGGCCTGACACAATCTACCGCTTGACACAATCCATTCCTGTCTGACACAATCTACTGCTTGACACAATCCACTCATGTTTGACACAATCGATTCCTGTCTGACACAATCTACTGCTTGACACAATCCACTCATGTGTGACACAATCCATTCCTGTCTGACACAATCTACTGCTTGACACAATCTACTGTTTGACACAACCCATTCCTGCCTGACACAATCTACTGCTTGACCCAATCCATTCATGTTTGACACAATCCATTCCTGCCTTGACACAATCTACTGCTTGACACAACCCATTCCTGCCTGACACAATCTACTGTTTGACACAACCCATTCCTGCCTTGACACAATCTACTGCTTGACACAACCCATTCCTGCCTGACACAATCTACTGTTTGACACAACCCATTCCTGCCTTGACACAATCTACTGCTTGACACAACCCATTCCTGCCTGACACAATCTACTGTTTGACACAACCCATTCCTGCCTGACACAATCTACTGTTTGACACAATCCATTCCTGCCTGACACAATCTACTGTTTGACACAATTCATTCCTGCCTTGACACAGTCTATTGCTTGACACAGTCCACTCATGTTTGACACAACCCATTCCTGCCTGACACAATCTACTGCTTGACACAATCCACTCATGTTTGACACAATCCATTCCTGCCTTGACACAATCTACTGCTTGACCCAATCCACTCATGTTTGACACAATCCATTCCTGCCTTGACATAATCTACTGCTTGAAACAATCCACTCATGTTTGACACAATCAATTCCTGCCTTGACACAATCTACTGCTTGACCCAATCCACTCATGTTTGACACAATCCATTCCTGTCTGACACAATCTACTGCTTGACACAATCCACTCATGTTTGACACAATCCATTCCTGTCTGACACAATCTACTGCTTGACACAATCCACTCATGTTTGACACAATCCATTCCTGCTTGACATAATCTACTGCTTGACACAATCCACTTATGTTTGACACAATCCATTACGGCCTGACACAATCTACCGCTTGACACAATCCATTCCTGTCTGACACAATCTACTGCTTGACACAATCCACTCATGTTTGACACAATCCATTCCTGTCTGACACAATCTACTGCTTGACACAATCCACTCATGTGTGACACAATCCATTCCTGTCTGACACAATCTACTGCTTGACACAATCCACTCATGTTTGACACAATCAATTCCTGTCTGACACAATCTACTGCTTGACACAATCCACTCATGTTTGACACAATCCATTCCTGTCTGACACAATCTACTGCTTGACACAATCCACTCATGTTTGACACAATCCATTCCTGTCTGACACAATCTACTGCTTGACACAATCCACTCATGTTTGACACAATCCATTCCTGCTTGACATAATCTACTGCTTGACACAATCCACTTATGTTTGACACAATCCATTACGGCCTGACACAATCTACCGCTTGACACAATCCATTCCTGTCTGACACAATCTACTGCTTGACACAATCCACTCATGTTTGACACAATCGATTCCTGTCTGACACAATCTACTGCTTGACACAATCCACTCATGTGTGACACAATCCATTCCTGTCTGACACAATCTACTGCTTGACACAATCTACTGTTTGACACAACCCATTCCTGCCTGACACAATCTACTGCTTGACCCAATCCATTCATGTTTGACACAATCCATTCCTGCCTTGACACAATCTACTGCTTGACACAACCCATTCCTGCCTGACACAATCTACTGTTTGACACAACCCATTCCTGCCTTGACACAATCTACTGCTTGACACAACCCATTCCTGCCTGACACAATCTACTGTTTGACACAACCCATTCCTGCCTTGACACAATCTACTGCTTGACACAACCCATTCCTGCCTGACACAATCTACTGTTTGACACAACCCATTCCTGCCTGACACAATCTACTGTTTGACACAATCCATTCCTGCCTGACACAATCTACTGTTTGACACAATTCATTCCTGCCTTGACACAGTCTATTGCTTGACACAGTCCACTCATGTTTGACACAACCCATTCCTGCCTGACACAATCTACTGCTTGACACAATCCACTCATGTTTGACACAATCCATTCCTGCCTTGACACAATCTACTGCTTGACCCAATCCACTCATGTTTGACACAATCCATTCCTGCCTTGACATAATCTACTGCTTGAAACAATCCACTCATGTTTGACACAATCAATTCCTGCCTTGACACAATCTACTGCTTGACCCAATCCACTCATGTTTGACACAATCCATTCCTGTCTGACACAATCTACTGCTTGACACAATCCACTCATGTTTGACACAATCCATTCCTGTCTGACACAATCTACTGCTTGACACAATCCACTCATGTTTGACACAATCCATTCCTGCTTGACATAATCTACTGCTTGACACAATCCACTTATGTTTGACACAATCCATTACGGCCTGACACAATCTACCGCTTGACACAATCCATTCCTGTCTGACACAATCTACTGCTTGACACAATCCACTCATGTTTGACACAATCCATTCCTGTCTGACACAATCTACTGCTTGACACAATCCACTCATGTGTGACACAATCCATTCCTGTCTGACACAATCTACTGCTTGACACAATCCACTCATGTTTGACACAATCAATTCCTGTCTGACACAATCTACTGCTTGACACAATCCACTCATGTTTGACACAATCCATTCCTGTCTGACACAATCTACTGCTTGACACAATCCACTCATGTTTGACACAATCCATTCCTGCCTGACATAATCTACTGCTAGACACAATCCACTCATGTTTGACACAATCCATTCCTGCCTGACACAATCTACTGCTTGACACAATCAACTGCTTGACACAATCCACTCATGTTTGACACAATCCATTCCTGCCTGACACAATCTACTGCTTGACACAATCTACTGCTTGACACAATCCACTCATGTTTGACACAATCTATTACTGCCTGACATAATCTACCGCTTGACACAATTTATCACTGCCTGACACAATCTACTGCTTGACACAATCTACTCATGTTTGACACACTCCATTACTGCCTGACAGTCTATGCTTTGACACAATCCACTCATGTTTGCCACAATCCATTCCTGCCTGACACAATCTATTGCTTGACAAAATCCACTCATGTTTGACACAGACATCTACTGCTGCCTGTCAAAATTATCTATCACTATTGTCGATTGTCTGACTGAGAAGGGTGTTCCAATTTTCTCTTCCTTGATTGAATCAGGTTTGTGTTTTAGTGTTGTCGCGTCAAAGACTATTGCACTTATATAGCGATGTGGATGCACATGTGCGTGCGTGCGTGCTCTGCCACTGGACCACAGAGGCTGTCCTCCTGGTATGGATAGAACTGAATTGGGTTTCGGGTTGCTAGGCTCTGTGACGTAATTGCAACGGCCGGACTATGGCCGTCTGAGGTGCTGAACAACATGAATTCCCTCACTCTTTTAAGTTACTTTTTGTTTGTTTTGGGATGTTTAACGCCGCACGCAGCAATTATCCAGCTCGACCAGGCAATCCAGTGATTGATACCATAAGCATCGATCTACGCAATTTGGATACGATGTCATGCATCAACCCAGTCAGTGAGCCTGACCACCCGATCTCGTTAGGCGCTCTTTGCGGCAAGCTTGGGTTGCTGAAGACCTATTCTACCCGGATCTTCGCGGGTACTTTAAGTTATTTAAGTTAATGTATAATTCCTTCAATTGTCTAACCAGACTGGGAGGGTAGCCAGGTGGATCTGAATCTCGTGGACGCCGTCCTGCTCAACACGTCCCGCATCGGCCACGGCTTTGCTCTCTACAAACACCCTGAAGTGATGAAGATGATTAAAAAGAAAGATATAGCTATTGAGGTCAACCCGATATCGAACCAGGTGGGTGATGTGTAGAGTAATCTGGTGACTAATCTGGCGTGAGAGAGTGAATGAAGAGGTGGATGAGTGGGCGAGTGGGCGAGTGAGTGACCGCTTTTAACAGTATTTCAGTTATGTAATGTCACAGCGTGTCAGCTTGATATGGGAGTAAAGCCCGCATTGATGTTGGTCTTAGACATTTACCAAGTTAGTGAGTGAGTGAGTATGCCGCTTTCAGCAATATTCCAGCAATATCAAGGTGGGAGACACAAGAAATGGGCACACTGTAGCCATGTGGGGAATCGAACCCGGTTCTTCGGGGAGACGAGCGAACGCTTTAACCACTAGGCTACCGTGGTATACAACTGAAAACCTTGAAACATAATGAGGGCGAATCTGGGATTCAAACCTGGATTTCCGGTACGCACAGTGTAAACTCCGCACAGTGAATTTGCTGCGCCTTCGACGACTTCGCCACCGTGTCCCCAACGAATCCAGAAGCCTACCTACGTAATCGACGAGAACACCCATGGACATGCAAAGACTTTAACCACATCCACATTGAAACATCGGACTTCAATAGGAAACGTCGTATCCTGACATTCTCGCGTTGGGAGGTGGGGTAGCCATGTGATTAAAGCGTTCGCTCTTCACACCTTAGACCCGGGTTCGATATCCCCACATGGGTACAATGTATGAAGCCCATATCTCGTGTCCCCGTGGTGATATTACTGGACTATTGCCCCAAACCGCGTAAAACCCAACTCACTCACTCACTCATTTGGGCGTTTGTTGTCCGGTTTGCTTTGCCTACTGAAGCAATACATTCTCACGGTACATTCTTAAGTTTGTGTTTTTAAATAATGACATTTAATATCTTAAAAAAGGATGTGTTAAATATTCTCCTCAAATGCTAATATCTATACAGAATTTGTCAATATTTGCTGATTGCTGACACTAAGTACATGGGGGACATTTGGTCTTTTCTGTCAAATAACGAATGTATCTTGAATGAATGAACTTAACTTGCCAACTTTATCGGGTTATGAGATGATACAAACATGTCACATGAAAGGATCAGCAAACAAGTTCAATTCGATAGTTTTATCCTTGATCTTTGTCTGAAAACCATGTCATTGAGGAAGGCTGAGGGTTGTTCCGAAACAAAGTTTAATTTCACGAATGAAATATTTATTGTATATTTACAGATAAATGCCAATTCTATTAACCAAAATATAATAAAAAATCATTGTTTGTTGTGATAATTATTTTTATTTGCACTAGGTTTTGAAATTGGTGGAAGATTTGCGCAACCATGGGGCGATAACTCTGTTTGCCAACGACTACCCGCTAGTTGTAAGTAGTGACGATCCTGCCGCTTGGGGCGCTCTTCCTCTGTCACATGACTTCTACATGGCGTACATGGCGATGACGAGAGAGGATGCGGGTCTGGAGGTGCTGAAACAACTCGCCATCAACTCCATACAGTAAGACTTGACGGATACACGTGACCCTTTCGAAAATACAAACCATATCTGGGTAGTCAGTAGTGAATAATGCGGAAACAGTATTACAGTGTTATATATCACGGGTTATCATGGGAAGCGGTCCTCAGACCAATATGTATATCATTACGGGTTTGACAAGAATAGTTTCAGGTTTCAAACCCCGTCTTATGTATGATATTGGGGCGGTCGGGTAGCCAAGTGGTTAAAGCGTTCGCTCGTCACGCCGAAGACCCGGGTTCGATTCCCGACATGGGTACAATGTGTGAAGCCCATTTCTGGTGTCCCCCGCCGTGATATTGCTGGAATATTGCTAAAAGCGGCGTAAAACCATACTCACTCACTCACTATGTATGATATGCAACCAATGGGCCAATAATTCGCTACAGGTGGAAACCGTATGTTTTCGGTGTATCATTACTGGTACAGTTGTCAACGCTTTAAGTGTATTCTTGGTCATAAATATGTCTATATAAACACTCCAAGTCGAAAGTAGATAATACTTATGAATGTGTTAATATCGCATTGTGTACGCATGCCACCCGCAACGTCACCCCTGAGTGGGACGCGTGTGTCACACGAAGAAGACGCGCTGTGCCATCAGCACATCTTCTCGAGGCAAAGGAGTTGACTGACTGTAACAGTCCAGTTTCCTCCCTTGCCGAACACGGCTGGAATTTCTGGGTTCGATCGTCCTGCCACCAGTTGCTATTACGAGTTATGTCCCTTCTATGTTCCTCCTATTGACCAATCAGATTCCACATCTGATGTCACTTGCATTTGCTTCAAACAAAATGGCGGCGCCTAATCAAGATCTGTACTCAACAACAAAACTTCCTGTGACACCAATATTTTAGTGTATTTTTCAAACAAGTAAAGTTTGGTTTTCAATATTGTAGTACACGTATGGAATCAAGTCACAGAAACGCAACTGCTACAGAAAAGCATGCATTCCATGCAAAAGTTGACTTTTATGCAAGCCCCATACATTAAAATTTTCACTACCCAAGAATGGGTATACAGACATGTGCGTTAAGGGGATTCCATATGCATTGTTTAGCATCGTGCTGACAACAACCACTCAGAAAAACGACAAAATCACGCAATTATTCAACATTACGAAATGCCACGCCTGTCCGAAAATGAGCGTCTGCGAGCCATTGGTATGCTTGAAGCAGGATCGAGTCACCATTTGGTGTTTCTGGCAACGTTGGCAACAGACGAATGCAGTCAGAGACCATCCTCGGAGCGGCAGGCCACGCGTAACCAATAATGGACAAGACAAATAGATTCGAACAACACACCTACGAAGTCGATTCCAGCCAGCAACAGTGACTGCAAGAAGCATCCATGGCCTTCGACGAATATTTTCACAAACCGCACGTCGTCGCCTCAGATGTGCAGGGATTGTCGCTAGAAAACCCGCCAGACGTCCCATTTTGACAGGAAACAACCGTTAAGCACGTCTACAGTGGTGCAAACAGCGTCTACGCTGGACGGCCATGCAGTGGGGACAACTTCTATTCACTGACGAGTCTCGTTTTCACCTCAGCCACAGCGATGGACGGATTCGAGTGTACCGACGTCGAGGTGAACGTTACGTCAATCATTGTGTCATGGAAGAAGATCGGTTCGGGGGCGGCAGCGTTATGGTATGGGGTGGGATCACAGCAAGACAGAGGACCCGTTTGATAGTGGTAGAGGGAAATCTAAATGGACAGCGCTACCGCGACGAGATCATCGGCCCTGTTGTTGCGTCGTCATGGCCCAGACATTACCTTTCAACATGACAACGCCCGGCCTCATATTGCTCGACTTGTTCAGGCATATCTTCAACAAAACAACCTGAATGTCATCCCCTGGCCGGCTCGCTCCCCTAATCTCTCACCAATCGAGCACATGTGGGATGAGAAGGGTCGGCGCCCTCGACGTCAACCACGTGTTCCACAGACACTCCAGGAACTTCGAAACATGCTCCAGCAGATATGGACAGATATCCCACAGGACTTTGTGTGACGCCTGGTCCATTCCTTTAGACGAAGATGTGTTGCTTGCATCGCAACCAGAGGTGGACACACACGCTATTGATTTGTAAAATGACATTTTGGCATGTTCATGGTTTGTTTTACTTTATGAAATCACGCATTTTCTGAAGTCATTATGGCAAATTAGACCAGTTAAACACTTACAAGGGTCTTTTATCTGTTGCAAACCGAAATTATTTCAGATTTGGAAAAAAAACATAACTTTGCATAAATCTTCTACAATGTCACAGGAAATTTTTGTTGTTCAGTATATATGATAATAAAACGGGTCTTACTTCGCGACGTGCATCATATCACGTGAGCACCTTGATTAAAAACATGAAAAGATCTGGAACATATTTGTTGAAGCTAAGTGGAAATCTGCATTAAGCGCAAAATAAAAAATACATTATTATTATATTTGGGATAACGCTTTCTCAGTAAAGTACAGATTCTCGTTCTTTTGAGTCCATTCGGAATCTGTACTGAGGTGAGGTGAAATTGGGGTTAACGTCGCGTCCAAGATTATTGCACTTATATAGGGACGTGCATGCACGTGTGTGTGTGTGTGTTTGTTGCTGCTTGTACTAGTCCGGCCTGATGCCGATTTAAAGTGCTAGCTCACTGAGATACCATGCCGCAGTTTAACATGAATACCCCACTCAGACACAGTATACTGACTCCGAGCCGACCAGTCCTTGTTTCGCCCCTTAATGCCGACCGCCAGACAGGGTAACAACAAGTATCATCTTTGAACGTCTTTTGGTATCATTATTATTTTTTATTATTATTATTATCATTATTATTTCAGATATAGCGCAATGACAAGTAGTGAGAAAATGGAAGCCATGAAGAAATGGGAGAGAAAATGGAACGAATTTATCATAGAAATACTGAGGCAGCACAGCCACGATGGACATTTGATTGGTTAAACCTGCTCCACACGACGTTAAACTGATCCATACGTTCACCTGCGTCTTTATAATGGGAATTATGGTAATGGCTGTAAATATAAGTGTCCACGTCCACGGCCTTCATCCGAAATCAATATCCATTCCTTGTGCTTTTAACCGCCGTCATATAGCTGGAATATTGCTGAGTGCGGCGTTAAACAACAAACCAAACAACCAACCTTGTGCTTATAACAGTAAATATTGGTGAACCATCGTTGAGGACACATGCACCAGGTTGTTATAATGACATTTGAATGGCATACATTTTAAGACAACCGAAATCATCCCTCGCGCTACGTGGGAAAAGAAAGATAAATGACTTAAAAGTATGTTGCATGGACGAGTAACTCTGTTATCAGGCCAAAATGTCAGTGACTATAATGAACAACATGCCAATTCCACCATCATCACATATATTATTTGTTCCTTTCTCACTTTCAAAATTCTCTCAGAGGATACGATTGACATTTTGTTGGGCCCATTTCACAATGGGTTTTCTCATGCAACTCTCTCTCATCACACAGGTCTACCTCTCAATACACATGGTTTCCAAGGGTTCACAAAGCAGAGTAGCGTCCCTTTGCGTATGCAAGAAATTTATAGAAGCACTCATAAAATATCCCTATTTTGATCGTACAATAATTGTTTATTGATTGTGTTTCTTCCATGCTTGACACGGTGTCAACCATCTCCATGTTTGTGTGTTGCGTGACGCCGCATTCAGTAACATTCCAGCTACATGACGGCAGCATTCAGTCACATTCCAGCTACATGACGGCCGCATTCAGTAACATCCCTGCTACATGACGGCCGCATTCAGTAACATTTCAGTTACACGACGGCGGCATTCAATAACATTCCAGCTACATGACGGCCGCATTCAGTAACATTTCAGCTACATGACGGCCGCATTCAGTCACATTCCAGCTACATGACGGCCGCATTCAGTAACCATCCAGCTACATGACGGTCGAAATCAGTAACATTCCAGCTACATGATGGCCGCATTCAGTAACATTCCGGCTACATGACGGTCGAAATCAGTAACATTCCAGCTACATGACGGTCGAAATCAGTAACATTCCAGCTACATGACGGTCGAAATCAGTAACATTCCAGCTACATGACGGCCGCATTCAGTAACATTCCAGCTACATGACTGCCGCATTTAGTAACATTCCAGCTACATGACGGCCGCATTTAGTTACATTTCAGCTACATGACGGTCGAAATCAGTAACATTCCAGCTACATGACGACCGCATTCAGTAACATTCCAGCTACATGACGGCCGCATTCAGTAACATTCCAGCTACATGACGACAGCATTCAGTAACATTCCAGCTACATGACGGCCGCATTCAGTTACATTCCAGCTACATGACGGTCGAAATCAGTAACATTCCAGCTACATGACTGCCGCATTCAGTAACATTCCAGCTACATGACGGCCGCATTCAGTAACATTCCAGCTGCATGACTGCCGCATTCAGTAACATTCCAGCTACATGACGGCCGCATTCAGTTACATTCCAGCTTCATGACGGTCGAAATCAGTAACATTCCAGCTACATGACGACCGCATTCAGTAACATTCCAGCTACATGACGACGGCATTCAGTAACATTCCAGCTACATGACGGCCGCATTCAGTAACATTCCAGCTACATGACTGCCGCATTCAGTAACATCCCAGCTACATGACGGCCGCATTCAGTAACAGTCCAGCTACATGACGGTCGAAATCAGTTACATTCCAGCTACATGACGACCGCATTCAGTAACAGTCCAGCTACATGATGGCCGCATTCAGTAACATCCCAGCTACATGACGGCCGCATTCAGTAACATTCCAGCTACATGACGGCCGGATTCAGTAACATTCCAGCTACATGACGGCCGCATTCAGTAACATTCCAGCTACATGACGGCCGCATTCAGTAACATTCCAGCTACATGACGGCCGCATTCAGTAACATTCCAGTTACATGACGACCGCATTCAGTAACATTCCAGCTACATGACGGCCGCATTCAGTAACATCCCAGCTACATGACGGCCGCATTCAGTAACATTCCAGCTACATGACGGCCGCATTGCGTAACATTCCAGCTACATGATGGCAGCATTCAGTAACATTCCAGCTACATGACGGCCGCATTCAGTCACATTCCAGCTACATGACGGCCGCATTCAGTAACATTCCAGCTACATGATGGCCGCATCCAGTCACATTCCAGCTACATGACGGCCGCATTCAGTAACATTCCAGCTACATGACTGCCGCATTCAGTAACATTCCAGCTACATGACGGCCGCATTCAGTACCATTCCAGCTACATGACGGCCGCATTCAGTACCATTCCAGCTACATGACGGCCGCATTCAGTACCATTCCAGCTACATGACGGCCGCATTCAGTAACATTCCAGCTACATGATGGCCGCATTCAGTCACATTCCAGCTACATGATGGCCGCATTCAGTAACATTCCAGCTACATGACGACAGCATTCAGTACCATTCCAGCTACATGACGGCCGCATTCAGTAACATTCCAGCTACTTGACGGCCGCATTCAGTAACATTCCAGCTACATGATGGCCGCATTGAGTAACATTCCAGCTACATGACGACAGCATTCAGTAACATTCCAGCTACATGACGGCCGCATTCAGTCACATTCCAGCTACATGATGGCCGCATTCAGTAACATTCCAGCTACATGATGACCGCATTCAGTAACATTCCAGCTACATGACGACAGCATTCAGTAACATTCCAGCTACATGACGGCCGCATTCAGTAACATTCCAGCTACATGATGGCAGCATTCAGTAACATTCCAGCTACATGACGGCCGCATTCAGTTACATTCCAGCTTCATGACGGTCGAAATCAGTAACATTCCAGCTACATGACGACCGCATTCAGTAACATTCCAGCTACATGACGACGGCATTCAGTAACATTCCAGCTACATGACGGCCGCATTCAGTAACATTCCAGCTACATGACTGCCGCATTCAGTAACATCCCAGCTACATGACGGCCGCATTCAGTAACATTCCAGCTACATGACGGTCGAAATCAGTTACATTCCAGCTACATGACGACCGCATTCAGTAACAGTCCAGCTACATGATGGCCGCATTCAGTAACATCCCAGCTACATGACGGCCGCATTCAGTAACATTCCAGCTACATGACGGCGGCATTCAGTAACATTCCAGCTACATGACGGCCGGATTCAGTAACATTCCAGTTACATGACGACCGCATTCAGTAACATTCCAGCTACATGACGGCCGCATTCAGTAACATCCCAGCTACATGACGGCCGCATTCAGTAACATTCCAGCTACATGACGGCCGCATTGCGTAACATTCCAGCTACATGATGGCAGCATTCAGTAACATTCCAGCTACATGACGGCCGCATTCAGTAACATTCCAGCTACATGACGGCCGCATTCAGTAACATTCCAGCTACATGATGGCCGCATCCAGTCACATTCCAGCTACATGACGGCCGCATTCAGTAACATTCCAGCTACATGACTGCCGCATTCAGTAACATTCCAGCTACATGACGGCCGCATTCAGTACCATTCCAGCTACATGACGGCCGCATTCAGTACCATTCCAGCTACATGACGGCCGCATTCAGTAACATTCCAGCTACATGACGGCCGCATTCAGTAACATTCCAGCTACATGATGGCCGCATTCAGTCACATTCCAGCTACATGATGGCCGCATTCAGTAACATTCCAGCTACATGACGACAGCATTCAGTACCATTCCAGCTACATGACGGCCGCATTCAGTAACATTCCAGCTACTTGACGGCCGCATTCAGTAACATTCCAGCTACATGATGGCCGCATTGAGTAACATTCCAGCTACATGACGACAGCATTCAGTAACATTCCAGCTACATGACGGCCGCATTCAGTCACATTCCAGCTACATGATGGCCGCATTCAGTAACATTCCAGCTACATGACGGCCGCATTCAGTAACATTCCAGCTACATGACGACAGCATTCAGTAACATTCCAGCTACATGACGGCCGCATTCAGTAACATTCCAGCTACATGATGGCAGCATTCAGTAACATTCCAGCTACATGATGGCCGCATTCAGTCACATTCCAGCTACATGATGGCCGCATCCAGTAACATTCCAGCTACATGACGGCGGCATTCAGTAACATTCCAGCTACATGACGGCGGCATTCAGTAACATTCCAGCTACATGATGGCCGCATTCAGTCACAATCCAGCTACATGACGGCCGCATTCAGTAACATTCCAGCTACATGATGGCCGCATCCAGTAACATTCCAGCTACATGACGGCCGCATTCAGTAACATTCCAGCTACATGACGGCGGCATTCAGTAACATTCCAGCTACATGATGGCCGCATTCAGTAACATTCCAGCTACATGACGGCCGCATTCAGTCACATTACAGCTACATGACGGCCGCATTCAGTCACATTCCAGGTACATGATGGCCGCATTCAGTCACATTCCAGCTACATGACGGCCGCATTCAGTCACATTCCAGCTACATGACGGTGGCATTCAGTCACATTCCAGCTACATGACGGCCGCATTCAGTAACATTCCAGCTACATGACGGCGGCATTCAGTAACATTCCAGCTACATGACGGCCGCATTCAGTCACATTCCAGCTACATGACGGCCGCATTCAGTCACATTCCAGCTACATGATGGCAGCATTCAGTAACATTCCAACTACATGACGGCGGCATTCAGTAACATTCCAGCTACATGATGGCGGCATTCAGTAACATTCCAGCTACATGACGGCCGCATTCAGTACCATTCCAGCTACATGACGGCCGCATTCAGTCACATTCCAGCTACATGATGGCCGCATTCAGTAACATTCCAGCTACATGATGGCCGCATTCAGTCACATTCCAGCTACATGACGGCCGCATTCAGTAACATTCCAGCTACATGATGGCCGCATTCAGTACCATTCCAGCTACATGACGGCCGCATCCAGTAACATTCCAGCTACATGACGACAGCATTGAGTAACATTCCAGCCCACATGATGGCCGCATTCAGTCACATTCCAGCTACATGATGGCCGCATTCAGTCGATTTCCAGCTACATGATGGCCGCATTCAGTAACATTCCAGCTACATGACGGCCGCATCCAGTAACATTCCAGCTACATGACGACAGCATTCAGTAACATTCCAGCTACATGACGGCCGCATTCAGTAACATTCCAGCTACATGACGACAGCATTCAGTAACATTCCAGCTACATGACGGCCGCATTCAGTAACATTCCAGCTACATGATGGCCGCATTCAGTAACATTCCAGCTACATGATGGCAGCATTCAGTAACATTCCAGCTACATGACGGCGGCATTCAGTAACATTCCAGCTACATGACGACAGCATTCAGTAACATTCCAGCTACATGACGGCCGCATTCAGTCACATTCCAGCTACATGATGGCCGCATTCAGTAACATTCCAGCGACATGACGACAGCATTCAGTCACATTCCAGCTACATGATGGCGACCCATCTACATGTATAGAACGGGGGCGTGAACCAGCCTTGAATAACAGATGGCGCTATCAGATATGAAGATAAGATCGCTAAAAAAACCATGTTCGTGGTGCAGTGCCTTTATAACATTTATATAACATGAGTTATTTATCCTTCTCAAGGCACATGTTCTTTTTCCATGAAGTGCATTTACACAATGGCGACCTGTCAGTGCGCAAGAGTTTTTTGCTCTGAAAGTTCATAGTGAGTGAAAGTCGTTCGACGAAATAGGCCCCAATGTTCCAGCTATACCACGTGGGCCTGTACAGATCGAGCCTGGACCAGGAAAACCAGTTGCAAAACAGAAGACCAATGCTTGACGCCATCGGTACATGATTATGCAATTGGCCAATCACGCCGCCCCAGTTCACTCGACGGTAATGAAGTTGTCATAATAGAATATCACATCGGTAACTAGAATGTACTTTGACAGAAATTCACTGGATTTTGAACTTTATTCATGAAACATTAGAACCACAGTTTTACAATATCTAGGAAACGAAATGCTTTGATTTCGAATTGAAAAATAATATTTGACCATATATATGGTGTAACATATCTGAATGTCATACTGAATATCCAATTCAATGCAGTACCTGCCCCTGCAGAATTCAATCAAAGGGCTAATTTTACATATACAGGCATACATAGTATTATACATTATCCTGCACGGTATTTGCTTGACGAGGACTTCACATAACAAGAAGTAGCGTTCGTCTTCTCATCTGCAGTCATCTACGTTGAATCATTCGAAGAAAATATAGATGCCATCGGGTGTCTTCGGTAAGTTCCGGATGAAATGCCGTTGCAAGAATATTCCCCTGACGACAACCCACAATAGCTGCTTCTGGTTTGTCTTCGGTAGACGCACTGGCCAGGATCTTGACACTCGGGTCAGTTGTTCTGCTGATAGCAGGAGCTCGTATGAATACACTACGAAATGGTTCGTTTCCGGTTTGCATTGAAAGTAGTTCCGGGTCGGTGATGTTCAGATCTCCTTCGAAGCTGTTGACTTGTCTCCCGAAGTAGTTTCGTGATACCACTACGTCAAGGGCCTCCAACTGAATAAAGATATTATATAACATTACATGACGAGATCTAGGGAACGTATTGATATACTAAAAAGGACTAGGTAGGTGTGTTGGCCCACTGGAAACGTTATGGTTACGGAAAACTATGAAATATTAGGAAGAACGTAACCAGACATGTTCACATGGTTGACAAGTAGCCATTTCCGTTTCTTTCGCTAGACGATTATGGGGTGAAAGAGTGAGTTGGGTTTAAATTCCAGTTATATCACGGCGTGTCAGCTTTATGGGGGAGGAAAGCCCGAAGTGATGCAGGTCTCAGACGTTTACCACTTCGGTGAAACCCACGAGCACGGATATAGTGCTGACAAACCTATAAACATAATCGGGGCGAACCGGGATTCGAACCCACAATCATAGGTTTCTGACGTGCCCATGGGACGCAACTCTGCACAGCGAATCGCGGCGCCTTAGACGACTGGGCCACCCGTGCCCCCTAGACGATCGTGTACTTTTGGGGATGATCAAGTACAAAATAACAGTTAAAATGAGGGAAAGGGGACATTTGTTACATCTTCAAAAGAAATTTTAACCATAATGCAAGCTCGTGGCCCAAAATAATGATTACCAAATATTTGTACTGCCTTTGTGTACGTGTAAGAAAATCAGCTCGGTTCAAAGACTTGCTCATGTTTAAGTACCATAAAAACGCTTCCTGATAACCACGAAAGCAATTTTTTCAACATGTTATATAGCCGTACCTGTAATTTCATGTTGTTTTCATTCTTATTCATTAAAATAAATATACTCACTCTGTACTTCTCGACGTGTAACCTGGGACTATGGCCTATATTACTTTTCGAAAGTACTAGGGGCGGTCGGGTAGCCTAGTGGTTAAAGCGTTCGCTCGTCACGCTGAAGACCCGGGTTCGATTCCCGACATGGGTACAATGTGTGAAGCCCATTTCTGGTGTCCCCCGCCGTGATATTGCTGGAAGCGGCGTAAAACCATACTCACTCACTCACTCACTCGAAAGTACTACTCTAAAGAATTCCAAATGATGCATGCGTTTAAATGAAGAGAGTCTCTTTCTTCACAAACATTTTTCACACACCATGCCATTCGCCGGGTCAGATTCGCAGGGAAACCCAGCTGTGGTCACCGTGGCCTCTGACCCATCTCGACGTTGCTCAGCGTGACCAGAAAGGATCTCGTGATACACAACAGCAAAGACTACTTTCAGGTTGACGTTTTGAATGTAAATTAGAGAGTGAGTGAGTGTGGTTTTAGGTCGCTTTTAGCAATATTCCAGCAAGAGCGGGGGACACCAGAAATGGACTTCATACATGGTACCAATGTGAGGAATCGAACCCGGACCTTCGGCATGACGAGCGAACACCTTAACCACTAGGCTACCCCACCGCCCTTGAATGTAGAGAAATAAAACAGAAAAATATTAACCCTCGCTAAATAGTCAGTTTTGAAAGAACAACCTCATGAGAATGTTTTTAACTGCCTAAAAGATATACAGGATAAGTGACAGTTCCTCAACGATATGATATATACCACCACTGGCGTGTTAGAATACATTAGAGGAGACCAAAAAACAAAGGTATCTGTTTCATCAGTTTGCTCATACTCACCGAATATTGACCTCCCTTCTTTTGGTTCTCCGTAACCTTGGACAACAGAATCATCCCTGCGCATGTTCCCCAAGTCACGTGATGCTTGTCCTTAACCCAATCCTTCAGGGGCTGCTCCATGTCGTTTCTTCTCAGAAATAAACTTATGGCTGTGCTTTCACCTCCGGGAATAATCAAGCCAACCATGTCTGACGTAATGTGTGACACATTCCGGACACCGATGACGTCAACTGTGACGTCATCTGATAGTTCCTTAGCAGCAGCCAGGAGGGATATCTTATGCTCGAGGAATGCGCCTTGAATCTCAAGGATTCCAACTTTTAATGTTTCCATTTTGTAAAGATGGAAATATTTTTGCAGAAGACGAGGTTATCTGAAAGAGAAAATTAGAAACTATATTTTTCTTTAGTGGTCATAGTGTTTGATGTATATAACTGCTAAATGCATATTGGTTACATGACGCATCTTAATGTAATAAAGTGTGAGTCCAATTTCGCGTGAGGGCACGGCTGACCTAGTCTAAGGCGCCGCAATTCACTTGACAGTTTTGTGTCCCTTGGAAACGCTAGAAACCTGAGATTATCGGTTCGAATCCCGATTCTGTTTCTAGGTTTGTCACCACCATATACGTACTAGTTTGTTTCACCAAAGCGGTAGACGTCAGATAGATACCTGCATCATTTCGGACTTCCCTCCAACATTAAGCTGACACACCTTGATATAACTGGAATAGATTTAAAGCAGCGTTAAACCCCTCACTCACTCACTCGAATATCGTGTTAGAATAGGTCTTCAACCCATGCATGCCGTCAAAGGCGACTATGCTTGTCGTAAGAGGCGACAAACGGGGTCGGGTGGTCAGGCTCGCTTACTCGGTTGATGCATGTCATCGTATCCGAATAGCGTGGGTCGATGCTCATGATATCAATCACTGGATTGTCTGATCCAGACTCGAGTATTTACACACCGCCGTCATATAGCTAGAATATTGCTTAGTGCGGCGTTAAACAACAAACAAACAAACAAAAAATAACAAATTAGAAGTTTTTATGAATGCAGACACAAAGGAGTTCAGACTGAGTTTTGCAAATTAATCCAACTTTGATCGATTTAAAGGGCAATAACTCATGTTAAATAACTATAGGGTAGGGTGCGCAATTCAATACTAACCTACTTTTGGGGGGGGGTTGGGGGTGGGGGGTGGGGGTGGGGTGGGTGGGTGGGGTTAGTATATGCAGGAGTTATTTTAGGGTAGGACAAACATGTATGCGTGTGTGCACAAGACACACGAGAACTTGATAGCCCCAACTGGCTATGGGTCACAGTGTGAATAAACCGTATGCTGTGTAAGGTTAACCCTATTCCGTTCAACCAGTTTCCGTTGTACTGCTTTTTAACCCATATCTCAGTTCATTTACTCGTACGGAGGCACGGTTCGTCCTTGAATCGACCTGATTCACAATTCGCTATGCAGATTTGTATCCTTCACACAAGTCAGAACGTGTTAGAAGGGTTCACCATGCAGTAGCATACGTTTATGCTTGACGTGTGTCACCTTCACACTGTTACCTCTCACATTGAGCTGACACGTCTTGATATAAGTGTTCAAAGCACCGTTGGACGCATCTTCCCGAGGCAGGAGCGTCATCCAGCTTCTATATCAAAGTCACGTGGACACACTTGCCCCGGGAAGATGCGTTAGATGCCACTCCCTCACTTCCAATATACAATGATCCAGGAAAATAATTACACTCTTCTTCACTGTTTATACACCGTATTTTACTTGTTTATGGTATAACATATAAATATGTTTCAACATGAGAAAATTGTGAAATCTACCCAGCTTTCTTTCTTGTTACATGGGTGATACCATTTTACTTAATCAAGGGTACAGGGTACTAAATACTGATGCAACCAGCCATAACGAGTGTTGTTTTAACGGGCCTGCGTTTTGGGAAGATACCATTTTACGGCATCCTAATCTCTTGCAAAAACAACAAAAGCGACCCAACCGTTTCCATAATCAAAAGAAAAGAAAAGAAATCTAAAATAAACTGTACGATTTTATATACTAAAAACGTGTTTGTGTTTACATTGGAGTTGGTATTTCCGCTATCTAAAGCGTGCAGCGGGGCCGTCTAATTGTTGATAGTCATTTTGGAGACATAAATGTGAAGTCAATTAATGCGAGCAAAGACCATTCGCATTTTCGCATTTAATTCGCGCACGCGTTAATTTCAAGATTTACAGTATACAATAAGGATGTCTTTATAAACCACTACAACAAAGTGATAACACCAGGTGTTCGCGACTTTACATCGTCTCTTGTTCCACTTACCACCTGGTCGGTCGGGTAGCATAGTGGTTAAAGCGTTCGCTCGTCACGCCGAAGACCCGAGTTCGATTCCCGACATGGGCACAATGTGTGAGCCCATTTCTGGTGTCCCCCGCCATGATATTTCTGGAATATTGCTAAAAGCGTCGTAAAACAATACTCACTCACTCAACTTACCACCTAGCACTTATATCAGTTTACTTTGTCATCCTCATCACCTTACTGTCCTTATTCCGTGAACTACATACTATCTTCTCGGTTGATGATGTAATTCTTTATCGTTGATAGATAAGATAAATACCCTTATGAAACTGTATACAGGGTGCTTATGAAACGACCCGCGCATTGCTTGTGTAACATGATTCACAGATCCAGTGTTTATACAACAATAATGATTATTGTTAGTTTAGTTTAAACATATTTTATTCTCATGAAAAGGATTGGGTACAAGTTATCACAACTTAGAACTCCCTCTCCCATTGAGATTATTGTTATGTAAACGACACATATTTATGACACCGAGAGCGATACACATACAGTGGAATTAAGGACTGCAATTGTAACTTCGACAACTATATTGTTATAGTCTGGCATAATCACTGGATGCCAACATGTTTAGAATGTAAACACACAAGGCAAGTTGAAATCTAAACATGTTTAGAAATGTGTTTTAATTCTAAACGGGAAACACTTATACTGTGTTCTATTTAAACACGTTAAGGGTCTAAACATATCAAATGAGCTGTTCCCCTATAGCCTAAAACCACCTAAACCATTCCCATCATCTAAACATGTTTACGACACAGACGAGTGCATATCATTGCGTTTTATCCTAATAATCAAAACATATGCTTGAAAACTTGCGTTTAAGTTGAAAATATAAACTTGGCTATAAGAACGTCACATGACAATATCAGTACTTCCAAAAGTTGCTACTCGTCTTATATTGTTAGACTGTCGGTCGCATTGATTGGAACCACAAGCAGTTTTAATGTAACTATCATTACCGTATTCGACGTCTTAAACGCCCTGGGCGTTCTCAAAATTAGAAATTGGGGGGCTCTTATTTGAAAATTATTTTGGTGGAAAAAAAACGATTTGAAAGATAAATTTTGTGGTTTATGCTTACAGCCTGAAATGTTGATATACGACAGATTTTTCCAGAATATAATTGCCCATAATTAAGGGTGCATATAACACACGAGTGGGTATAATACGCGAATAAATAAGTCTTGTGTACATTGATCAATCGGAAGGGGTGCTAATTTGGATTGTTCACTAGCCAACATATTAGCAAATATCGCCATGGGCGCTTATTAGAGCGGGGCGCTTATTACGTCGAATACGGTATTTAATTACTCCCGTTTGCTACGGACAAGGGGGTAACTTTGGTTGAGCAATGGCGACCGGTTTGTTTAGATATAGGGTGGTGGAGACACTGATGGTGCGAGAGTGACGACGCTGCCATATACAATGTAGCTGAAGGACTCATCATCTAATCTAGTAACACATTATCAGTCTTGCAAATGAGCTGTTCAGTGACTTTCCACATAACGCCATACACATTTTGCAGATGCAAACGTAAATCTTAATAAAACAATTGCCTTGCAAAAGAATGTATACACTTGAAAATTACACACGGTATCAAGATATTGCTTAGCTAAAAACAGTCACCGAAACAGTTCAAACTTAGTCTAAGATACACGTATTACTTACCCGTGTCCAGTCATTGGAAACTCGACTTCGTGTGCATGAACCTCAAATACATCACCATCGAATAACCATTTCTTGTTTGATTCATTTTTAGCCACAGTCATGGGTGTATATAACTTTTGCCCGGTAGTGTATTTGATAGTTGAATTAAAACATATCGATCGTCAACATCTTTGAGAATCATGAATGTTGGATAGTTATACAAGTAAACTGGTAAACTATAAACTGGTTAAAAAGAGCGAATGTTTTCTGGCACTTACATCACTGGATATTCAGGCGCTGCTGAAGCAAATCATTCGTCTGAATGGCGAGTCATGCTTGTCTTATGAAATAATTCTGACCTCTTTCACTTTGACCTGACACACTTGTAACTATCTGGTGCAACGTTAAAACATCGGTATCCGATATCCATGAAAAAACCTTACCTTATCATGTCAAAAGTTATAGCGATAAAACACTAATACCTATGTTTGCAAGAGAGGGTGACGTGTGATCTCACGTTTGTATTGACGAGGGTGTTTGCATACTTTATCAGCGCCTAATCACAAGGGGGCCGTTGAATAGAATATTCCGAGCGGTGACAATACAGAAAGATAAGCTGATGTAATAGGTCACGTGATCGACTCTTGTAAATACGGACCCAGAAGGAGTGTCGGGTATCAGTGTCACACGACCACCCTCCATCAACTACACCCTCTGGACCAACGACGTTACTTCAACAAGGTGAGGACCTTCAAATATTCTGGTCGGGTATGTACCTTTAACAGGGGGATTGGGTTGGAGAATGTATAGTCATAGCAAGTTTGTTTCAACCTGTTGAAACACCAGTTCGTCTGAATTGACACTGTCTTTTAGAAAGTAATCAAATTTAACATGCTGTATTTAGGATTACAAGTAAAGTAAAAATTCTAGTAATTGGGATGATGGGGGGGGGGGGGGGGGGGGGGGGGGGGGGGCACCTAACTCACACAGCCACCGAGGCTTCCACACAACTGTAAGTCCGACAACTGCTAACCTCGATCCCGTACTTTGCGTAACCCTCTGATAAGAGTATATTGGCACGGCATGTCAAATCTTTTTGAACAACGTGTCGAATTCAGAGTGATAGTGAGTGAGAGAGGGAGTTTGGTTTTACGCCGCTTTTAGCAATATTCCAGCAATATCACGGCGGGGGACACCAGAAATGGGCTTCACACATTGTACCCATGTCGGGATTCGAACCCGGGTCTTCGGCGTGACGAGCGAACGCTTTAACCACTCGGCTACCCGCCCGCCCCTCAGGGTGATAGAGGTTACAACTTTCCACTATATGTCAACTTAAACAAATATAAAATTATTACCGGTCTTTTACCGAATTTATTATGCAAGAACATAAATTGTATTGTTTTCATTTTCATGAGAAAACAAACACGTTTCATCATTCACTCTATTGTATTGTAGTTATGTACAAACCTCATTTATTCATTTCATTAACACTCAGACCTCATATTCGTTTTGATTGTTTTTACTTGTATATGGCGTATGGTTCCAACAGTTACAGCAAGATAGTTTTCTTACAATGTATGATCTCGGCATACATGACACTTTTACATCGCAATTCCCCCTTGAAGATCCGGGTTAGAATCGGTCTTCATCAAACCATGCTTGTCGTAAGAGGCGACTAAAGGGATCGGGTTGTCATATTCAATAATTTACAGACTGCCGTCATATAGCTTGAATATTGCTCAGTGCGGCGTTCAACAGCAAACAAACAAACAAATTCGAAATAAGGACATTCGTTGTTTTGAACTAACCATATAACACAGAACTATTTTAAACTTACCTTCACATATCTCGCTGTCCTTATAAGGAACTGTTATGATCGCACAAAGCACACCAATAGTGTTTTGTGAACTTTGAACCACGAGCTCGAGACACACACGTACTGGTCATATTCATGTCACGTTCAGTATTCGCCACACATTGACCCAGAATCCTTTCACGCTTCCAGAACAATCAACACCGAAGATGGCGACACTTGTAAACGGTAAGTTTACTGTTATGTTATGCATGGGATATAATATTTACATTTCACTGTTTGATGTGATGGTGAAATGGGGTTTAACGTCGCGTTCAAGATTTTTGCGGTTATATAGCGACGTGTATGTACGTGTGTGGCTGCTTGTACTAGTGCGTATTAACGCCGATTTTATAGTGCAAGTCCACTGAAATACCATGCCGCAGTTTAACTCACCCACTGCCTCTCTCACAGTATACCGACTCCGAGCCGACCAGTCCATGTTTTAGCCCGTTGGTGCCGAACGCCAGGCAGGGTAACAACAAGTATAATCTTTTACGTCTTTTGATAGGACGCGGCCGGGCAGACGGTCTACCACTAGATATCTTAATGTTTGATATGTAGACAATCTCACTGAGCGACCTTTTCATATCAAATATGTCAACACTAGTAGATGATTTTTTAACCTCCGAGGCTTGATTCTATTGTGCGCAGTCGCGTCCCTTTAGCGTGCCAGAAACCTATGATCGTGAGTTCGAATCCCAGACATGTCCTGGTGATGCTGCTAGGTTTGTCACCAACGTGTTAAAAGTCTAAAAACCTCCATCTCTTAGGCTTAGGCTCACTGATTTGTCCAGACTCGACGCTTACTGACTTGGAACATTTACACATATTTACAAATTCAATACACCGTATCTGATTGACGTTGCAGGTTCCGGCATCAACGTCACCAACCTCGTTGTCGACAATGCTGCAAAAACATCGTCGCAGACAGGTTTGATAAGAATGGGCCCCTTATTGTCAATGTTCTTCACGTTTAATAACTTTTGATACATTTGACGCGTTTTGACTTGATTTGATGCGAATTTGTTTATCAATATTTGGTGTCGAAGAAATTATATTTCGGTGAAAATCATATGAGATCAGCGTTACAACAAAGACGCAAAATCTAGGCTCTTTAAGTCACAGAATACCAACTCTATTTACTTGATTATTCTAATGGTAAGTTCTTTTTGAATTTTGCATTTGGGTAGCTGTTTTAGTATAGATAGATTGAGTTTGCAAAGAGTTTCCATTCCTGACGAACCTGATAACCTTGACCTTCAGGCACATTCAAGGTGAAGGCCGGTATGGCCCAGATGGCGAAGGGCGGGATCATCATGGACGTTACTACACCGGAAGAAGCCAGGATCGCAGAGGAAGCGGGAGTGCGTATAAAAAACCCCAGAAAGCATGCATTTAAAACGAAAAACCCACCTACACATTACTAATTAAAGTTTTGTTAAATTACTGTCACGTTCGTGAACAGTTCGTAGTTGTATATCAACATTCCATATTCCAGGCATGCGCAGTGATGGCTTTAGAACGAGTTCCGGCCGATATTCGCCGCCAAGGTGGTGTTGCTCGAATGACCGATCCCAAGGTTAGATCACACGCACATATGTGTATTTGCGAATTTTTCTCACACCTTATTCATATAATGATCAAAGCCGAAAACAACTCCAGCTTGGATCCACGTTAACTGCTTGATTCTTCCGGTATGTTCACAGATAATTAAAGTGATAATGCTTGATTCTCCCAGTATGTTCACAGATAGTTAAAGGGACAATGCTTGATTCTCCCAGTATGTTCACAGATAGTTAAAGGGACAATGCTTGATTCTTCCGGTATGTTCACAGATAGTTAAAGGGATAATGCTTGATTCTCCCAGTATGTTCACAGATAATTAAAGGGATAATGCTTGATTCTCCCAGTATGTTCACAGATAATTAAAGGGACAATGCTTGATTCTCTCAGTATGTTCACAGATAATTAAAGGGATAATGCTTGATTCTCACGGTATGTTCACAGATAGTTAAAGGGATAATGCTTGATTCTCCCAGTGTGTTCACAGATAATTAAAGGGACAATGCTTGATTCTCCCAGTATGTTCACAGATAATTAAAGGGATAATGCTTGATTCTCCCAGTATGTTCACAGATAATTAAAGGGACAATGCTTGATTCTCTCAGTATGTTCACAGATAATTAAAGTGATAATGCTTGATTCTCCCGGTATGTTCACAGATAGTTAAAGGGACAATGCTTGATTCTCCCAGTATGTTCACAGATAGTTAAAGGGACAATGCTTGATTCTCCCAGTATGTTCACAGATAGTTAAAGGGACAATGCTTGATTCTTCCGGTATGTTCACAGATAATTAAAGGGATAATGCTTGATTCTTCTGGTATGTTCACAGATAGTTAAAGGGATAATGCTTGATTCTCCCAGTATGTTCACAGATAATTAAAGGGATAATGCTTGATTCTCCCAGTATGTTCAAAGATAATTAAAGGGACAATGCTTGATTCTCTCAGTATGTTCACAGATAATTAAAGGGATAATGCTTGATTCTCACGGTATGTTCACAGATAGTTAAAGGGATAATGCTTGATTCTCCCAGTATGTTCACAGATAATTAAAGGGACAATGCTTGATTCTCCCGGTATGTTCACAGATAATTAAAGGGATAATGCTTGATTCTCCCAGTATGTTCACAGATAATTAAAGGGATAATGCTTGATTCTCCCAGTATGTTCACAGATAATTAAAGGGACAATGCTTGATTCTCTCAGTATGTTCACAGATAATTAAAGGGATAATGCTTGATTCTCACGGTATGTTCACAGATAGTTAAAGGGATAATGCTTGATTCTCCCAGTATGTTCACAGATAATTAAAGGGACAATGCTTGATTCTCCCGGTATGTTCACAGATAATTAAAGGGATAATGCTTGATTCTCCCAGTATGTTCACAGATAATTAAAGGGATAATGCTTGATTCTCCCAGTATGTTCACCGATAATTAAAGGGACAATGCTTGATTCTCTCAGTATGTTCACAGATAATTAAAGGGATAATGCTTGATTCTCACGGTATGTTCACAGATAGTTAAAGGGATAATGCTTGATTCTCCCAGTGTGTTCACAGATAATTAAAGGGACAATGCTTGATTCTCCCGGTATGTTCACAGATAATTAAAGGGACAATGCTTGATTCTCCCGGTATGTTCACAGATAATTAAAGGGATAATGCTTGATTCTCCCAGTATGTTCACAGATAATTAAAGGGATAATGCTTGATTCTCCCAGTATGTTCACAGATAATTAAAGGGACAATGCTTGATTCTCTCAGTATGTTCACAGATAGTTAAAGGGATAATGCTTGATTCTCACGGTATGTTCACAGATAGTTAAAGGGATAATGCTTGATTCTCCCAGTGTGTTCACAGATAATTAAAGGGACAATGCTTGATTCTCCCGGTATGTTCACAGATAATTAAAGGGATAATGCTTGATTCTCCCAGTATGTTCACAGATAATTAAAGGGACAATGCTTGATTCTCCCAGTATGTTCACATATAATTAAAGGGATAATGCTTGATTCTCATCACGGTATGTTCACAGATAGTTAAAGGGATAATGCTTGATTCTCCCGGTATGTTCACAGATAGTTAAAGGGACAATGCCTGATTCTCCCAGTATGTTCACAGATAGTTAAAGGGACAATGCTTGATTCTCCCAGTATGTTCACAGATAGTTAAAGGGACAATGCTTGATTCTCCCGGTATGTTCACAGATAGTTAAAGGGACAATGCTTGATTCTCCCAGTGTGTTCACAGATAGTTAAAGGGATAATGCTTGATTCTCTCAGTATGTTCACAGATAGTTAAAGGGACAATGCTTGATTCTCCCAGTATGTTCACAGATAGTTAAAGGGACAATGCTTGATTCTCCCGGTATGTTCACAGATAGTTAAAGGGACAATGCTTGATTCTCCCAGTATGTTCACAGATAGTTAAAGGGATAATGCTTGATTCTCCCAGTATGTTCACAGATAGTTAAAGGGACAATGCTTGATTCTCCCAGTATGTTCACAGATAATTAAAGGGACAATGCTTGATTCTCCCAGTATGTTCACAGATAATTAAAGGGATAATGCTTGATTATCCCAGTATGTTCACAGATAGTTAAAGTGATAATGCTTGATTCTCCTGGCATGTTCACAGATAATTAAAGGGATAATGCTTGATTATCCCGGTATGTTCACAGATAATTAAAGTGATAATGCTTGATTCTTACGGTATGTTCACAGATAATTAAAGGGATACTGCTTGATTCTCCCAGTATGTTCACAGATAGTTAAAGGGACAATGCTTGATTCTCCCGGTATGTTCACAGATAATTAAAGTGATAATGCTTGATTCTTCCGGTATGTTCACAGATAATTAAAGGGATAATGCTTGATTCTCCCAGTATGTTCATCACAGATAATTAAAGTGATAATGCTTGAATCTCCCAGTATGTTCACAGATAATTAAAGTGATAATGCTTGATTCTTACGGTATGTTCACAGATAATTAAAGTAATAATGCTTGATTCTCCCGGTATGTTCACAGATAATTAAAGTGATACTGCTTGATTCTTCCGGTATGTTCACAGATAATTAAAGTGATAATGCTTGATTCTTCCGGTATGTTCACAGATAATTAAAGTGATAATGCTTGATTCTTCCGGTATGTTCACAGATAATTAAAGTGATAATGCTTGATTCTTCCGGTATGTTCACAGATAATTAAAGTGATAATGCTTGATTCTTCCGGTATGTTCACAGATAATAAAAGTGATAATGCTTGATTCTTCCGGTATGTTCACAGATAGTTAAAGGGACAATGCTTGATTCTCCCAGTATGTTCACAGAAAGTTAAAGGGATAATGCTTGATTCTCCCAGTATGTTCACAGATAATTAAAGGGATAATGCTTGATTCTCACGGTATGTTCACAGATAATTAAAGGGATAATGCTTGATTATCCCGGTATGTTCACAGATAATTAAAGTGATAATGCTTGATTCTTACGGTATGTTCACAGATAATTAAAGGGATACTGCTTGATTCTCCCGGTATGTTCACAGATAGTTAAAGGGACAATGCTTGATTCTCCCGGTATGTTCACAGATAATTAAAGTGATAATGCTTGATTCTTCCGGTATGTTCACAGATAATTAAAGGGATAATGCTTGATTCTCACGGTATGTTCACAGATAATTAAATTGATAATGCTTGAATCTCCCAGTATGTTCACAGATAATTAAAGTGATAATGCTTGATTCTTCCGGTATGTTCACAGATAATTAAAGTAATAATGCTTGATTCTCCCGGTATGTTCACAGATAATTAAAGTGATACTGCTTGATTCTTCCGGTATGTTCACAGATAATTAAAGTGATAATGCTTGATTCTTCCGGTATGTTCACAGATAATTAAAGTGATAATGCTTGATTCTTCCGGTATGTTCACAGATAATTAAAGTGATAATGCTTGATTCTTCCGGTATGTTTACAGATAGTTAAAGGGATAATGCTTGAATCTCCCAGTATGTTTACAGATAATTAAAGGTAATACTGCTTGATTCTCCCAGTATGTTCACAGATAATTAAAGTGATAATGCTTGATTCTTCCGGCATGTTCACAGATAATTAAAGTGATAATGCTTGATTCTTCCGGTATGTTCACAGATAATTAAAGGGATTATCGCTGCCGTGACTATTCCCGTCATGGCCAAAACCCGAATCGGCCACATTGCCGAGGCACAGATCCTGGAGTCGCTGGGTGTGGACATGATTGACGAGTCGGAAGGTGACTATACTGGAGAAGACTGTATCCATAATGCATCCATACCCGACCATGAGTCGTACGCCCCGGGAAGATCCGGGTTAGAATAGGTTTTCAGCAACACATGCTTACAGGCGACTATGCTTGTCGTAAGAGGCAACTAACGGTATCGGGTGATGAGGCTCGCTGACTTGGTTGATGCATGTCATCGTAGCTCAATTGCGTAGAACGATTCTTATGATTTGAATCACTGGATTGTTGGGTCCAGGCTCCATATAATATGAGGTTCTTCATTAATGACTTAAATACTTATTAATATGTAAACGTACGATTGTACAGTATTAAGGTCTCTTATTAAAGTGCTGACGCCAGCTGACGAAGAAAACCACATTGACAAACACCCGTTCAAGGTCCCCTTTGTGTGCGGGGCCAGGGATCTGGGAGAGGCATTGAGGAGGATCTCTGAGGGTGCTGCAATGATCAGGACCAAGGGGGAGGCTGGGACAGGTAAGAATGAGTGAGTGAGCGAATGAGTTTGGGTGAGTAAATAAGTGAGTGAGGTGAGTTTAACGCCACTCTAACCGCATTTCCGTTAGATTGCGATGTATTAGCTTCATGCAGACAGAAATTCGCAAGTGTCTTTGGTGATCTCCACGATCACGTATATGATGCTGACAGACTAAGGATTATTGCGGCGAAAGTGGGATTCGAACCCCAAACCAGTGACCCCTGACCCTAAGAGACGCAGCATTGCACAGCGAATTTGGGCTCCTCGGACCATTAACATTTCCTTGATCATTATTATGTTAAAATAATAAAATGGATGATGATTCAGCATGTATACAATTATTTTTGACCTATTCTTGAACATTGGTGTTGCCTAGGCGACGTGTCGGAGGCGGTACGACATGCCCGAACTATCAACAAGCAGGTCAAGATAGCCCAGGCCCTTGACTCCACAGAACTCTTCGCATATGCCAAAGAACTTCGAGTTCCCTATGATCTTCTTAAGAAAACAGCGGAACTGGGACGACTTCCGGTTGTCAACTTTGCAGCAGGGGGCCTAGGTGAGTACATAGTATAGACTCTGTTTGTTTGTTTGTTTGTTTGTTAAACGCGGAACTCAGCAATATAACAGCTATATGACGGCGGTCTGTAAATAATCGAATCTGGACCAGACAATCCTGTGATTGATATCATGAGCATCGATCCACGCAATTGGGATACGATGACATGCATCAACCGAGTAAGCGAGCCTGACCACCCGACCCCGTTAGTCGCCTCTTACGACAAGCATAGTCGCCTTTGACGGCATGCATGGGTTGAAGACCTATTCTAACACGATAATCGAGTGAGTGAGTAAGGGGTTTAACGCTGCTTTGAACACTATTCCAGTGATATCAAGGTGTGTCAGCTTAATGTTGGAGGAGAGTCCGATCCCATTAGTCGCCTTTTACGGCAAGCATGGGTTCCTCTTCTACCCAAGATCTGTCCCTGTTGTGTGTGTCTGTCCCTGTGTGAAGTACGTAATCATAGAGGTGGTGTGTTCCGATTGACCATCATGCTATAACGAACGTGTCCTGATTGTGACTCCGAGTGTGTACATCGTGATACAGCCGGTATGTCTAGACCGTGACACGACTCCAATGAATGTACAGTCCTAGTGGTTAAAGCGTTCGCTCGTCACGCTGAAGTCCCGGGATCGATTCCGGACATGGGTACAATGTGTGAAGTCCATTTCGTGTCTCCCCCACCGTGATATTGCTGGAATATTACTAAAGGTGGCGTAAAACAATGCTCACTCACTATAATGAATATATGTTGCAGCTACTCCGGCTGACGTGTCGTTACTGATGCAGCTGGGGGTCGACGGTGTGTTCGTGGGATCAGGAATATTCAAGAGCTCCAATCCTCCCCCTCGGGCACGTGCAATGGCGCAGGCTGTCACCCACTTCCGGGAACCCGCAAAACTGGCGCAACTGAGTGAAGATCTCGGGGAAGCCATGTTTGGTATTCCGGTCAACCAAAGGCAATCCAATATGGCCGGCACGTCCGTTGATATGAAGTTCAAGGACATGAAAATCTGGGATGCCACGTTAGGGAACCCTGCTAAGACCACTCACGCTTGATCTTATACACGAGATCGTCATGTGTTATCCGATAATATAATTCACTGTTCATTGAATAGAATTAATATTAATTTATCATTAACATTCAGCCATCCATTGTAATTGAACAAGGAATCTCAAAGAGTCATACATTATGCTTTGAATGTAAACAAATTCATCCCAAACGCTAATTGATTCGATAAATCTTTTTACTTTTTATAAAAAACAAACAATGAACTTAATTTCATGGTCACATTGTTATACATATGTCACGGGTATAATTCATGTCACGTAATTATTGAGACACATTTCAATAAAATTAATAAATGTTTCAAAGGTCGTTACTTTTTGTGACTATTGCTCCCTATTAAGAATCAGAGGGCACAGTCATTAGGAGGCCGCCCACACTCATCTTGCCTGCGGCGTTTGGACATATACCTTGTTTGAATTACCAATGTTATGTTTTTACATACTAACAAAACATATTGCGAGGAAGCATTCCCTACAAAGCTGAGTAATAACATCATCACACCCACAACCACACTAGGTAACACCACATACACACCGCACCGCATGGCACCGCACCGCACCGCACCGCACCGCACCGCACCGCACCGCACCGCACCGCACCGCACCGCACCGCGCCGCACCCCACCGCACCCCACCGCAACTAACCTCACCTCACTTCACCTCACCGCACCGCACCGCACCGCACCGCACCGCACCGCACCGCACCGCACCGCACCGCACCGCACCGCACCGCACCGCACCTCACCTCACCGCACCGCACCGCACCGCACCGCACCGCACCGCACCGCACCGCACCGCAACTAACCTCACCTCACCTCACCGCACCGCACCGCACCGCTCCTCACCTCACCTCACCTCACCTCACCGCACCGCACCGCACCGCACCGCACCTCACCTCACCTCACCTCACCTCACCTCACCTCAACTCACCTCATCGCACCGCACCGCAACTAACCTCACCTCACCTCACCGCACCGCACCGCACCTCACCGCACCGCACCTCACCTCACCTCACCTCACCGCACCGCACCGCACCGCACCGCACCGCACCTCACCTCACCTCACCGCACCGCACCGCACCGCACCGCACCGCACCGCACCGCACCGCACCGCACCGCACCGCACCGCACCGCACCGCACCGCACCGGTTAAATGATGTGAAGACAGTCCATACTATGTGTGAGCTATCTTCATTATCACTCATCAGATACTACGGTGTATGCTTATTTATATTTCGCCGCTAACAAAACTGTCTGGTGACCGAGTGAGTTTGATTCAGTTTTAACACAAACGTCAGAAAAATGTTAGCAAAATGTTGAAAGTCCGAAGTGATGAAGGTACGCGTTCTTTACTTTGTTTAAACCTACGACCTTTGTGCTGACAAACCAAGAACCATGATCAGGGAGATTGTTCAAAATCCGAAAATATAGCGCGAGACATTTGTTCATATATAATTATAAGACTGGTGAGATCTTCAACACTTTGAATATATCCCTTATAAAGATAGGCTTATCTTAGCCTCTGATTAATCTGGAACTGTCCGGCAGTGGCTGGCTGGAGAGAGCTGCACAGGACTCTGACCTTCTGATCCTATGTTGTAGGCACGGAATCTCACTTTCCAACTTACAGCGCCCGGCCATGCGTTGGAGTTCGGATCTTGCCCAGTTCGTGAACTTAAATTGGTGTACGGCTCGATTTAAGATAACCGACTTTCATTATAATAAAACAATAGAGAGAAGTGACATGTGCGTGCCTAGGCATGACACGGTATCTGGAAGTGTGGTTGAGCAACGTTTTAAGAGTTTAACATGTCATTTGAGTATTAATGTGAGATTACATATAAAGTATACATTGGCTGCCTTTCAGTGAAATCGTCATAATGTCAGAATACAGAATACAGTGCGTGACAAAGTTTCTATTCAAATTGGACGGATGCATTGAATGTGTTTATTTAATTCAAATACTTCCATGATGTGGATGAGGTTGCATCCAAGCCAACCCCCACCGCTCTTCGACCTCCACCCTCACCCCGACACTCCTACGCGAACCCCCCCTCCCCCATCTGTCTTATCTTTCCTCACTCACCTCAACTACTTCCCTCTCTCAATCAATTACTTGTCCCGCTCGCTTACCTACATGTACCTCCTCTCACTCCATCCTCCCTCTCTCTCTCAATGTTTCTCTCACCTGCCCCTCTGTCACTCACCTGCCTGTCTCCTATCCCCATCCTTACTCGCTGACCCCTTCCCCTCTACCACCCTACAGTCTCTCGCCCCTTCCACTCACCCACCCCTACAGTCTCTCCCCCTTCTTCTCTTCCCCCTACAGTCTCTCACCCCTTCTCCTCTCCCTCCCCTACAGTCTCTCCCCCTTCTTCTCTTGCCCCCTACAGTCTCTCACCCCTTCTCCTCTCCCTCCCCTACAGTCTCTCCCCCTTCTTCTCTTACCCCCTACAGTCTCTCGCCCCTTCCCTCCTACAGTCTCCTACCCCTTCCCCCCCTACAATCTCTCACCCCTTCCCCTCTTTCCCCCTACAGTCTCTCCCCCTTCTCCTCTTGCCCCCTACAGTCTCTCACCCCTTCTCCTCTCCCACCCCTACAGTCTCTCCCCCTTCTTCTCTTGCCCCCTAGAGTCTCTCACCCCTTCTCCTCTCCCACCCCTACAGTCTCTCCCCCTTCTTCTCTTGCCCCCTACAGTCTCTAACCCCTTCCCCCCTACAGTCTCCTACCCCTTCCCCCCTACAATCTCTCACCCCTTCACCTCTTTCCCCCTACAGTCTCTCCCCCTTCTCCTCTTGCCCCCTACAGTCTCTCACCCCTTCTCCTCTTTCCCCCTACAGTCTCTCCCCCTTCTTCTCTTACCCCCTACAGTCTCTCACCCCTTCCCCCCTACAGTCTCCTACCCCTTCCCCCCCTACAATCTCTCACCCCTTCTCCTCTCCCCCCTACACTCTCTCCCCCTTCTCCTCTTGCCCCTTACAGTCTCTCGCCCCTTCTCCCCCTACAATCTCTCCCCCCTCTCCTCTTCCCCCTACAGTCTCTCGCCCCTTCCCCTCTCCCTCCCCTACAATCTCTCCCCTTCTCCTCTTCCCCCTACAGTATCTCACCCCTTCCCCTCCCCCTACAATCTCTCCCCCTTCTCCTCTTGCCCCCTACAGCCTCTCCCCCTTCTCCTCTCCCCCCTAAAGTCTCTCGCCCCTTCCCCTCTCCCTCCCCTACACTCTCTCCCCCCTTCTAATCTTCCCCCTACAGCCTCTCCCCCTACTCCTCTTGCCCCCTACAATCTCTCGCCCCTTCTCCCCCCTACAATCTCTCCCCCTTCTCCTCTTCCCCCTACATCCTCTCCCCCTTCTCCTCTCCCCCCCTACAGCCTCTCGCCCCTTCCCCCTACAATCTCTCCCCTTCTCCTCTTCCCCCCTACAGCCTCTCCCCCCTTCTCCTCTCCCTCCCTACAATCTCTCCCCCTTCTCCTCTTCCCACTACAGTCTCTCGCCCCTCCCCTCCCCCCTACAGTCTCTCCCCCTTCTCCTCTCACCCTACAGCCTCTCCCCCCTTCTCCCCCCCTACAGCCTCTCGCCCCTTCTCCTCTTCCCCCTACAGTCTCGCCCCTTCTCCTCTTCCCCCCCTACAGTCTCTCCCCCCTTCTCCTCCCCCCCCCCCCCCCCCCCCCCTTTACAATCTCTCCCCCCTTCTCCTCCCTTTAAATATGATATTTTAAACCATCTTGTGGTACGTACAGTTGAACGCCTTCACTTTGAAATCTGAACCTAGTTTCGGACTTGTCTCGCATTTCATCGGACAAGGACGTACACCGAAATCCCCCCACCATCATTATTGCCGTGGTTGTTTTTTTATTACCTACAACACGGAAGCAATGCCACGTCCCTCGCGAGTGTACATGTAGTGTGTGTTTTGTGCACTGTACACTGTGCACGGGAAATCTAACTTTAAGATAATGGTCAATATCGAACAATTTTTTTAGATTTCGGGTCAACATACTGTCAACTACAGAGAGGTAATTTTTATACTTATGTACTTACAATCACATATAGAAGTTGGGTGAGGCGATGACGAACTTTCTACATCCAAACAGCATAACTAACACGTCCGTTTATAAATAATTGTTTTACAGATTCGACAACCCGAAATTTAAAAAAATGTGGAACAAAATTAAAATTATGATTGCAATAATTTCTTATTTCCGCCGAGTCTGTCAATAGCATTTCACTAAAAACAAATAATGTCTCTGATATTTTCGAGGCACGTGGTATAAATGGTACAAAGGAGAGAATGGCTGTAATTAGTGGTACGCTGACCATACCCATTTTACTGTATAGTGACAAATTCCAGACATTATTTTCCAATTTTCTCTATCTTTCGACCACCGATTGTGCATTTTGGAAAAGAAAAGTATGTAAACCAAGTCCATTGTAAATACAGTAAAAGGCCCGAAGAAGTTTTCGCGTTCATTAACACAATTGTTCTTCATGAAAAGATTATTATAATCAAAAGATTTTTTGGACAGGTGGCTATGGCACAGTTTCAAGTTATTGTCATGTTCAGAAAACATACTTTTATTTTCTTAGTAATACACATGGGAGGTGTGCACCTTTGACATGATCAAAAGAATATCTCACCTGGTGTCTTTTAATATAAAATGTGTCAGTACTATGAATGTTTCAACCTCTTCGACAATCCTCAACTTGTGTTGATAAATTTGATATCCAACACTCGGGTGAGATTCTTTTTTCCCTCCCAAATCATCATTCCAGCTATTTCAGTTTGTCCACAGTAATAACGAGGGACCCGTTCCACAAAGCGATCGTGGCGGTATGACTGCTAGTATGTCTATGTTAAAGTAGGTGTGTTACGATTGTCTTAGTGCTACGATCGCTTTGTGGAACGGGACCCAGTGCCTTGAGTGTAAAAGTACAGCTGACCAGCTTCAGTGGCAGAGGGAATAGTGACGGCAATGTATTGTGGCATCATGGTGACACTAACGTCACAATGGTCTGCAAAGCAATATGACGTAATTTCATTGAAGCGACATTTCCTAGAAGATACCGCTTGGTCTCCCCCAAGCGACTCTCCCATGGAAGCCAGTGATGGATGATAAACTACATAAGTAAACCTATGATGAGTGTAAAAGGCAGGTGTTAAGAACTTCAAAATAACAATTCGAAGATTTATTGTATAATCACATTGCCAACATCTCCCAAGAAAATGTATTTGTGTCAAAGACGTACATGTATGTTCAAATTATAAACCGCGTTTTATGAAAACCACTAAAATATACATCTTTCATACATTTTTTCATTTCTCTACACTCAGTATTGTTTTAATCTCTAAAATGTTGAGAAAAAAATCTTCTTCTCGTTCATATCAACACTTCAGATAACTTTCAGACCTATTTCTTACAATTTTGCTAATTTAATACTGATCTTGTTGGCCACAGATGTCATTTATAAAACCTTGTCCTTCACTTTCCATTTTACCGACTTTTTGTTCCATGGGTCGAATAAAGCCTGGGGGTTAAAAACTATAACTATAAAACTATAAAAATAACAGACTGGCACGGCGACTGGAACTAGACTTTCTCGTTAAAAAGGTCATGAAGACTTTGTAGACACCACTGTATGTCATCAAATCTCCCCGCCCCTTCTTCCACATTCACCCACCCTTTGCGTCAATCTTTTCCAAATAATACCCCACGGCCCTTAACGTACTCTAAGAATGGATGATTGACCTCCGTTAATTATTTAGACATTGAAATTCAATCTGTACGGATAACGGTGTTCAGCTGTATACACCCACCCGCCCATTGTATCTTGGTGTAAGTAAACACACTGGTAACAATTGCTCATTCTGTTATGGGTGCATGCAAGTGTGAATTGCCCCCAGTTGACACAGTTAATTTCCTTGACTCGATTTGTGTGTACGCATACTTATTTTCAGCCATAAGCACCTTTTGCCGTGATCTTCAATTGTTTATTTCGCATACGACGGTATACGGTTAATTATTGGAGGTCACGTACACCCCTCTGCGCATGCGGAGATCCGAGTAGTGGTGCTTGTACATGCTGAAGGTTTTTACTATTTATTATATTTGTAATGAAGACTTAGCACACATTTTTATAATAATATTCCCCAAAGTAGTCATGATCCCTAACATTTTTGTTCTGTATATATTGATAGGTTCAGCGTGATAAAGAAATTAATAATTATTTTTTTATTCAACATTCATGAAATTTAGGGTCGGCGGATCATTTAACCAAATAATTAAACAACAAACGTCTGATATAACCTTAGGGTTAACTTGCAAATCAGAGCAGTAGAAGCCAGATTAAACACAACACCGGGTATAACACTTGGAACAGTTTCAGCACTACTTGTGATTTAGGAAATACAGTTCCCTCCCCTCAAGTTTTTTTATTAAAAAAATAATTTTGATCATGTGTCTAGGTTTGTCAACACCATACCTGCGCTTGTGGTTTTCGCCAAGGCGTTGAATGTCAAAGACACTGCGTTAACTTGGGCTTTCCAAGCTGACACGCGATGACACTAAAAGTCAATCACTATTGACGTGCTTCCACCATATTGGACCTCATTGTACGCCGTGTGAACGAAACACTGAATCAGCAAGTTGAAATAATGTGCCAGTAGCCGATTTAATGCCATAGTATAAATTCAAACATGACAGTGTATTCATACATGTAAACAGGAACATTATATTGCAATACTGTAATAACAGAAAAAGCAAGGTGGTCACAACCCGTGGAGTACTGTCGACTAAAAGACAGAGGTTTTCAATAGTTTCCTTTGTGAAGACACGAGAACTATGTCTTCTTGTCATGGATGACTCGCTCGAGGAACGTCAGAGATGAAGTACTTGGCCGATATCAATTTCTTACACGTATTGAGTTATTATAACCGATGCAGGCTTTTTAAAAGATTAATTATTTTAAGAACACGTACGATATACAAGTAAACGAATAATTGTAAAAGTTAGAAAACAAATCCAATTGCCAAGAGCGAATTTTACGCCGCTTTTAGCAATATTCCAGCAATATCACCACGGGGGACACCAAAAATTGGGCTTACATATTTTAGCCATGTGGGGAATCGAACCTGGGTCTTTGGCGTGACGAACGAACGCTTTAACCACTAGGCTACCCCACCGCCCCATATAACTGAGTAAAATAGAGTCGCCGCTGCGGCTGCAAAGCAGACTGTACTGAAGACATCGCCAAATGACGCACCGCTGTTGTTGCCAAGGATATCCCATCTATTTGCACTTGCCATCGCTCCTGTTAAACGTTCAGCCTCGGCATCATCGGCATCATCGGCATGGTCCTCGTCTCCATAGTCACCATCCGTGTCACCGACAAGTGTGGTGTCAGCATCCCCGGTAAAAGCTTCGCTTGGTTGTTTCGTTGAGGCCATCAACGAAGTTTCTTGTTTGTCGATGAGAATGTCCCTTGTCGTCTCCGAGGTAACAGGAGAAATGAAGTTTGGTTTCAGGGTTAAATCATTTTTTATTTGCGATCCCCCATGGTTGTCATTGTTGTTTTGTTCGTGGATCTTTCCATTTTCTTTCAGTTGTTCGCCCCTTCTTTCCTTTTCATTTCGTTCGTTTTCCAGCTGCTCGACCTTTCCTTCCCTCTCTTTCCGTTCCTTCTCCTTTCTATCCATTTCTTTCTGCATATTTGCAATTGCTATCCTCTCATTCAGGTTTTTCATTTTCGTTTCCATTCTTTCCTTCTCCTCCTTTTCCCTTTTTTCCCTTTCTTTCAGTTCCTTCTCCTTTCTTTCTTTTTCCTTCTGCATCTTTGCAAGTTCCATCCTCTCGTGCAATTCTTTCATTTTCTTTTCCATTTTTTCCTTCTCCTCCTTTTTTCTTTTTTCCCTTTCTTCCCGTTCCTTCTCCTTTCTTTCTTTTTCTTTCTGCATCTTAGCAAGTTCCACCCTCTCATGCAATTCTTTCGTTTTCTTTTCCATTCTTTCCTTCTCCTCCTTTTCTCTTTTTTCCCTTTCTTTCCGTTCCTTCTTCTTTCTTTCTTTTTCTTTCTGCATCTTTGCAAGTTCCATCCTCTCATGCAATTCTTTCGTTTTCTTTTCCATTCTTTCCTTCTCCTCCTTTTCTCTTTTTTCCCTTTCTTTCCGTTCCTTCTCCTTTCTTTCTTTTTCTTTCTGCATCTTAGCAAGTTCCATCCTCTCATGCAATTCTTTCGTTTTCTTTTCCATTATTTTCTTCTCCTCCTTTTCTCTCTTTTCCCTTTCTTTCCGTTCCTTCTCCTTTCTTTCTTTTTCTTTCTGCATCTTTGCAAGTTCCATCCTCTCATGCAATTCTTTATTTTTCTTTTCAATTCTTTCCTTCTCCTCATTTTCCCTTTTTTCCCTTTCTTTCCGTTCCTTCTCCTTTCTTTCTTTTTCTTTCTGCATCTTTGCAAGTTCCACCCTCTCATGCAATTCTTTCGTTTTCTTTTCCATTCTTTCCTTCTCCTCCTTTTCTCTCTTTTCCCTTTCTTTCTCCTTTCTTTCCTTTTCCGTCACGTTTGTCTTCGTATTCTGATCATTGCGGTCCGCAAAGTTCCCCGAGGTGCCTCCTTTTCCACTCATGTTACATTTGTCTTTGTTATCTGTCAATAAAAAATACAAATCCTCTGGCTTTAGCTTGAGTGATCAATGTAGAACTACAGGAAAGATGTTCGTGAACTGGCCAAACATATCAATTGGTCAACCATCCCCACCCTATACCACACAGACCACACCCTTCACCACACCAACCACTCTCTTCACCACACCCATCGCTCCCTTCACCACACCCCCGACTCCCTTCACCACACTCTACCGCTCTCTTCACCACTCCCTTCACCATACTCCACCGCTCTCTTCACCACACTCCACCGCTCCCTTCACCACACCAACTACTTCCTTCACCACACAATCAACTCTCTTCACCACACCTTCCACTCTCTTCATCACACCCACCACTCTCTTCATCACACCCACCACTCTCTTCATCACACCCACCACTCTCTTCACCACACCCCCCACTCCCTTCACCATACCCACCACTCTCTTCACCACACCCACCACTCCCTTCACCACACCCACTTCTCTCTTCACCACACCAATCGCTCCCTTCACCACACCCCCGACTCCCTTCACCACACCCACTACACCCTTCACCACACCCCCACTCCCTTCACCATCCCCCCACTCCCTTCACCCCACACCCCACTCCCTTCACCACACCCACCACTCCCTTCAGCACCCCCCACTTCCTTCACCATACCCACTACACCCTTCACCACCCCCCCACTCCCTTCACCACCCCCCCACTCCCTTCACGACACACCCCACTCCCTTCACCACACCCATCGCTCCCTTCACCACACCCCCCACTCCCTTCACCACACCAACAACACCCTTCACCACACCTACCACTCCCATCACCACACCTACCACTCACTTCACCACACCCACCACTCCCTTCACAACACCTACTGGTCCCTTCACCACACCCACCACTCCCTTCGCCACACCCACCACTCCCTTCACCACACCCACCGCTCCCTTCACCACACCCACCACTCCCTTCACCACACCCACCACTCCCTTCACCATACCCACCACTCTCTTCACCACACCTACTGCTCCCTTCACCACACCCATTTCTCTCTTCACCACACCCAGTTCTCCCTTCACCACACCCACCACTCTCTTCACCACACCCACCACTCCCTTCACCATACCCACCACTCTCTTCACCACACTCTACCGCTCTCTTCACCACACCCACCACTCTCTTCACCACACCCCCCACTCCCTTCACCATACCCACCACTCTCTTCACCACACCCACCACTCCCTTCACCACACCCACTTCTCTCTTCACCACACCAATCGCTCCCTTCACCACACCCCCGACTCCCTTCACCACACCCACTACACCCTTCACCACACCCCCACTCCCTTCACCATCCCCCCACTCCCTTCACCCCACACCCCACTCCCTTCACCACACCCACCACTCCCTTCAGCACCCCCCACTTCCTTCACCATACCCACTACACCCTTCACCACCCCCCCACTCCCTTCACCACCCCCCCACTCCCTTCACGACACACCCCACTCCCTTCACCACACCCATCGCTCCCTTCACCACACCCCCCACTCCCTTCACCACACCAACAACACCCTTCACCACACCTACCACTCCCATCACCACACCTACCACTCACTTCACCACACCCACCACTCCCTTCACAACACCTACTGGTCCCTTCACCACACCCACCACTCCCTTCGCCACACCCACCACTCCCTTCACCACACCCACCGCTCCCTTCACCACACCCACCACTCCCTTCACCACACCCACCACTCCCTTCACCACACCTACTGCTCCCTTCACCACACCCACCACTCCCTTCACCACACTCACCACTCCCTTCACCACACCTACTGCTCCCTTCACCACACCCACCACTCCCTTCACCACACCTACTGCTCCCTTCACCACACCCACCACTCCCTTCACCATACCCACTACACCCTCCACCACACCTACCACTCCCTTCACCATACCCACCACTCTCTTCACCACACCTACTGCTCCCTTCACCACACCCATTTCTCTCTTCATCACACCCAGTTCTCCCTTCACCACACCCATCGCTCCCTTCACCACACCCCCGACTCCCTTCACCACGCTCTATCGCTCTCTTCACCACACCCACCACTCTCTTCACCACACCTACTGCTCCCTTCACCACACCCATTTCTCTCTTCACCACACCCATCGCTCCCTTCACCACACCCCCGACTCCCTTCACCACACCCCCGACTCCCTTCACCACACTCTACCGCTCTCTTCACCACTCCCTTCACTATACTCCACCGCTCTCATCACCACACTCCACCGCTCCCTTCACCACACCAACTACTTCCTTCACCACACAATCAACTCTCTTAACCACACCTACCACTCTCTTCACCACACCCACCACTCTCTTCACCACACCCACCACTCCCTTCACCATACCCACCACTCTCTTCACCACACCTACTGCTCCCTTCACCACACCCATTTCTCTCTTCACCACACCCAGTTCTCCCTTCACCACACCCACCACTCTCTTCACCACACCCACCACTCCCTTCACCATACCCACCACTCTCTTCACCACACTCTACCGCTCTCTTCACCACACCCACCACTCTCTTCACCACACCCCCCACTCCCTTCACCATACCCACCACTCTCTTCACCACACCCACCACTCCCTTCACCACACCCACTTCTCTCTTCACCACACCAATCGCTCCCTTCACCACACCCCCGACTCCCTTCACCACACCCACTACACCCTTCACCACACCCCCACTCCCTTCACCATCCCCCCACTCCCTTCACCCCACACCCCACTCCCTTCACCACACCCACCACTCCCTTCAGCACCCCCCACTTCCTTCACCATACCCACTACACCCTTCACCACCCCCCCACTCCCTTCACCACCCCCCCACTCCCTTCACGACACACCCCACTCCCTTCACCACACCCATCGCTCCCTTCACCACACCCCCCACTCCCTTCACCACACCAACAACACCCTTCACCACACCTACCACTCCCATCACCACACCTACCACTCACTTCACCACACCCACCACTCCCTTCACAACACCTACTGGTCCCTTCACCACACCCACCACTCCCTTCGCCACACCCACCACTCCCTTCACCACACCCACCGCTCCCTTCACCACACCCACCACTCCCTTCACCACACCCACCACTCCCTTCACCACACCTACTGCTCCCTTCACCACACCCACCACTCCCTTCACCACACTCACCACTCCCTTCACCACACCTACTGCTCCCTTCACCACACCCACCACTCCCTTCACCACACCTACTGCTCCCTTCACCACACCCACCACTCCCTTCACCATACCCACTACACCCTCCACCACACCTACCACTCCCTTCACCATACCCACCACTCTCTTCACCACACCTACTGCTCCCTTCACCACACCCATTTCTCTCTTCATCACACCCAGTTCTCCCTTCACCACACCCATCGCTCCCTTCACCACACCCCCGACTCCCTTCACCACGCTCTATCGCTCTCTTCACCACACCCACCACTCTCTTCACCACACCTACTGCTCCCTTCACCACACCCATTTCTCTCTTCACCACACCCATCGCTCCCTTCACCACACCCCCGACTCCCTTCACCACACCCCCGACTCCCTTCACCACACTCTACCGCTCTCTTCACCACTCCCTTCACTATACTCCACCGCTCTCATCACCACACTCCACCGCTCCCTTCACCACACCAACTACTTCCTTCACCACACAATCAACTCTCTTAACCACACCTACCACTCTCTTCACCACACCCACCACTCTCTTCACCAGACCCACCACTCCCTTCACCATACCCACCACTCTCTTCACCACACTCTACCGCTCTCTTCACCACACCCACCACTCTCTTCACCACACCCACCACTCCCTTCACCATACCCACCACTCTCTTCACCACGCCTACTGCTCCCTTCACCACACCCATTTCTCTCTTCACCACACCCAGTTCTCCCTTCACCACACCCACCACTCCCTTCACCACACCCCCGACTCCCTTCACCACACCCATTTCTCTCTTCACCACACCCAGTTCTCCCTTCACCATACCCACCACTCTCTTCACCACACCTACTGCTCCCTTCACCACACCCATTTCTCTCTTCACCACACCCAGTTCTCCCTTCACCACACCCATCGCTCCCTTCACCACACCCCCGACTCCCTTCACCACACTCTACCGCTCTCTTCACCACACCCACCGCTCTCTTCACCACACCCACCACTCCCTTCACCATACCCACCACTCTCTTCACCATACCCACCACTCTCTTCACCACACCTACTGCTCCCTTCACCACACCCATTTCTCTCTTCACCACACCCACCACTCCCTTCACCATACCCACCACTCTCTTCACCATACCCACCACTCTCTTCACCACACCCAGTTCTCCCTTCACCACACCCATCGCTCCCTTCACCACAACCCCGACTCCCTTCACCACCCCCCCGACTCCCTTCACCACACTCTACCGCTCTCTTCACCACACCCACCACTCCCTTCACCACACCAACCACTCTCTTCACCACACCTACTGCTCCCTTCACTACACCCATTTCTCTCTTCACCACACCCAGTTCTCCCTTCACCACACCCCCGACTCCCTTCACCACACCCCCGACTCCCTTCACCACACTCTACCGCTCTCTTCACCACTCCCTTCACTATACTCCACCGCTCTCATCACCACACTCCACCGCTCCCTTCACCACACCCATCGCTCCCTTCACCACAACCCCGACTCCCTTCACCACCCCCCCGACTCCCTTCACCACACTCTACCGCTCTCTTCACCACACCCACCACTCCCTTCACCACACCAACCACTCTCTTCACCACACCTACTGCTCCCTTCACTACACCCATTTCTCTCTTCACCACACCCAGTTCTCCCTTCACCACACCCCCGACTCCCTTCACCACACCCCCGACTCCCTTCACCACACTCTACCGCTCTCTTCACCACTCCCTTCACTATACCCACCACTCTCTTCACCACACCCAGTTCTCCCTTCACCACACCCATCGCTCCCTTCACCACAACCCCGACTCCCTTCACCACCCCCCCGACTCCCTTCACCACACTCTACCGCTCTCTTCACCACACCCACCACTCCCTTCACCACACCAACCACTCTCTTCACCACACCTACTGCTCCCTTCACTACACCCATTTCTCTCTTCACCACACCCAGTTCTCCCTTCACCACACCCCCGACTCCCTTCACCACACCCCCGACTCCCTTCACCACACTCTACCGCTCTCTTCACCACTCCCTTCACTATACTCCACCGCTCTCATCACCACACTCCACCGCTCCCTTCACCACACCAACTACTTCCTTCATCACACAATCAACTCTCTTCAGAACATCGACCAGGCCCTTGATCACACTCACCGCGACCTTCACCACTCCCATCGCTCCCTTTACCACACAATCAACTCCCTTCTTCACATCCACCAGTCCCTTCACCACACCGACCATTCCCTACCCAGTCCAGCATTTCACATATTTGATTCTCAGTAAACTTCAGATGACATTTTCATTTTTTTGACAAATAGTCCTGAACTTCTAAAGATAGTGAGGAAACTATATCTATGGTCACCACGTTTGATTATGAATGTCTCATGGATCAGAGAACGAAGGTGGGATAGTGGTGGAAAAAGTGATGAAAAATCAACTTTGAAAAAACAATTGTGGATTCTCAAAAACTCAAAGGAATTGCTTTAATATTTGCACTCTCACAAAGGGACCAAGTTTAATTGTGTCAAAGAATTTTATTTTCTACATTGTACACCACTCTCCCACACAACAAAGTTAAGGAAAACTTCATCCATTGATCCAATGGGCATTTGTTGATAAATGCGGTGAACATGAATATAGTTACACCTCTATCCTTAACGGCTCAGGACAATTTGACAAAAATGAAAGCAAATGCCATCTGAAGGTTACATTTTTTACGGTGATGGACATGTTTGTCGCTTTTATTGAAATAATTGATCTTAGTTCTTTTTTGAGACGGCAAAAACATCAAGCAAATGTCTTGAGTTGTTGAGAATCCACATGGTAAGAATAGGATAATGTGCATCGGTGCACCTTTAAATTTACACCGCCTTTAATAAGCGTCCAATAAGATGTGTTCACACCTTCAATCTGGATCCTATATTTAACGCTGTATGCGACTATTATTCATGTCAAGCCATTGTGTCATAGGCTAGTTATTTGTGTCGTTTACGGTGTTTTGATACGAAGGGGTTGAAAGAGCTTTACTCGTATAAATTTAAGTGTAAGATCCAAATATAAAAAGATACGAAACTGTGCGTGCGTGCGTGTATGTGTGTAGCTACTTGTACAAGTCCGGACTGAAGCCGATTTATAGTGCTAGCTCACTGAGATACCATGCCGCAGTTTAACATGAATACCCCACTCAGACACAGTATACTGACTCCGAGCCGACCAGACAGGGTAACAACAAGTACCATAATTTGAGATCGCGAGAACCACGGGAATGGATGCAGGGGTTAGTGTCGGTTAGTGTCTAGCCCTGGGGAAAAAGAGGATGCAAGCACCATTGTCGAGGGTTAACAGAGAAAACAGTAACCCGGGCTTTTTTAATTAATTCTTACCTTGGCAATGGCTTCTGCAAGTACTCTGCAAATAATTATAAATCATGTCCATCTTTCGGGGAAGCATAGTTGCATCACATTTCAACCTGGCTTGGGTGAGACATTGCAGGTAGGCACTTGAGGAACTGCAACATGACATGTGACTTTGCACTGATATAGCTGACGCAACGGTCTTGAGGACGTTCATGACATAAGCGTTGTAGGATGTGCTGGACAGAATAAATACCGACTTTGGCTACTAAACATGCCGGCTGTAAAATGTTGTAGGCCCATCTGAATACTGACTTGGAATACCAAACATGCCGGCTGTGGAATGTTGTAGAGCCATTTGAATACAGACTTGGACTACCATACATGCCGGCTGTGGAATGTTGTAGGCCAATCTGAATACTGACTTGGACTACCATACATGCAGGCTGTGGAATGTTGTAGGCCAATCTGAATACTGACTTGGACTACCATACATGCCGGCTGTGGAATGTTGTAGAGCTACTACGTGAATACTGACTTGGACTACCATACATGACTGCTGTGGAATGTTGTAGGCCCATCTGATTACTGACTTGGACTACCATACATGCAGGCTGTGGAATGTTGTAGAGCCACCTGAATACTGACTTGGACTACCATACATGCCGGCTGTGGAATGATGTAGGCCCATCTGAATACTGACTTGGACTACCATACATGCCGGCTGTGGAATGTTGTAGAGCCATCTGAATACTGACTTGGACTACCATACATGACTGCTGTGGAATGTTGTAGAGCCACCTGAATACTGACTTGGACTACCATACATGACTGCTGTGGAATGTTGTAGAGCCACCTGAATACTGACTTGGACTACCATACATGACTGCTGTGGAATGTTGTAGAGCCATCTGAATACTGACTTGGACTACCATACATGCCGGCTGTGGAATGTTGTAGAGCTACTACGTGAATACTGACTTGGACTACCATACATGACTGCTGTGGAATGTTGTAGGCCCATCTGAATACTGACTTGGGCTACCATACATGACGGCTGTGGAATGTTGTAGAGCCACCTGAATACTGACTTGGACTACCATACATGACTGCTGTGGAATGTTGTAGAGCCATCTGAATACTGACTTGGACTACCATACATGCCGGCTGTGGAATGATGTAGAGCCACCTGAATACTGACTTTGACTACCATACATGCCGGCTGTGGAATGTTGTAGGCCCATCTGAATACTGACTTGGACTACCATACATGCCGGCTGTGGAATGATGTAGAGCCACCTGAATACTGACTTGGACTACCATACATGACTGCTGTGGAATGTTGTAGGCCCATCTGAATACTGACTTGGACTACCATACATGACTGCTGTGGAATGTTGTAGAGCCACCTGAATACTGACTTTGACTACCATACATGCCGGCTGTGGAATGATGTAGAGCCACCTGAATACTGACTTTGACTACCATACATGACGGCTGTGGAATGTTGTAGAGCCACCTGAATACTGACTTTGACTACCATACATGCCGGCTGTGGAATGATGTAGAGCCACCTGAATACTGACTTTGACTACCATACATGCCGGCTGTGGAATGATGTAGAGCCACCTGAATACTGACTTGGACTACCATACATGCCGGCTGTGGAATGTTGTAGAGCCACCTGAATACTGACTTGGACTACCATACATGACTGCTGTGGAATGTTGTAGGCCCATCTGAATACTGACTTGGACTACCATACATGCCGGCTGTGGAATGATGTAGAGCCACCTGAATACTGACTTGGACTACCATACATGCCGGGTGTGGAATGTTGTAGGCCCACCTGAATACTGACTTTGACTACCATACATGACTGCTGTGGAATGTTGTAGAGCCATCTGAATACTGACTTGGACTACCATACATGCCGGCTGTGGAATGTTGTAGGCCTATCTGAATACTGACTTTGACTACCATACATGCCGGCTGTGGAATGATGTAGAGCCACCTGAATACTGACTTGGACTACCATACATGCCGGCTGTGGAATGTTGTAGGCCCATCTGAATACTGACTTTGACTACCATAAATGCCGACTGAGGAATGTTGTAGAGCCACCTGAATACTGACTTGGACGACCATACATGACTGCTGTGGAATGATGTAGAGCCACCTGAATACTGACTTGGACTACCATACATGCCGGCTGTGGAATGTTGTAGGCCCATCTGAATACTGACTTTGACTACCATAAATGCCGACTGAGGAATGTTGTAGAGCCACCTGAATACTGACTTTGACTACCATACATGACTGCTGTGGAATGTTGTAGGCCCATCTGAATACTGACTTGGACTACCATACATGACTGCTGTGAAATGTTGAAGCGCCACCTGAATACTGACTTGGACTACCATACATGACTGCTGTGAAATGTTGAAGCGCCACCTGAATACTGACTTGGACTACCATACATGCCGGCTGTGGAATGTTGTAGAGCCACCTGAATACTGACTTGGACTACCATACATGCCGGCTGCGGAATGATGTAGAGCCACCTGAATACTGACTTTGACTACCATACATGCCGGCTGTGGAATGATGTAGAGCCACCTGAATACTGACTTTGACTACCATACATGCCGGCTGTGGAATGTTGTAGGCCCATCTGAATACTGACTTGGACTACCATAAATGCCGACTGAGGAATGTTGTAGAGCCACCTGAATACTGACTTGGACTACCATACATGACTGCTGTGGAATGTTGTAGGCCCATCTGAATACTGACTTGGACTACCATACATGCCGGCTGTGGAATGATGTAGAGCCACCTGAATACTGACTTTGACTACCATACATGCCGGCTGTGGAATGATGTAGAGCCACCTGAATACTGACTTTGACTACCATACATGCCGGCTGTGGAATGTTGTAGGCCCATCTGAATACTGACTTTGACTACCATAAATGCCGACTGAGGAATGTTGTAGAGCCACCTGAATACTGACTTTGACTACCATACATGCCGGCTGTGGAATGTTGTAGGCCCATCTGAATACTGACTTGGACTACCATACATGCCGGCTGTGGAATGATGTAGAGCCACCTGAATACTGACTTTGACTACCATACATGCCGGCTGTGGAATGTTGTAGGCCCATCTGAATACTGACTTGGGCTACCATACATGCCGGCTGTGGAATGTTGTAGAGCCACCTGAATACTGACTTGGACTACCATACATGACTGCTGTGGAATATTGTAGGCCCACCTGAATACTGACTTGGACTACCATACATGCCGGCTGTGGAATCGTGTAGAGCCACCTGAAAACTGACTTGGACTACCATACATGCCGGCTGTGGAATGTTGTAGGCCCATCTGAATACTGACTTGGACTACCATACATGCCGGCTGTGGAATCGTGTAGAGCCACCTGAAAACTGACTTGGACTACCATACATGCCGGCTGTGGAATGTTGTAGGCCCATCTGAATACTGACTTGGACTACCATACATGCCGGCTGTGGAATGTTGTAGAGCCACCTGAATACTGACTTTGACTACCATAAATGCCGACTGAGGAATGTTGTAGAGCCACCTGAATACTGTCTTGGACTACCATACATGCCGGCTGTGGAATGTTGTAGAGCCACCTGAATACTGACTTTGACTACCATAAATGCCGACTGAGGAATGTTGTAGAGCCACCTGAATACTGACTTGGACTACCATAAATGCCGGCTGTGGAATGTTGTAGGCCCATCTGAATACTGCCTTGGACTACCATACATGACTGCTGTGGAATGTTTTAGGCCCATCTGAATACTGACTTGGACTACCATACATGCCGGCTGTGGAATGTTGTAGGCCCATCTGAATACTGACTTTGACTACCATACATGCCGGCTGTGGAATGTTGTAGAGCCACCTGAATACTGACTTGGACTACCATACATGCCGGCTGTGGAATGTTGTAGGCCCATCTGAATACTGACTTGGACTACCATACATGCCGGCTGTGGAATGTTGTAGAGCCATCTGAATACTGACTTGGACTACCATACATGCCGGCTGTGGAATGTTGTAGAGCCACCTGAATACTGACTTGGACTACCATACATGCCGGCTGCGGAATGATGTAGAGCCACCTGAATACTGACTTTGACTACCATACATGCCGGCTGTGGAATGATGTAGAGCCACCTGAATACTGACTTTGACTACCATACATGCCGGCTGTGGAATGTTGTAGGCCCATCTGAATACTGACTTGGACTACCATAAATGCCGACTGAGGAATGTTGTAGAGCCACCTGAATACTGACTTGGACTACCATACATGACTGCTGTGGAATGTTGTAGGCCCATCTGAATACTGACTTGGACTACCATACATGCCGGCTGTGGAATGATGTAGAGCCACCTGAATACTGACTTTGACTACCATACATGCCGGCTGTGGAATGATGTAGAGCCACCTGAATACTGACTTTGACTACCATACATGCCGGCTGTGGAATGTTGTAGGCCCATCTGAATACTGACTTTGACTACCATAAATGCCGACTGAGGAATGTTGTAGAGCCACCTGAATACTGACTTTGACTACCATACATGCCGGCTGTGGAATGTTGTAGGCCCATCTGAATACTGACTTGGACTACCATACATGCCGGCTGTGGAATGATGTAGAGCCACCTGAATACTGACTTTGACTACCATACATGCCGGCTGTGGAATGTTGTAGGCCCATCTGAATACTGACTTGGGCTACCATACATGCCGGCTGTGGAATGTTGTAGAGCCACCTGAATACTGACTTGGACTACCATACATGCCGGCTGTGGAATATTGTAGGCCCACCTGAATACTGACTTGGACTACCATACATGCCGGCTGTGGAATCGTGTAGAGCCACCTGAAAACTGACTTGGACTACCATACATGCCGGCTGTGGAATGTTGTAGGCCCATCTGAATACTGACTTGGACTACCATACATGCCGGCTGTGGAATCGTGTAGAGCCACCTGAAAACTGACTTGGACTACCATACATGCCGGCTGTGGAATGTTGTAGGCCCATCTGAATACTGACTTGGACTACCATACATGCCGGCTGTGGAATGTTGTAGAGCCACCTGAATACTGACTTTGACTACCATAAATGCCGACTGAGGAATGTTGTAGAGCCACCTGAATACTGTCTTGGACTACCATACATGCCGGCTGTGGAATGTTGTAGAGCCATCTGAATACTGACTTTGACTACCATAAATGCCGACTGAGGAATGTTGTAGAGCCACCTGAATACTGACTTGGACTACCATAAATGCCGGCTGTGGAATGTTGTAGGCCCATCTGAATACTGACTTGGACTACCATACATGACTGCTGTGGAATGTTGTAGGCCCATCTGAATACTGACTTGGACTACCATACATGCCGGCTGTGGAATGTTGTAGGCCCATCTGAATACTGACTTTGACTACCATACATGCCGGCTGTGGAATGTTGTAGAGCCACCTGAATACTGACTTGGACTACCATACATGCCGGCTGTGGAATGTTGTAGGCCCATCTGAATACTGACTTGGACTACCATACATGCCGGCTGTGGAATGTTGTAGAGCCATCTGAATACTGACTTGGACTACCATACATGCCGGCTGTGGAATGTTGTAGAGCCATCTGAATACTGACTTGGACTACCATACATGCCGGCTGTGGAATGTTGTAGAGCCACCTGAATACTGACTTGGACTACCATACATGCCGGCTGTGGAATGATGTAGGCCAATCTGAATACTGACTTGGACTACCATACATGCCGGCTGTGGAATGTTGTAGAGCCATCTGAATACTGACTTGGACTACCATACATGCCGGCTGTGGAATGTTGTAGAGCCACCTGAATACTGACTTGGACTACCATACATGCCGGCTGTGGAATGATGTAGGCCAATCTGAATACTGACTTGGACTACCATACATGACTGCTGTGGAATGATGTAGGCCAATCTGAATACTGACTTGGACTACCATATATGCCGGCTGTGGAATGTTGTAGAGCCACCTGAATACTGACTTGGACTACCATACATGCCGGCTGTGGAATGTTGTAGGCCCATCTGAATACTGACTTGGACTACCATACATGCCGGCTGTGGAATGTTGTAGAGCCACCTGAATACTGACTTGGACTACCATACATGCCGGCTGTGGAATGTTGTAGGCCCATCTGAATACTGACTTGGACTACCATACATGCCGGCTGTGGAATGTTGTAGAGCCACCTGAATACTGACTTGGACTACCATACATGCCGGCTGTGGAATGTTGTAGAGCCACCTGAATACTGACTTGGACTACCATACATGCCGGCTGTGGAATGTTGTAGAGCCTTATGGAACTGCATAAATATATGCCGTGATTAGATGGATTATTTTTCCTGCAACCAACACATGAGAAAATGGAGCTATACCTGCACCGTTGACCCGTCCTTCTGTGGGTGGTGTGAGTCGTCAGACAGTTCTGGTAATGATCACAATAAGGGCTGGGTGGTTGGCTGAATGTTTTAGTTTGGCGAACACCCACAGTCCCCCATCGTGATGCCGCTGTTGGTTTAGACCTCCAGGAACCACGATGTTGCCCACGACACGGCAGTACTAGCACTGAAACATAGATACTGGTTACACCACAGGCAGACTTTGAAATATTGTCAGTAAGGCACTGAACTTATGATATTCTTGGTGGTTGATGGAGAGGTTGAGACTAAATATTTAATCAGCTATAGCTGCAAGATAAGACTATGAGCCTAATTATTTCTGAACCCCTGCGCCACACACGCCGCCGCCCCCCCCCCCCCCCCCCCCCATGAGGAGAGTAAATTGTTCTTTTTAACTGCCATCAAACAATTATTCCTAAAAACATAACTAAACACGTTATGGGAATCGTTTTATTTTTGTATATATTTCTACCATTGACCCAATAAACCAAGTGATTTGAAAGGTCATATAATGGCATCCGCTCAGGGACACCATAAATTCTTCAAAAAGATCTGGACATCTTTTGACAAATTTGTTTTGCACTGACTGACTTTATCATGGCCCGTGGTCCTGTATACCGCGCCCATTGTACAAGTTACGGTTGCGGAGAGTGGGTGGGTGGCACTGTGTTCGGCAGCTTGCATCGCGAGAGTTCTTACGTCTTCAGAAAACACAGGTTAAATTTCCTAATTGTTTTTCTTTACTTGTAAGCATCAGAATATCTGAACTTATACGCAGTAGACGTTACAAAAAATTACCAGATCGTTTTAGCTACAACAAAATCTGTAAACATGCTATCGGATAACTGGATTGGCTGGTCCATCCATGGATTGTCTGGTCAAAAGTCGATCGTTCTACAGGCCGCCATCGTATGGCAGGAGTACTTCTGTGCGAGGTTAGGTAACAAATGTAAACGCTTACATTTATATGCAAATTGTGAGTGGCGGGTTCTTCCGGTAGAGCAGGCATGCTTCCTTTTTCGCAAACAATGTCATGACAGATTTTCAATGATACTTTCATATAACTTTTACGACTATTTTGCCCTTTACGCCCAATGGAATCTGTCTCGGCAGATATATACAGAAATATATTGACAATGGAAAAGAAATACAAATGCATGACAACATACCATTTTGGTAGACCCATATTCTTCTCTAACCTTTACTTTTTGCTTTTTTGTCACTGACCACATGGGTCCTCATTCTCTCCTTCGAGAAACTAAAAAGCATACATGGCATGCAGCCTAAACAGGCTAAACTCCTGAAGCATGCATACAATAATAATCTTCTACATGCTAAATTTTGAATGAAAATTTAAGAAAAATTTAAACTTTAATAATTTGGAAAAATAAATAGGAATTATTTTAGAGAGGTTATTTTGACCGTAACAGTTGAGACTGATTATTCTCTGGCGTTGACGGTTTATATTTCAGTGTATGGCAGGTTATTCTGACATGGTTATTAATTGCATTACTCACCTATTCCGATCCAAAATAAGCAAAGGGAATGAAGATACTGCGAGGTAGTCATATCGCTGGAACCATCACATGTGAACTAGCAAACCGCTTCTGGAATCTTATAGGTGATCCTGAACAGCGTGATGGAAAACATTAATGCTGAACCCAGTAATTCCCACGTTACTATTCCTGCTTATATTTTGTGTCATGAAACCAACTTCTATTCAAAAATAAAAGTCATTTGCAACATGAACAAAACATTCTGGTGCGTGTTGTTGTTTGTTAGTACAGAGAATGTTTCAAAATTGAACAAAAACCTGTTAATGTTGAATTTATAAGGTCAACGCCCGAGAATATCAACGATCTGTCGAAACAAATTCCATTGGGCGTAAAAAGCCAAATAGTGGTGACAATTTTGTGAAGGGGTCACTGTGAAGTAACGGTCGTTTTTTCTAAGCATATTTTCCGACCGTGATTTAATGTAAATGTAAATGAAATATCAGGTTCCATTAAAAACCAATTTCTAACGTAAGCGTATTTTGCAAATTCAGGGATCTTGATAAACAACAATGAAGAATATAGACTCCAAAACAGGTTTTCAAGAACAACCAAGAAACCTAATGGTAGGACAAATTTATGTGACGTGTAGCGTGTATAACATGTGTGACATGCTTTTGTCATTGGTTTGACATGTGTATGACATGTGTATGACGTGTATGGCATGTTTTTAAATAGTGTTTGCCATGTGCGATATATACTGAACAACAAAAGTACCTGTGACATTGAATAAGATTTAATGCAAAGTTATCTTTTTTACCAAATCGGAAACAATTTCGGTTTGCATCAGATAAAAGACCCCTGTAAGTGTTTAACTGGTCTAATTTGCCATAATGACTTCAGAAAATGCGTGATTTCATAAAATAAAACAAACCATGAACATGCCAAAATGTCATTTTACAAATCAATAGCGTGTGTCCACCTATGGTTGCGATGCAAGCAACACATCTTCGTCTCATGGAATGGACCAGGCGTCGCACAATGTCCTGTGGGATATCTGTCCATATCTGCTGGAGCATGTTTCGAAGTTCCTGGAGTGTCTGTGGAATACGTAGTTGACGTCGAAGGCGCCGATGCTTCTCACCCCACATGTGCTCGATTGGTGAGAGATCAGGGGAGCGGGCCGGCCAGGGGATGACATTCTCGTTGTTTTGTTGAAGAGAATCCTGAACAAGTCGAGCAATATGAGGCCGGGCGTTGTCATGTTGAAAGGTAATGCCTGGGCCATGACGACGCAAAAACGGTAGAACAACAGGGCCGATGATCTCGTCGCAGTAACACTGTCCATTGAGATTTCCCTCTACCACTACCAAACGGGTCCTCTGTATTGCTGTAATCCCACCCCATACCATAACGCTGCCGCCCCCGAACCGATCTTCACATAACGGCGGTCTGTAAATAATCGCATCTGGACTAGACAATCCAGTGACTGACATCATGAGCATCGCTTTGCGCAATTGGAATACGATGACTTGCATCAACCAAGTCTGCGAGCCTGACCATCTGATCCCATTAGTCGCCAATTACGTCAAGCATGGGTTGCTGAAGACCAGACCGCCTCCGTGGCCTAGTGGTAGAGCGTCCGCCCGGAGAGCAGAAGGTCCGGGGCTCGATTCCCGGCCGCGACATACCAAAAGACGTTAAAAGATGGTCCTTGTTGTTACCCTGTCTGGCGCTCGGCATTAAGGGGCTAAAACAAAGACTGGTCGGCTCGGAGTCAGTATACTGCGTCTGAGAGGGGTATTCATGTTAAACTGAGGCATGGTATCTCAGTGGGCTAGCACTATAAATCGGCATCAGCCCGGACTAGTACAAGCAGCCACACAAACACACACACGTGCATGCACGTCGCTATATAAGTGCAATAACCTTGGACGCGACGTTAAACCCCATTTCACCTCACCTCACCTGAAGACCAATTCTAACCCGGAATCTTCGCGGGACACCCTTACTTACAAACTATGTAACAGATACTGACGACAGAAACTAAGGACACTCTTGTCTCCCGAGTGATCATATCTGGGTCAGTATTGATCACGTTTTTTAACAACAAAATGTCTTTCACAAAACAATGAGGTCAATACTTCTTATTTTACACGGTTAGGTACTCACAGGCAACGACTTTCAAAAGGACAAACTTTCATCTGTTAAACATAACCCACCGGATAACGTGCTACTGGTACAAGTCATCAAACTATCAAGACCATTTCAAGTAACAAATATTGCTTTTCCTTCAAATGCATCTTTAGGACACTCCTACATGTAGTACTTTAGGACTACATCGTACTATCTGTATACTGCGATACGATTTTAAATAGGTATTGCAATATATTCTCTGTGTTCTGGTATATTGGATAAAACAAATAAAACAAGTTTCACTATCACTTGTATGGTTTAACCTAACATATTTAAATTCACAAATGATGTTTTTCCTTCGAAATTTATTGACAAAACTGCGGAAATGAATTTTCTCTCACATTGTTATCTCCCCTGGTTCCATGACTACAAAATGGCGGCGACTGATAATGCAGTGTAGTATTTACTTTAGTATGTTGAAATTGGATCTGCATGTACATTCAGGTTCAATCACTGTCAGACATTTTAACTCCCAATCTACCACAATACGTATCGCATACAGATACATGCATCGCAATACATTGGAATACAAATGTTTTGCTAAAGGTAATAGAAGTGACAAAAACATTTCCATTATCATAAGAAATCACTGAAAGCAGATTCCGATTATATCATAAGCTTGTGTTTATGAATCACTATTAAATAGTAATGATCCCAGGGGTATACAAAACACCTGATATACTATACTATACTATACTATACTATACTATACTATACTATACTATACTATACTAAACTATACTTAGGTAACTACTCCATGGATTATTAACATATTTGTTTCGCATTGTGACGTAATAGCACATACAGTTATCCTTGTTACAAAACACTATATATCTAGACGGGATATAGTATATCCTCTTCCCCTTAAATACAACAAGAACAGGAAACCGGTGAGGTTAAAGTTGATCGTCCATCTTTTATTTTTTTTAACACCGCACTCAGCAATATTCCAAATATTTGAGGGCGGTCTGTAAATAAGCGAGTATGCAGAAGATAATCCAGAGATTGATATAATGAACAACGTCCCACGCCGTCGGTATAGTGAGTGAGTGAGTGAGTGAGTGAGTGAGTGAGTATGGTTTTACGCCGCTGTTAGCAATATTCCACCAATATCACGGCGGGGGACACCAGAAATGGGCTTCACACATTGTACCCATGTCGGGAATCGAACCCGGGTCTTCGGCGTGACGAGCGAACGCTTCAACAACCACCACGACAACAACCACCACCACAACAACCACCACTACTACAACTACAACCACTAGGGTCCCATGTCTAGGGAACGTGCTGGTCACGGCAACATGTTGACGTTGTTGGCTGCAAGGAATTCCGGAACGATTCGTGCTGTATGGGGCCTGGCGTTGTCATGCTGATAAAGCAGTTGTTGCAGAAATGGTAGGAAATCGGACGAAGACTGTCATCCATGTAATTTCCGTTAACGATGACCTGTAGTGTTCTCTCCTGTCCAAAATTTTTTCCACACACCATAACACCCCCTCCATCATACGGCACGACCTCCGAACTCAACATACCACCGTTCGTTTTCCCCATCATCGGTAAATACGCTGCCTTCCATCAGCTCTGTACAGACAGAACCGGCTTTCAGCAGTGAAGACGACCCTCTCTCAGTGGTGCCGTTAGTCGCCTCTTACGACAAGCAGAGTCGCCAAGCATGGGTAGCTGAAGACTAAATGGATCGAGAGGTCAGGCTCGGTCACTTAATTTGTCGCCTCTTACGACAAGCATAGTCGCTTTGTACGACCAGCATGGGTTGCTGAAGACCTAGTGTTCTAACCCGGATCTTCATGGGCGTTGTCCGTAAAAGGCGACTAACGGGATCGGGTGGTCAGGCACGCTGACTTGGTAGATACATGTCATCGTATCCCGATTGCGTAGATCGATGCTCATGATGTCAATCACTGTAGTGTCAGATCAAGACTCGATTATTACCAGACCGGCGTCACACAGCTGGAATAGTGCTGAGTGCGGCGTTAAACAACAAACAAAGCAAAGCAATGGTTGTATTGATATCGATCGGTGTTTCATTATTATCTATACATTGATGGGTTTGTAAGAAGGGGAGGGGGTAACTACTCTGTAAGAGGGCGGTTTCGAATCTTGGTGTCTCAGCACCACACCGCTGAATTTAAACTGATATTAATCCTGGATTCATAACAAGGGTTACGGGTGGTCAAGTGGTGTAAGTTTTGCAGAGGTGTCATCCTTACGGCAGTGCGGCGTTAAACAATAAACAAACAAACAAACAAAACTAAATACGAAAATAATAACACAATCAAATAATGCAGTGCAGTGAGGGGACAGGCTTCCTTTGTTTATTTTCAATGTTTACAGATTCATTGTAATCATGCATTTAACTTAATGTGTTAATGATTGTATCACATACCCTCGGGTTAGTAATTTTATATGCTAGCAGTTTTCAGACGTGTAACCAACCCCATGCCCCAGTATGAGAGCTATCACTTCAATTATCGAACAGATGCTGGAAGACGAGTCTTAAACACTCATGGTGTTGAAACAGAGCAGAAACAGAGTGAGTGAGTGAGTATGGTTTTACGCCGCTTTTAGCAATATTCGAGCAATATCACGGCGGGGACACCAGAAATGAGCTTCACACATTGTACCCATGTTGGGAATCGAACCCGGGTTTTTGGCGTGACGAGAGAACGCTTTAACAACTAGGCTACCCCGTCACCCCAGTAGAAATAGACTGCTTCGTTATTATGTATCTGTATTGGTATGATTACGTCATAATAAAACATAAATTACACATTTCCATTGCTTGTAGGATAGTATCAGTACTTAAACGATGTCACCAGTACTCACATGATGTAATATGTGCTTACGTGATGTAATGTATGCTTACATGACACAATCAGTGCTTATGCCTTGTTTACATAATGGTTGGGACGAGATGTGAAACAAGAAGAAACATCGTGACTACCAGAGACGCCGCCATGCTGTCACTCCCGTTGTTGTCAAACAAATCCATTAGGTTGAAGCCCGAATCCCCATCCTCATCCTGACTGTTGTCCGACAAAGTAGAGTTGTCTCCCCTCAGCGCATCACCAGCTCCAGGCGACCCAGTGTTGTCTGGCTCCGTCTGAGTGATGCTGTCAGATCCACCCACGATGTCTCCAGTAGCTGTAGGGGTGGTGGTAGTGGTGGTAGTGGTGGTAGTGGTTATAGTGGTTGTAGTAGTGGTGGTAGTTGTGGTGGTGGTTGTTGTGGTAAGTTTCGGCTCCCTACCACATATCTCGGAATAACCTATAGTAAACCAATCAATGGCAGTTAAAGAAAATACCATAGACAATCATATCAAGCTATGATTTCACCACCAGTTTGTCTTTGGATTCTGTTTCCGCAGATAGTCGAGATTGTTCTCTGGCGTTGACGTCTTGAATTATATCTATATTTGCCGCAGAAAATAAAATAAAATACCAATCTTTGGTAGTGATCTGAGTGATCTGAGTTCCTGAGAGTTATGCACCTTTGTACATTAGAGTTTCCTCCCTTAGTTGATACAATGGCCTACATCATCCGAATAGTTTCGACAGTCACTAGAATTCTGTCTGTACCTATAAAGACAATTCGTGGCATTCTACGACCCCACTTGCGTCTCATCTACTTGTCCAGTGCGGATTGGATACCAAACTGAAAACATTTCCAGCTTCCAACACTGTTTACCGAATTCAAAAACGGATAACGTGCCACTTTCAAGGCATTCGATAGTGTCACATGTCGTCCTGGGAACCATATGTAAATATGGCATCAGCATTGAATAATGCTTCCACACATTTGAACCATTGTATTGACTCATGTGATTGTAAATCTCGCCCTGTGAGTTTCAATATAATTTATTATTCGTTGATCTTGTGTGGGGGTTATTTGCTAATTCAACAATTTAGTTCTGGGCGGACCTTCGCGTTTCAAATCGGAAATCACCTTGTAACAACGTCTACAGGTTTGTGATAAATAATGTTTTCGGTTGAGACCTACCTGGGTACAATCATCTTCCCGAACCAAGAAAGTTAACTTACTATAAAAGTCAATTTGCCACCCTTGCCGAACTAGGCTGGAATTATGGAGCTATATGTTGTCTCGACTAACGAGTTTTTGTATAGCCCAATCAAACTCGCGTAACAAAATCGACATCCGGTTCGTAAACTGCCGTGCAGACTTCGGTCGATTGCAGGATTTGCAACGCATTTGTACCGTCAACTAAGCGTCCACAGACATTTCACGTGATATGAAGCACTTCGCGAAGTAAGACCCGTTTTACTACAATATAGATTTTGGTTATCGCTCAGACCGCCTTCACTGGGCGCCGCCATTTTGTTTGAAGAAGTGATAAGTGATATCAGAGATGGAATCTGATTGGTCAACAGGAGGGACATAGAAGGGACATAAATCGTAATAGCCACTGGTGGCGCTACGATCGAGCTCAGAATTTTCAGCTTTGTTAAGCAAGGGTGGAAACTGGACTTTTACAGTCAGTTAACTCCCTTACCTCAGGAAGATGGGGTACAATGTGTGAACCCCATTTCTGGTGTCCCCTGTCGTGGTAATACCGGAATATTGCTAAAAGTGACGTAAAACCTTACACACTCACTCACAACACAGTACTATAGCCACACCACTGCAGACACTGTCGTGGCCGTTGAATATGTTTTCAAACTATTACGATTATACGTTTCCTTGTATACGTTTACTCGTATATCTTAAAGTGTTCGTAAAGTGGCGTAAAACCATACTTACTCACTCACTTTAAGGCAATACGTGGTCTGGAATATAATTTTCGAACTCTGAGACATGGAGCGAGTGAGTGAGTTTGGTTTAACGCCGCTTTTAACAGTATCCCAGTTATATCGCGGCGTGTCAGCTTAATGTGGGAGGAAAGCCCGAAGTGGTGCAGGTCTCGGACGTTTACCACTTCGGTGAAACCCACGAGCACGGGTATGGTGCTGACAAACCTAGAAACATAATCGGGGAGAACCGGGATTCGAACCCACAATCATAGTTTTCTGGCATGCCCAAGGGACGCAACTCTGCACTCCGCGATTCGCGGCGCCTTAGACGACTGGGCCACCCGTGCCCCCCCCCCCCCCCCACACACACACACAAACACACACACACACACACACCACCCTGAGACATGGAAGTGTAAAGATTTGTAATAAATAATCTAACTTCTTCCTCTTATTCTTAGAAGTGAGTGAACAGTGACTGGGGCAATCAGTACGTACCATCCACGCAATGGGCAAAACACTTCTCTTGCTTGTTTTCGTACCGGCGCAGATAGTCCTCAAAGTCGAATAGATCGCATATTACCCCTTGGTTGTAAACACATGACATATGTGTCTCTTGTGCCCTAGAGAAAACAGCAGGTGGTAAGAAATTCATCATAACTGAAAACACATAAACAGGGTTTGATTAATGGATGCTCCATCGTCCTTAACGGTTCGAAGATGGCATTCGTTGTTTATCGCCGCGCTCAGCAATATTCCTGCTATATGACGGCGGTCTGTAAATAATCGATGGACCAGACAATCCAGTGACGCAATTGTCTACGATCTACGCAAAAGGGATATGTTGACATGCATCAACTGAGTCAGCGAGCCTGACCACCCGATATCGTTAGTCGCCTCTTACGACAAGCATTGTCGCTTTTACGGTAAGCATAGGTTGCTGAAGACCTATTCTGCCCCGGATTCTTCACGGGCTTCTGAATTTAATGAGATTGAGATACTTGGAACGTATATTTAAAGCCTAAAGTTCACTATTTACTACATCTTCGACGTGTTTATTTGTTTTTGCTTTTCGTAAAAAAAATGCGCTATCGTGTCAGTAGATGTTTTGGTCCATCGATCACTTGATTGTCTGGTTTGTTTACAGATCGCCATCGCATGGCAGGAGTTCTGCTGTGTCGCGTCAGGCAACAAATGCAGACAGCAAACTTCTTTGAGTGGCGGGTGCATGCTTACCCTTTTCGCGAACACCTGGTGTCACCACCGATTTGAGATACTTTCCTATAATTTTCACTATAGTCCTACACCATGACCTTGGAATAAATTTATTTTATGAAAAAAATAATCCAGAAACACATACAAAAGCAAGTCTAGCCAGCTCAAGCTAGAAATCAGCATAGGGAATTTTTTAAATATATTTTTAGAGTCAAGAAGGATATTGTGTAATATAAGATTACAGAGACTAAATGTTAGACTATTTTCACTACTGTAGTGCCTTTTACGCCAAATGGAGTCTGTTTCGGCAGATAATCGAGACTGGTTATTCTCTCGCGTTGACGTTTTATATTATATTGTCTAGTACAAACACGCACACACACACACACACACACACACACACACACACACACACACACACACACACACACGCACGCACACGCACACACACGCGCGCACACACACACACACTCACACACACACACACACACACACACACACACACACACACACACACACACACACACACACTCACACTCACACTTAAACATAAGCACACACACACGCACACACGACCGCCTCCGTGGTCTAGTTTTAGACCGTCCGCCGGAAGGTCCGGGGTTCGATCCCCGACCGCGTCATACCAAAGACGTTAAAAGATGGTACTTGTTGTTACCCTGTCTGGCGCTCGGCATTAAGGGGCTAAAACAAGGACTGGTCGGCTCGGAGTCAGTATACTGTGTCTGAGTGGGGTATTCATGTTAAACTGCAGCATGGTATCTCAGTGAGCTAGCACTATAAATCGGCATCAGTCCGGACTAGTACAAGCAGCCACACAAACACACACAAGTGCATGCACGTCGCTATATAAGTGCACTAATCTTGGACGCGACGTTAAACCCCATTTCACCTCACCTCACCACACGCACGCACACAAACCTACGTATCTATATTAATGCAGCTTTTAGGATAAAACATGATCTTCAAACATTGTACCATTGTGGGGAATCGACCCTGGGTCTTTAGCGTGACGAACGAACACTTTAACCACAAGGCAACACCATCGCCCCTGATACAACGATGACACAGTAAGGAAGACTCCTTTTCACAATCACCTATGAGGTCTGAACCGTTCAATAATGGCGAGATAAGTTATGAAAATTCCAAAGACGAACGAAAACCAGACTAGATACATAACATGGGCGGATACAGCTTTTTTGATCTGTATAAATCCTCCAATGTGATGAGAAAAATAACATTAACACCTATCATAATTATCTTACTTTACATATTATTTACATGTCTCATTACGTGTGCAACAAGTATTAAACTAAAATATCATTTTTAACCTGTACTAACGATAGTGATTAGGACTTTGAGTAAACGATGATTAACTGTACACAAGCAGACGCGCATAATGCCATGCCCCAAAAAAGGATGGTCGATTTTAAACTTATTTCTGAAAGTGGGTGCACTGGTGGCCAAGTTTTCTCAATTCGATGTGCAGAGTTGCGTCCCTTGGGCACGTAAGGAACCTATGATCATTGGTCGTCCCGATGATGTTTCTGGGTTTGTCAGAACCATACCCGTTCTCTAGGGTTTCACAAAGGTGGTAAATCTCTGAGACCTGCATCACTTCGAACTTTCCTTCCACGTTAAGTAGACACACCGGGATGTAACAGGAATACTGTAGAAAGCGGCAATAAATTTTAAATCACTCACTCCCACACTATTTCTGAAAGTGCTACTTACGCGCATGCCACAAGCTTATTTGGATCCTCTCTGTGATCTTTGAAATAATCTGTGTTGCAGCTGCGGAACGTGGGACACCGAACATCAATTTCATCCGGGTCTGGAGGAGCTATTCATTCATTTAAAATAATGACATGATGATGAAGACTATGAACATGAAGACAAGAACAAACTCGACGTCAACAACAACAACAACAACAACAACAACAACAACAACAACAGTATACCAGCTTAAATCTCCACAGCACAAATGTAAGTTAAAATGACATCGAGTTGGGGTGATTATACGAACGCCAAGTGTCTTTGCAAAAAGTAAATGTGTATAGTTTCAGGATTATTCCAGCAATATCAAGGCAGGGGATTACAGAAATGGGCTTCACTCATTGTACCCATGTGGGGAATCGAACCTGGGTCTTTGGCGTGACGAACGAACACTTTATCCACAAGGCAACAACATCGCCCCTGATGCAACGATGACACCGTAAGGAACACTCCTTTTCACCATCACCTATGAGGTCTGGACCATTCAACGATGGTGAGTTAAGTGGTGAAAATTCCAAAGACGAACGAAAACCAGATTTAGGGCGACTCACTACACTGTCTCAAACATGTAGAATTTCAAAATAGATACATAATATTGACACCTTAAAGGTCTATAGTAGGCATTAGGAAAATTGCCCCGAGAGGCGAGTAGGAAAATTGAAATGAAATCCAGTCGTCATGCGCATATGCACAATCTGTTTCTGGTGATTGTCAATATATCAAAAAAAAAGAAAATGACGAAACCAAGCAAACACAATGCTTTTTGACATGTAAAATGGGAAAACAATAATCTAATGAGAACGTCTTGTTTCCAAGGCTATCGTGGATTTCATACCTCGCCCATGCCTCGTACGACCCGTGAAGAGTCCGGGTTAGAATTGGACTTCAGTAATCCATGCTTGTCGTAAGAGGCGACTATCGGGATCGGGTGGTCAGGCTCGCTGATGCATGTCATCGTATACCAGTTGTGTAGATCGATGATTATGTGTCAATCACTGGATTGTCTGGCCCATAATTGATTATTTACAGACAACCGTCACAAAGATGGCATATTGCTGGGTGCTGCGTTAAACAAACAAACAAACAAATCACCCCTCCTTCAGTAAAATTATTCTGGAACACCAATTTAACTTTTACGTACATTTCTACAGTAAAATCAACTTACCGAACCATAAAGCGCCGATCTGCCCGAAAAGAGCAGCGCCGATCAGAATGTTCAAAAGTCGACTGAACATCTTTCTCATGAAGCCCAGTGTCCAACACACAGGGCACTGTGTGTTAATATACCCGTCATCTGGCGTGATGTATTCTGATATATACCGCTGATCCCTGAATGTGATTCACTGGTTATTACCGCGTGTCATGACCATCACCGCCTCAGAAAGCAGATCAGAAACAAACCTTAGCCGATAAAACAGAGATAAGGTGGCGATAATTGTGACGGTTGGCGTGAGCCAACAGGATGATAGATTGAATCTTACAATTTCCTTTCTTTGATTTAAGGATTAATGATCTATTCATGAAAAGGAGAGATTTCGACGTCACACGTTCACGATATGCATGTCTTCTATTCAAAGGGGTCAAGGTTGCTGGTAATATTGCCAGTATGTAACCAAGGTACACTTGTCCTGATTTTGTTTCTAGGTTTGTCAGCACCATACCAATGCTCGTTGGTCGCACGGAAGTGGTAAACTGTGAGGTGAGAAGAGGAACGCCCCAACTGATGCTGATTTAAGGCGTTTACTACTTTGGTGAAACCCACGAACACAGGTTTGGTGCTAGGAACCTAAACACCTAATCAGGGCTAACAGGGATTCGAACACCTCAATCACAGATTCCAGGCACGCCTAGGGGACACACGACCGTGAACATCGGGAAAAGAAAGCACACTGCTTAACCGAAAAACCATACAAACATCTAGCATGTATAGTAATCGAGACATTAACACCTGGTACCTCGAGAGAGCACCGGTGAAGTGAGGTGGGGTGAGGTGAGGTGAGGTGAGGTGAGGTGAGGTGAGGTGAGGGGAAGTGAGTCGAGTCGAGTCGAGGCGAGGCGAGGTGAGGCGAGGTGAGGTGAGGTTAGGTGAGGTGATCTGAAGTAGGGTTTAACGTTGACAGACAGCCATTCTAGAAAGTGTTCCACAGATAGATTATCCCTTCTCCCCTACCCATCCCTGAGACCCCCAAACCCCCACCCGCCTACCCGCACTGCCTATGATTTAACATTGTTTCACTCAAAATAATAATTTAATACGGATTTCTCCATTGAAATGAAATTATTATGTGACATGGAATATTAATGAATATTGATATCATCGACAGAAAAAACGTACCAGATTCTCACTAATACAAACATTAGAGAGTATGTGATGATGGGTTTAGGGTACATTTGCATTTTAACGATATTCCAGTCATATCTGCGACCCAAGGGCTGTTTTTGATATGGGAGGAAAAGGAGAGACGTCGTAGACAGTTAAACAGACGTGTCTGGTGCTGACATACCAGCGACTCGACCATGGAACCCTGTAGTCCTAACCACTAGGGATGATTACCCCGCAATATTATATCACTTGACCACCCGTAACCCTTGTTATGAATACAGGATCAATATCAGTATACATTCAAATAATGATTAGCAGTGTACAAGTGAGCGGTGTGGGGTGCCGAGGCACCAAGATTCGAAACCGCCCTCTTACAGAGTAGTTACCCCCTCCCCTACTTACACACCCATCAATGCATAGATAATAATGAAACACTGATCAATATCAATACATCCATTGCTTTGCTTTGTTTGTTGTTTAACGCCGCACTCGGCAATATTCCAGCTGTATGACGCCGGTCTGTAAATAATCGAGTCTTGGCCAGACAATCCAGGGATTGACATCATGAGCATTGACCCACGCAATTGGGATACGTGGACATGCTTACCAAGCCAGCGATCCTGACTCCCCGATCCCGTTAGTCGCCTCTCAGGGCAAGCATGGGTTGATTAAGACCTGTTCTCTACCCGGATCTTCATTGTCTTCAACATCATCATTGACAAAGTACAAGCACCTTCATGGTGTTCAAGGTATATGGACACGTCATTTCCTAGGTGCACGGCCTTGAACAGGGTATACAATTTGGCTGTTAACTATTAGAGGTGAATCTTAATGGGCTTATCACACCTTATACTGTGACGACAACGTGAGGAATGTCAATGGTGGAAAGAGTCGTGAAGATGTTATCTCAATACGGGTAGCAATGTTACTGTCATGCTGGTCAAGGGTATAGGGTCGCACAGGTGGACGTTACGCCCAATCACACGGTTACTACATATATGTGTTATGATACAAATACTGTTCCTACACGTCATGGATCCCTGACACATGGCTATCCTCATCCGTGTGTATAAACACTGACAAAATGTGTTTCAGTCTTAAGCACAAACCTAAAACGCCCCTTGTCAATATTTAGAGTGAGTGAGTTGGGTTTAACGCCGCTTTTAACAGTGTTCCAGTTATATCACGGCGTGTCAGCTTTATGTGGGAGGAATGCCCGAAGTGATGCAGGTCTCAGACGTTTACCACTTCGGTGAAACCCACGATCACGGGTTATGGTGCTGACAAACCTAGAAATATAATCGGGGTGAACCGGGATTCGAACCCACAATCATAGGTTTCTGGCGTGCCCAAGGGACGCAACTTTGCACAGCGAATCGCGGCGCCTTAGACGACTGGGCCACCCGTGCCCCCTGTCCATATTTAGAGGTGTGTTTTTAGATCTAAACATATTTAAAACAACCGAATACGTTTAATAATTAGTAGTTGGTGACTTCCATGTTCATTCTTATAAAAAAAATATGATTAGCGTCCACATTTAGCACGACGATAAATTCAGCACATGACAAATAAGTACCATAAACCGCACACCTGAACTGTTTGTTAAGCTATAAACAGTATAATGGGCGGAGACAAATTGAGCCCAGAACGAACATTGTTCAGATACGCACACAAGGACACATTTGTTTTGTCTGCGGCGTTAATTATTTTATTTAAAATGGCCAGTAAGTACCGAACGGAGAAGTAGCCAATTACGCATTATGTTTAAAATGTCGTTTTAATTTAAATGCAAATGTAATTGAAGTCTAGTTTGCTAATCGTAATGTGGTACTTGGGTCTGGAAGTGTTATGACAAAGGCAATCTATTGAAGGCTACCTATGAAATATGAACCGCAATCGGCATCTTTTTAAGTGTAATGACAATACAACAAAAGCTATGCTTCAAAGAAACAGCCATTGACATCAGACAAATATGGAGCGGTTGATCGCAATCGTCTAATAAGGGGTCAATTATTGCTATTGTAAACATATGTATTTGTTCGGACAATACAACCATTGTTATTGATTACACAAAGCAAGGGGAACGTGAATTTCGTCCTTGTTTTTCTACAAAACCCAAAATCGATATTGTAAAAAATATGTTGGCTTTGTGAACATTCCAGTGCTGGATGTGTAAGGAGAAACAACATAGAGAAAAGCTTATCGGGGGAAGATGCTGTATAGACGTGTGAGGATGGATGTCGTTGGGTACTTTGCACTAGGTAGGACAAACAAGTATTAACCAAACGTTGTTTTGTTTGTTGTTTAACGCGCAGTTATATTCCAGCTGTAAGTCACCGAGCCTGACCACTCGATCCATTTAGCCTTACAAGCAGCGGGAGTATATTCTTACCGGATTCCTCACGGGTGGATTATCATGAAGAGTGCGTAAACATTGGTCACTGAGTGTTGGACAGATTTAAAAAAGAAGAAGAAAGTAACATGATATTAAATATATTGAATCTCGATTCCGCCATCTTAAGGATATATGTGACCTTGGGGAGAACGCGGTAACGAAGATAAGACGTGGTTGAGTTGACACCATCAAGCTAAGCATGGAAGATATATCTTAAACCAAGTATTTAACTTACAGCACAATGATGATGGAAACCGTATAAAAGAGTGAGTGATCATATGAGGTGTGTGAATGGGGACTTAAGCATTGCATGTATTCCAGTTCTTTTTTTTCACGGTATGTCAACCTAATCTGGAAAAGTTGCTCCCCCTGGGGATCGAGAGTTGGGATTTGTGCCCACGAAGTTCGTCGTAAGAGGGTAACAAAATGGATTGGGTGGTCCTCCTCGGTGAATTGGTTGTGTGCTATTGTAATAGGAAGTTATACATAATATCAAGTGCGTAGATCGATGCTCATGATATCTATCACTGATTTGTTTGGTCCAGACTCGATTATTTACAGGATGCCTTCATGTAGCTGGAATATTGCCGAGTGCGGCGTTGAACAAACAAACAAAACAGTGTGACACAGATCTCAGACGTCTACAGCTTTGGTGAAATCTAATATAAAGCACGGGTTTGGAGCCCTTAAACCAAGAATCATTTTCAGAACGAATCGAGGATTCGAACTACTGTCATCGGATCCTGTACCTCATCTTGTTTCAGTTAGGGTCAAGCCGGAGTGCCTCTAACAAGACTGTTGACATGTACCGGTATAAAAACTCATCTTAACAATGCGTTGCAACATTATAGAATTAAGAATTGATAAATATGTATGTCCTTATTGCAGGACACATTGATAATTTTTTTAGCAAGCTGAAGTGGCTAAAAAACTGCCGGGCAACAAATAAAACAAACAGCAAGTGGTTCTTCGATGGTGATATATTTGATACGGGTACTATAGACGATATTACATGTATCATATCAATGCGTATCTTACAACAGGGGAGACCTGTGCAGATCTGGATTAGAAGTGGTCTTCAGCAACCCATGCTGGCCGTAAGAGGCGACTAACGGGATCGGGTGGACAGGCTCGAAGACTTGGTGTCATGTCATCGCACCCCAATGGCATAGATTGATGCTCATGATGTCAATCACTGGATTGACTGGTTCAGACTCGATTATGTACAGACTGTAGTCATATAGCCGTAATATTGCGGCATTAAACAACAAGCAAACAAACAAAAACAACAGGCGACTTTTTTCAGTCTAGTAACGTTGGCAATTGTTCGGTAGTTTGTTGTGTATTTAGACATTTGTTATAAATAAATGAATGGGTGTTGATACCATCAGTTTGTGTACATGCATCCAGACTTACTCCGCCAGTCTTAGTCGAATGGGCCAATCTATAAAGTTGCATCAGCAAACGAGGGGAACATGGGGTTGTATGCTTCCCACGTTAGGTTTTATACCATGAGCCGGAGGCGTCCTGTGTTCGGGGGACGCATAAAACCCCATGTACACCGAGTGATCCTGCTACAACGAATTTATCTTACCGACATGTTTTAATATGACATCGTAAAAGAATTCAAACAAAATCAAAATGGATAGAAAACGGCTGTTAGATAGAGCTGAGGTTACGTGACTTCCACTGATTCGGAAAAAAAACGTGCGGCGTTTTGCTTTGAAGCGGGATATAAGGGAATATACTAACGAACCGATCGTTTACACTTTAACAATTCCTCTCCCCCCCCCCCCCCCCTCCCCCCATTTAAGTAGGTATGTTTATTTCTTATCAATATTATGTACAGCTTCTAAGAATGTTAATAGAATGTACAAGCTATAAAGTATTTTATCACGATCACGTGGATCAAGAGATCTCATCATTCTGACATGGAGGTAAGATAAAATTATTTACCCATATAAATAATCCCACCTCGGCAATTGGGCTTAAATTTGGTCTTTCCCGCATATTCTTCTAATTTGTACGTCGATTATCCGGACCTTTTTTCTCAATACCGATTGTCATACACCTCTCCCACTTTTGGATGCGATCGTTGGGCCACTGCGTCTATCTGCGTAGCCAAGCTATCTATGGGTAACAACTCACTGGACATTTCCCTCTCAATACTAACGTCGGCCAATTTATGAAGTCATCAAGTTGGGAGCTCATGTTCAAATCTCCGGAAATAACGTCATGTACGAACAATGTTTTATCCTGAAATAAACCACACTTCGTTCTTCATTGTTCTTTGCGATTAATCGCGATATTGTCTTATATTTGCATATAGTACTTTCGTTCAAAATGGATGCAAAACTCTCATCGTCCTATTGGATATCCAAGATGCAGCATATCTAAATAAACTGCCGGTCAAACATTAGTATACACTTGAAAATTGGATTTGACCAAAATATTTCAAATGTCAACAAAACGTTACGTGGCTGAAAACACCAAAACACTGCAAGGTCCAACACACATCAATGATGCCCGAATAAAATACATCACCATCCACTTCTTTTTTGTTTCTTTTTTAACCAAAATCAAATATGAGTGTGTAATTTCTTTTCCCCAGCAGTCTACAATGAGTTTTGTTAAGTCTTTGAAGTTCACCAACTATACATGGCGTGACTGTCGTTGTTCAGTGCACGAGTACTTACCCTAGCTGGAATTTCCCACAGGTTTTACAGGCTCTGTGTGGGATTTCCGCCATCAGTCAACGTTGCTTTCGGACACTGTCCAGTTGATTGTTTGCTTGAAAAAAGAGGGTCATCAAGGGAAGTAGTCATCAAGGGAAGTAGTGATAATGGGAATTAGTCATCACGGGAAGTAGTCATAATTGGAATTAGTCAACAAGGGAAGTAGTGATAATGGGAAGTAGTCATCAAGGGAAGTTGTGATAATGGGAAGTATTGATAATGGGAAGTAGTCATCACCGGAAGTAGTGATAATGGGAAGTAGTCATGTGAAGTAGTCATCAAGGGATGTGTTAAGGTAGTGATAATGGGAATTAGTCATCAAGGGAAGTAGTGATAATTGGAAGTAGTCATCAAGGGAAGTAGTGATAATGGGAAGTAGTCATCAAGGGAAGTAGTGATAATTGGAAGTAGTCATCAAGGGAAGTAGTGATAATGGGAAGTAGTCATCAAGGGAAGTAGTGATAATGGGAAGTTGTGATAATGGGAAGTATTGATAATGGGAAGTATTGATAATGGGAAGTATTGATAATGGGAAGTAGTCATCACCGGAAGTAGTGATAATGGGAAGTAGTCATGTGAAGTAGTCATCAAGGGAAGTAGTGATAATGGGAATTAGTCATCAAGGGAAGTAGTGATAATTGGAAGTAGTCATCAAGGGAAGTAGTGATAATGGGAAGTAGTCATCAAGGGAAGTAGTGATAATGGGAAGTATTGATAATGGGAATTAGTCATCAAGGGAAGTAGTCATAAAGGGACTAGTGATAAAGGAAGTAAATTATGTCCTCTCTTCAAGTCTTTCTGTAAAACTGACCCCATCAACTATAGAGGCATTTCTCCCAGAGACTCAAATTCTAAAGTATTTACGTCTATTTTGAACAGATGTCTACAGAATTGGTGTAAATTCATAATATTATTAATGAACAACAAGCTGTTTTAGGGCTCATTACTCCACTATTGAAAATATTTTCATTCCAGGCTATAGTTAAAAAATACATTGGTAAGAAAAGAGGCAGATTTTACTGCCTCTTCATTGATTTTTCCAAGCCATTTGACACTCTGAGACATGATATTTTCCTGCACTCATTGAGTGAAGTTGTTGTTAAGGGTAATTTTTTTTTATATAATCCCATCTATCTGCTTGTGTTGGAACTCCCAAAGGTGTATCTGAGTGTTTAACCTGTAATATTGGCACTGGTCAAGGATGTGTTTTAAACCCACAAATATGTATCATACATTGTACTTCCCTTTATGACTACTTCCCATTGTGACTCGTGTTTCTATAATTAATGGTTCAGGGACTGCTGATTACCACATATCACCCTTATGCATGTTTCCAGGTGAGGTTCGATGAGGAGTTGGAGTATTCAAAATGGGAAAAGGACAAATATTTCCTTGTTAGCATTTATTTATTTATTCATTTATTTATTCAGCAAGTGAAGGACATGTTGGAAGTTACTTTTCAAAATATATGGTTTCTTTAATTTTTTTGTAGTACCCTCTGCTCTTTCCACAAAGGGACTGCGCCAGTTTTGCAGATATTGATCTTTTAATATTTATTTTACCTTTGAGGCCAGCCATTGTGCAGAACATATAAACGGGTTATCAAACCATTCAGTAAGTCCACAGTTAGTATCTTCTTTCACAAAAGAAATCCATGGAAGTTTATCAACAATATGGGGTCAATTAAGAGTCATAGACTGGTATGAAATGTTTGTTAATTTTCGGATTTCATATTTGCTTCAAGCCAGAAAATGATAATGCATTTATACATGTTTATATGCAGTGGTTCTCTTCCAAATACTCCGAAAGTTGTGTCACTAAAACCAGCTGCTGTTTGTCTTTTCAAATTCTTAAATTTCCGAACCATTCATTAAACTCGGCAATCGTTGTGTCAAATGCTGATAACATACAATCAAGAGGCAAGTTAATATTCAAGAAAATTATTCTATAGATAAGCTCATTTTATTTTACCCCGTTCTTTATCTATCACTGCAAATGGGAGTGCACCGATCAGCTAATCTGATGTCATCAATTATGATATTATATGACGTCAACAATGATTAGCTGTGACGTCATTTTCCATTCCGTTAACAATGGTTTATGTAGTAATACATTCATTGGCCAGATGATTATTAGTCTTGGCTATCTGCCGAAACATATTCCATACATATTGATAAAGTGTAAAATTATAAAAAGCAAATTAGTGATGAAAATAATATGAACGGATCACTGAAAATCAGTAATGACACCAGGTGTTCACTGAAAAGGGTAAACATAATGCTACCGGTAGCACCTACCACTCACAAATTTTCTATAAACCAGAAAGTGCCGGTGAGTAAGATATGAAATCTGTAACACAGAAATCAGGAAAAAATGTTGATTCTATTTCCTAAATTAACAGATACATCTATAATTTTGCATAATGACCTATATTTGGTTCAGTGTTACTTGATAAAATGCACGTCCAGAATAGCTTTTGAAATCCTGGTTCAATTACAAGAACACAAAGATGATGTTGACAAGCAACGTGTCATAATTTGTAAATTCTTCTGAATATCTACAAAACATCCTGAGATGACCTAACCTTTTACGGTGAAATCTTGATTGAAAAAACTCAGCTTTAAGCCAGACGTGAACATTTTATGTGGATGCTTTAAAGTAAACAGTAATAACACAAAGTGTAAAACTGTGAGCGTATCCTGCGCCACCGGTGGTACCCTTCACAAATACAAGCAAAGGCAAGTCAAGTGGTTAAACCTTAACAGTCAAAGAAGCGAATTGCATCAGACATAGTTTTTGTCGCTGATGCTTCAAATAGAAATGTTCTCTGCATGTTTGAGATGAATGGCAAGAGAAATCACTTTCAAATGTGTCGTTTGTACGGACAAAATAATATATATATGATCATAATGAATTCTACCCGTCCAAACTAATGAAAAACCTCTTTGAACACTCCACTCTGTTCACAGGTTGTGTTCTCCTCTGTGGTAGCGACGCGGCTCCTGTTGGTAACTCTACCGATTATGATACAGGCACCAACAGTACCGACAAGGACGCCAACGGCACCGACAACGGCTCTAAACATTATTACCACTACAACCACTACGGAAATCATTACTACGGTCACCACTACGGCAACGACTATGGTCACAACGACTACGATCATCATGGTAGTATATAATATTTGTAAATATGACATAAATATGACACAAAGAAACATATGCATCACATGTTTTAATTTTGTAATGAGCATGAAAAGTCTTATGAATTGTTTGCTGAAACTGTATATAATAAACTTGTGCATGATTAATCGATTGACTGATTATTCGCTCGATCGACCGATTTGAACATTGATGAGAGGTGAAATGGGGTTTAACGTCTCGTCCAAGATTATTGCACTTATATAGCGACGTGCATGTACGTGTGTGTGTTTGTGTGGCTGCTTGTACTAGTCCGGACTGATGCCGATTTATAGTGCTAGCTCACTGAGATACCATGCCGCAGTTTAACATGAATACCCCACTCAGACACAGTATACTGACTCCGAGCGGACCAGTCCTTGTTTTAGCCCCTTAATGCCGAGCGCCAGACAGGGTAACAACAAGTACCATCTTTTAACGTCTTTTGGTATGACGCGGCCGGGGATCGAACCCCGGACCTTCCGCTCTCCGGGCGGACGCTCTACAACTAGACCACGGAGGCGGTCTGAACAGTAGTAAAACGGTGTGTCAGAGTTGTGTGTAGTTTTAAGACCGTAGCGATCCAAGTCGCAGATATTTATCACTTCGGCGAGACATACGACTATGACGCTTTCACACCAGTGATAATATTCGTTTTTTTCCCGAATGGAAACACACACAATGCGGCTCTTGGCGTTTGCGGTAATTAAACCTAGACCATCTGATTTACATAAATAGTCAGTGACATGTTCCCATACTTTCAGGGGAGGACATGTTTGGCCACGTGGAGACGAATCTGACCACCAACCCTGACCACGAGCACATCCTGAACGAATATCTCAATTACGGCTTTTCCCAACATGGCCACGACAACAAGACCGAGGGAATGCTGGGCAAGATCTCGAAATATCTTCGTAACGACGCTGCAACGACCTTGACATCTACGTCGATGACGCTGTTCTGTCTCACCGTCGGGAAGATGTCGTTGACGTTTTAGGAAGAGGCAGTACCGTGAATAACAACGGCATCAAATGCATGACGTCATCAAATGCACTTATATGTTACGCAACTAGTGAATTACGTCACCACGAAGATGTGTAGTAACCATTTAGTTTATACATTAAAGCCGTTGTTATTTAATAACATAATTAGAAAATATTTGTAATTTTTCATGATCAGTAAATGATGTGTCCCAGGTTAACATTTACACGTACTTGTTTTGAATATGTTTTAAATATTACTGTAATAAGGAGGATATTAACAACACATTTAACATTGTAATCGCTTATGTCACGACTCGACCGATATGACCAGGCCATCATGCTTGGCTCAAGAAACGTTGTTTTCATGTCGGTTCATAATTAGCTTGTTTACGGATCCACGGACTGCTACTGCTACCACAGATACTTTCTCAGGATGTCAATCACCGGATTGTCTGATCTTTTGTATCGAGATGTCCGTCAAAATACTGTAATATTGATGCAAACCAATCCACATTTGATTCAACTAGTGCTTTTCCATCGGTTTTCTGTTTTTGCTGTTTTAAAGGGGACGACTGCTACTGCTACTGCTAATACTACTTCTTGCTAAGGATGGCAATCACCGGTTGTCTGATCTATTGTTTCAAAACCTCCGTCAGAGTACTGTAATATTGATGCAAACTAATCCACATTTGATTCAACTACTGCTTTTCCATCGGTTTTCTGTTTTTGCTGTATTAAAGGCGACTACTGTTATTGCTACTGTTATTGCTACTGCTACTACTGCAACTACTGCTACTGCTACTGCTACTGCTACTGCAACTACTGCTACTGCTACTGGACTGAAGAACTTTTCATGGGTTGTCTCATGTGTCTCAGGTTCAAATACAAGAACAATGTAATCTACTTTCCGGATTGAACTTTGCGGTGCACGTGATTTCTATGTGTAGCGGAGGCACGTTAAGGATTACTGTTTAGTGACGTTTGTTTATTTTGTTTTCAGAAAATGAAGTGTGCTTGCGAACGCATTCAGCTTCGCGGTAAGAACATTAAAATGCCACATGCGTTGCCTTATAAGTTTTTCTTATAAACATGTTTGTTGAGTCTAGCTTTAGAACTTAGCCCTAGACTGACCGTGCCCATCATAGTCGGCATACCATCGCTCTGTATAGTTTAAGTACTGTTGTCGTGTTCTGTCGTGTAATTGTGGGAAATTAAAAGGTGAATAGAAAACTTTAGTATTTTTTAGTATTTTCTGCGAAACAAATAATATTATTACTTTTACTCTACTACTATTGCTATTATTATTATTATCATTATTATAACCACCACCATCACCACCACCACCACCGCCACTACTACTACTACTACTACCACTACTACTACTACTACTACTACTACTACTGCTACTACTACTACTACTACTACTACTACTACTACTACTACTACTACTACTACTGCTATTGTTATTATTATTATTATTATTATTATTACCACCACCATCACCACCACCACCACCACCTCCACTACTACTACTACTACAACTACTACTACTACTACTACTACTGCTATTGCTATTATTATTATTATTACCACCACCATCACCACCACCACCACCAGCACCACCACCACTACTACTACTACTACTACTACTACTACTACTACTACTACTACTACTACTACAATTACCAATTACCAATTCTCTTCACTATCTTCATTGACATGCCAGCAGTCTGGACTCCGCCAATGACATACAAGCCATGTTTAGTTGCAGTCGCGGTATGTGTCTCAGCTTTGACTATGATGGTTCAATCACATTGTGTATTTCTGAGTTAAAGTTGGGACCACAACCAGAAAAGGAACCAATTGTAATTTACCAAAATATCGATCAATAAATGTCTTTCTCGATTTGTTTTTTTTTAAAGACCGTCAGTTCTGTGATCGAAATGAATTAAATAAAGAGTGACTGCTCCAAGAAGCAGAAGCGTTATAAAATCATACGCTGATGCCAATACTCGGCTTCATTCTCTTTCCATAATACGTTGAATGGAGATCATACACTCATCCAAGTACACTGCCTCCACGTACAGACAGAGATAACACTACCAGACAGGCCACTAGTAGGCGGTTCGCTAATGTTAGGTACAATTTAACCCACTCACTGCTAGTCGGGCTACTACTAGGCGGTTAGCCTATGTGAGGAACAATTTAACTCTCTCACTGCTAACATCCATAGTCCTTGGTGACCATACCCTGTACCTGTCATGGTCCTTGACGATGCCACCTAGACTCTGTCATGATTCTTGGTGAGCTAACCCTGTACCTGTCCTGGTCCTTGACGACCCCACCTAGACCCTGTCATGGTTCTTTGTGACATAACCCTGTACCTGTCATGTTCCTTGACGACCCCACCTAAACCCTGTCATGATTCTTGGTGACATAACCATGTACCTGTCATGTTCCTTGACGACTCCACTCAGCCATGTCATAGTCCTTGATGACCTAACCCTGTACCTGTCATGTTCCTTGACGATGCCACCGGCAATCTGTCATGATTCTTTGTGACATAACCCTGTACCTGTCATGTTCCTTGACGATGCCACCTAGACTCTGTTATGGTTCTTGGTGACATAACCATGTACCTGTCATGGTCCTTGACGATTCCACTCAGCCATGTCATAGTCCTTGATGACCTAACCCTGTACCTGTCATGTTCCTTGACTATGCCACCGGCAATCTGTCATGATTCTTGGTGACATAACCCCGTACCTGTCATGTTCCTTGACGATGCCACCTAGATTCTGTTACGGTTCTTGGTGACATAACCATGTACCTGTCATGGTCCTTGACGATTCCACTCAGCCATGTCATAATCCTTGATGACCTAACCCTGTACCTCTCATGTTCCTTGACTATGCCACCTAGACCCTGTCATGGTTCTTGGTGACATAACCATGTGACTGTCATGGTCCTTGACGATCCCACCTAGACTCTGTCTATATTCTTAGTGACCATGCCCTGTCTGTACCTGTCATGGTCATTGACGATCCCACTGAGCCATGTCATAGTCCTTGATGACCTAACCCTGTACCTGTCATAATCCTTGACGATCCCACCTAGAGTCTGTCATGATTCTTGGTGACATAACCCTGCACCTGTCATGGTCCTTGACGATCCCACCTAGATTGTCATGATTCTTGGTGACATAACCCTGCACCTGTCATGGTCCTTGACGATCCCACCTAGACTCTGTCATGATTCTTGGTGACATAACCCTGTACCTGTCATGGTCCGTGACGATCCCACCTAGACTCTCTCATGATTCTTGGTGACATAACCCTGTACCTGTCATGAACCTTGACGATCCCATCAAGAATCTTTCACGGTCCTTAGTGGCCTAATTCATAGTCTTTTGAGATCCAACCCGAATCGGTCATTGTGCTTGACTTAACACTGACTTTCATTGTCCTTGACGTTCCAACTCTGCCATGGTCATTAGCGATGCCACCCAGAACTTGTCACAACCCTTGGTGACCTCACCCTGGCTCTATCATGGACAACACAGACAACTGGGACCCCTTATTTGACCGCCACAGTGAACTATACTAGAGTGAAATACTCCGGGAAATGCCAGTATGGCATTGGGATTCTGCCAGTATGGCATTTGGATTCCGCCAGTATGGCATTGGGATTCTAACAGTATGGCATTTGGGATTCAACCAGTGTTGGACGACAAGGTTGTCTAATTATCCATGACAGTATATCCGGTCTTAGATGTACAGAGGATCGTGCTGGCGTTAACCCATGCCGTGATAGATATACACTGACGGCTAACACAGATCTTTACGATTAAGACTCTTTGCTTCACCGTGCAATGACAAGACATCGTTAAGTCTTAGCCTGTTTGAAAGACAAACGGCAATACTCGACACACACATGCTAACTATTACCTTTATGAACTTAAACCTGGACTTTGTAACCCAAACTAGATTAATCTTATATAAACTGAAAAAACCTTACTTACTAGGTTTTTAATCACTGAAATTGATAGTAGATTTTGATTTCATGAACGAAGCAAACTATACCTCTCAGTTGATTTTATCATATGTTTGATTTACAATTTAAAATCTCCTAAGTCAGCGATATCATATCCCAAAAATGAACGGTACTGATGCTTAGTCTGCACTCAAAGAATACTTCTACAAGGTTTTAATTTTTAAAAATAATTTGATTTGAACCTATAAAAGTTAAAACGAATTCGCATAATACACAACTGCCGATGGGTATCTTAGAATGTTATCGTTGAAAATAAATAAAATAAATAAATTATGTTAGTGGTCGTGTGGTTGAAAATTCCTTTCAAGAATGAGTGATGGTTAAATCAAATTTAACAACAGATCTTTCAATTTTTAGTGACATGCAAATCAAACTCAGTATACCTTCTTTTGCCCCTAAGTATACATGCTAGAATGATAACCATGAAGATAGACAAACTGTTGTAAAGATGGCCCCTATGCATTGAATTTGTGTTATCTGTATAGGGTAAAGGTGAAGGCGACACCCAAACTTATAATTCCTCTTTAAAAATCTTTTCACTACTTATTTGAACTGAACATAACCGAAACCGTGACGATTTCGATTGTTAAGTATATCATATCGCAAGAAAGGTTTACCGCAAAAATCTAAATTTTGTTTTAAATGATTAAATGAATCTTTAAAAGAAATTAAACCTCAGGAAGCCACATTGTTGATTGTTGCAATACGAGTCTGACAGTATACAGATCCCACATGCCGGAACCCTACTGTTGATGTTAGAATTGGTTGCATAATTTAAGTTGATAATCGGCTATTATTCTTTAAGTTTATATATACTGTCCAGAAAATGTAGATGTAGTTAGATGTAGTTAGATGTAGTTAGATGACTCAAGTTATCAATGTGTAGTAAACCGTCAGTTCTGTGATCGAAATGAATTAAATCAAGAGTAACTGTTTCAAGAAGCAGAAGCGTTATAAAATCATATGCTGATGCCAATACTCGGCTTGATTCTCTGTCCGTAATACTTGGAATGGAGATCATACACTCATCCAAGTACACTGCCTCCACGTACAGACAGCAATAACACTACCAGACAGGCTACTAGTAGGCGGTTCGTCTTTGTGAGGTACAATTTAACCCACTCACTGCTAGTCGGGCTATTAGTAGGCGGTTCGCCCATGTGAGGAACAATTTAACCCCCTCACTGCTAACATCCATAGTCCTTGATGACCATACCCTGTACCTCTCCTGGTCCTTGATGATGCCACCTAGACTCTGTCATGATTCTTGGTGAGCTAACCCTGTACCTGTCCTGGTCCTTGACGACCCCACCTAGACCCTGTCATGGATCTTGGTGAAATGACCCCGTACCTGTCATGTTCCTTGACGATGCCACCAGGAATCTGTCATTATTCTTGGTGACATAACCATGTACCTGTCATGGTCCTTGACGATCCCACTCAGCCATGTCATAGTCCTTGATGACCTAACCCTGTACCTGTCATGTTTCTTGACGACCCCACCTAGACTCTGTCATTATTCTTGGTGACCATACCCTGTACCTGTCATGGTCCTTGACGATCCCACTCAGCCATGTCATAGTCCTTGATGACCTTACCCTGTACCTGTCATGTTCCTTGACGATGCCAACAGGAATCTGTCATAGTCCTTGATGACCTAACCTTGTACCTGTCATGTTCCTTGACGACCCCACCTAGACTCTGTCATGATTATTGGTGACATACCCTGTACCTGTCGTGACCCTTGACGATCCCATCAAGAATCTTTCATGGTCCTTGGTGACCTAACTCATAGTCTTTTGAGATCCCACCCGAATCGGCCATTGTCCTTGACTTAACACTGACTTTCATTGTCCTTGACGTTCTAACTCTGCCATGGTCATTAGCGATGCCACCCAGAACTTGTCAGAACCCTTGGTGACCTCACCCTGACTCTAATAATCCATGACAGTATATCCGGTCTTTGGTGTACAGAGGGACGTGCTGGCGTTCAGCCATGCCGTGACCGATATACACTGACGGCTAACACAGATCTTTACGATTAAGACTCTT